CCTGATGAAGTGCTGCAAGCAAGGATTTAAGCGGCTCTTTTTGGTTCTCCAGTTTCTTTTCTGCTGCTAATGAGTTTTCAAAATGTTTCCTGAGCTGTTTTCACTCTGAATATTTCCTTCTAGGTTATATTGGCCAATAAACTTGGTGCGATTTGTTAGTAGTACTATATTGGCGCTGTAACTCTCCCATCAGTTTGACTTCACCCTTGAACACGCACTCTTCCATTGCCTCCCGAGACAGACAGGTGCCAACTGACTGGTTGTTAAAATACTCTGTTAAAATTCCTGATGTTCTGAGTTTTAATCCCTGTACTCATTATAGTGAAATTGGTCTGGAGCATAATGGAGCATGTGTGTATACATGTTGGTAAAGTGAGTTGGTTCAGTTATGATGATGATTACAATTTATGAATTGCTTTCTAAACTGCTGTTTCAAGGTGATTTGCATGTAAGATAATTAAAAGCAGATAAAAACACAAAAGCTTTTTTTTTAAGTGTGAAACCTTAACAAGTGGACACTTTTATGCAGCTGGGAGAGACTGTTAAAACACTGCCCCCCTCTTCCATAGATGATCCAGAAAGATACCATGGTCAATGAAATCAAAAGCTGATGCAAGATTTGCAGAGGAAGGACTTGGGTGTTTTTCTGGGAAACTCAGGCCTGAACTGCACGCATGTTTGGTCATGGTAGCTGATCTTGAAGCCTTCCTTAATGGTCTCTGTGCAGTTCCACATATAGCGCATCAGGCATTCCTTTTTTAAAAAAGAATGTCATGGCTGTGGGAGCAAGCTCCCTCTAGGCACAGCTGGTTTGCCTGGGTGAGAAACGTCTTATAGACTCTTGCCCATGTTATAGGCTCTTGCCGCCCACTGTCAGAAATCGACAAAGAATGCATGTCATAACAGACTCTTGAGCAACTCTGTGGGAGCAGGCCATCTCTGCAGTTAATTCTTTGGCCAGGGCCACTATGACACCGAGTTCAGTTTCACCCTGTTTGCCCTTGCTATTGTCTCTTCAATCAGTTTCAGTTACTGTGACAGCTCTCGCTGGCTACACAGTGAGCCCTCTTGCTTCCACTCGTTTTTGGTACTTACTCAAATGTCTTTCATGTCGATTGCAGTCTATAGTACTCATGTAGCAAGTGGGTTGTGTGGAAGACTTCCCTCTTGGGTTTGGGACCACTAGGAGCATGTCCAAGAAGCTCACATTGAAGACTTTTGTGTTAGACAAGCGTGATAGCATGAGATGCAGGATGAGGGCCGCCCACTTTCACAGAATTGATTTGCCAATCTATTATGTTGTGTGTGTTTGGTGGATTTCTTAATATTGCAAACATGAGTTTATGCTCCTCCCACAGGCAAAATGGTTGTGCCAGTCAAAGGGAAATTTACCTCCAAAGTTATTACCTTTGTTTTTTGAAAAACACCCATTAAACTATATATGGTACAGCACAGGTGACCACTCAAAGAATTAGATGCAGGTAAGTAACCTGCCTCTTCCATGAGGTTATGGTTCATTCAGTGGCGAGAAACCACTCTTTTTTTAATTAATTACAGTAGCTGCAGATTATATACCATGGGCATTTAGGCTTCCCATAAGACTTAATTGTAAATTATATGTTGATCTCCGGCAGCAGTTTCTAGATCAACTCTGCATCCCCAAATAGAAACCAGAGTTAGAGGTCATACATTTTCTATTATTGGGGAATAATCAGGAGCTCACCAAGTTAGTGGCTAAATATCTTTATCTGGTTTTTGTCGTCGAAACACATTGCAGGCGTCTGATTTCCCTGGAGACCTAGAGATGTAATGTTAGACTGCTCTGCCTCTTTCATTTGACAAATGTTTTGTGTCACTGGGAAGGCAGTAATTCTGTATTGATTTGCTATGGATGTTTGTATGTGATGCCAATAAAAGGTTTGATGATGATAAGACTTACAATGTGTTAAAAATAAACTAATTAAAACAATCTCACTACATATACTGCATTGAAACTAAAGTGATTCCATTCCCTTAGTTAATGAACTTTCTTATTAAATATTATATAAAACGGAGCTTATGTATGCCCCACAGAGGAACTTACGGTCTGCAAATAAAAACATCCTGAAGATCCCAAGCCACAGAGAGGTTAGGCTGGCCTCAACTAGAGCCAGGGCTTTTTCGGCTGTGGCTCCAATCTGGTGGAATGCTCTGTCACAAGAGACAAGGGCCCTGCAGGACTTGACATCTTTTCGCAGGGCCTGCAAGACAGAGCTGTTCCACCAGGCCTTTGGTCAGGGCGCAGCCTTACTCCCTCCTTTGGCAATCTTTACAAAACTTTAGTTTATGGTTGCCATCAATTTTGATTTTAATTAATTTTTATAATGTTTTTATAATGTTGCACTATTTTAGTGTTGTTAGCCGCCCTGAGCCCGGCTTTGGCTGGGGAGGGCGGGATATAAATAAAATTTATTATTATTATTATTATTATTATTATTATTATTATTATTATGTTGACCAGCGATGCCTGTGCACAGTCTGCTTCCCTTTAACTGTACCCCTGATAAGCTCTCAATCTCCTCTATTAGCTCTTGTATTTCAGCTTCAGACAGCTTTATATTAATGTGAAGAAGGTGCCTTTACTGGACAAGATTTCAAGCTACCCTGCATATTCTATCAATCGTTGTAAAAAGACAGGTGTATTTCTCAGCTATAGACAGGGACTGGGCTTACCTATTTCTCATTCACGTATAGGAGTCAGATGGTTTGCAAACCCATTGGGATTTTATATACAGTGCAGTGACCTACAGAAGGATAGGAATGGCCAGGTCGTCTTCATAATAGCATTACAACAGATAGCCTGTAAAAGGCAGTCCATATATTGTTTGGTGGATTATCCCTTTACTGGGATGGAACTGATGTGAATGAATAGTTGGAGGGTTTTGGATATGATTTGCTGGGGTGGTTATAATCAACACCCTGGGGCTACTTCCAACATTTTTCTTTGCTGTACATCACTTTTTATTGTATATAATTTTTAGGTCACCTTGAAACCTTCATGGTATAAAGCAGGCACTCCCAAACTCGGCCCTCCAGATGTTTTGGGACTACAACTCCCATCATCCCTAGCTAACAAGACCAGTGGTCAGGGATGATGGGAATTGTAGTCCCAAAACTTCTGGAGGGCCGAGTTTGGGGATGCCTGGTATAAAGCCACAAATCAGTCTGTCTGTCTGTCTATCTGTCTATCTATCTATCTATCTATCTATCTATCTATCTATCTATCTATCTATCTATCTATCTATCTATCATCTATCTATCTATCATCTATCTATCTATCTATCATCTATATCTATCTATCATCCATGATTAGGGCCTTTCCAGATGGTTGTTTAACCATGAAAGACTGATTAAATCAATCAATCAATCAATCAATCACCCAGATCTTAGCACTGTATTGTACACTCTACTTGCCCTAAACAATGTTAAGTTGCATAAAAAAGGAGAAGCCTTGCTGCAGAGGAATAACCTTGTCCCACATCCCACATTTGCAAGTTTACAAAAATGATTAGTACAGATGTGCATTCCTTTATGAGAGAGTGGGGAGCAGCACACAGCCTTCAAAGAACTCAAAAGGAAATAGAGAAAAGGAGAGAGAGATGGAGGAGTGACAACCTGGGTGCAGTTCCGAGGGAAGAGGTAAGCACTACTATCCCGTTTGAAGGTGTAGCGAGGAGCATAGCCTAGAAAGCCTTTTTTAAAAGGATGATATTATTATTAATGGTGGTGTTGCACAACTGTTCCTCATTTCATGTGATATCCCAGGCATATCTAACCAGTGTCCCCGGCATGCAGCCACATTCTACGGAGCATTCAAAATTGCAGTTAAGTTCTCATGGGAAAAAAAGCTTAATTTTGCTACAGTAAGCAATTACCACTTTTCCCAGAAGTAAAACTGTATTTCACACCAAGTTTTATCTTCTGGAAATACATGTTGCACAGGATCCAGAAGTAACGACTTCACAATTAATATGCATCAATTGGAAAACACCGTTTGGAAGCACCATGAAGCTATATGGGCTGCTTCTCTCTCACTAGATATTTTCTAAAAACTGCAGGTTCAGCTCTGTAGATGGCATGTCTTTCTGCCCAAGCCTGATCTTCCATGTCAAGTAACAGCCTCCTGGGTCATGGATCCTCACGTCGAGTTCCCCTGACCTCTTGCGGACATGCAGATCTTGCCATATCTGGTTCAACTTCCAGATGATACCATCAGAGTATTAAAACACCATATGCCTTTCACCATCTAGTTTGCTGTTGCTGTCCTTTATCATTGCTGTAGGTGCAAAACTGCCAAAAGCCTTTCCCTCTGTTAAAAATGAAGGCAGTACTCTGCATTATTTGTAATTTGCATTGCGCTATAACACACAAGGGACTCATTGCTGCTCAGACATATAGCTTATCCTTGCCCATTTTCCCCAGCCTGAGCTGTGTAGATAGACAATGGTCTGGAAGGACCACAGGGTTGATCCAAGTCTGATAATGGCTTTGGTCCTGATATTATCATTATTATTATTATTATTATTATTATTATTCACAATTAACTCAGTGTTACTGGCAGCACCATCGCATGCAGTCACTGCGTCTGGCATAATTTTGCTGATGAGTGAAGACAACCTTGTGGGTAGTTTTTGAGTTTGGTTGACATGTAAACTATTTGGAAAGTGAGGGGGAGGGGTGGGTTATGTGCACAAATGGGCTGGATCATGCTTAGGGTTACTGGTATGCTTCAGCATCAGGTTACAGCGCCATGACCCCGCAAGCCAGAGTTCCTCTTACTGGAGGAACATTTTCATGCACACAATTGATTTCATCGAATGGGCATGGCTCATCTGACTGTCCCTTAAGGACCATCATTCTTCTTCCATCAATGATACTCTGTGAGATGGGTGTGTCCCCTCTATGGCTCCGAAAGGCATTCTAATAAAAAGATAAATTTCCTCCTTGCGATCTTGGGCTTTGGGTGTTCCTTACTCTGGGAAGGGATTTAAAGCTGTCTGCCAGACCCGTGGGCTGTTAAAACAAGACAGTGCCACAATGCTGAGCTCAGGCCTGCAAATTCCCCCCCTCTTCCTCCTCCTCCTCCTCCTGTTGCTCACAGCGATGGAGCTCGGCTGCTCTTTTACAGAGGAGGACAAGAAGTTACTCGTGGACCTGCACAATCAGTATCGTGCTAAGGTTTCCCCTCCAGCTGCAGATATGCTGAAAATGGTAAGTGAGCTGTGGGCAGCCCTGGACTTTGCTGTAATGTGGGGATTCAGAGACTTTCTGTCTTCTTGCTCAGAATATTTCTCTGGAAAGAGCAACTTTGTTTGTTTGTTTGTTTAATAAAATGATTGTTTAGAGTTTCCCTTTCTTTTGTGAGTCTGCATCTAACTAAGTGACTGAGACAAGTAAGTGCAAAGCTTTTCGGTTCTAACTCAAATGAGCACCTAGACTGGTTTTCTCTGTAGATCTTCATGGTGTACTTTTACATGCCAGATATTTGTTATAAGCACTGTGATTTATTTGTGTGTAAGGTGTTCTGTTAACTTCAGAAGTCTGTTTCCTTAAATGAGTTTGAGCTTTGTAGATACCCTAGCACTAAGCATTTCACTGGAGCTTTTCAAATGGAAGGATCACCTGCATTTTATCAGCTTCCTGTGATGAATTAGTATAAGTTAAAGAAGGCAGCTTGGACCCAGCCGCCACAATTCTGTGCCTGGTTATGATATCAAGCAGCTTTGTCATTTTGGGGCAAGTTCCTTTTCCTCTGTTCCCTCCCACCCTTATTGTTTGTACTGAGAGCGCACAGCTACTTGGATCACAATTCTACTAGAGCATCATTTGGACTTCTATACATACTGAAAGAAAAAAGAAAAGAAAAAAGATCAGGCTGCACATTTGTAACTCATTAGTTTCAGGCGACACAAAACAGACCTCTTCCCTTTTGGTTGTGCTTCTGTTGCCGGAAACTCGGCACTCAAACATCACTCTGGCATGGCTGATTACAAATGATTCTCCTTCCTCCAGCCCAGCTGATGGTAGCACCATTACTAGTGAGACCCTGTGTGTTAACATGGTCATCTAGTTTCAACAGGAATCTATTGGATAGTGCCTGTGCCATCATTGTTGACAAGATCCATAACACCTACTTCTACCCATCTCCACCCCCCGCAAAAAGGTTTTGTTTTAAATTTATTTCTTCATTGCTGGGTTTATTGTTTCAGCTTCCCTTCCTATGATGGTGTTTCAGGTTTGTTTAGGTTCAGAAAAGGGGTGGGAGAACTCACTGCTTACCTGCTTTGCAGTGAAAGCTGAAGGACCGGCACCGGCACGATGTTTTGATGGCGAATGCAATTTATTGGAGGTAGGCTGGCCTGGCTGGGATTGCAAGGGCCTCCTGATTGGACATTTTAAATCTGAGTCCTGCCTCTTTGAACTGGAGGCAGAGGGAGGAACAAGAAATCAGCCTGTACTGAGGGAAGGCTGGGCAAGCACAAGTGAGGAGAGAGAAAAAGGGGTTTCCCCGTTTTTGGGGGGCAGGAGAAGTGAGTCTTTGTGAATAAATGAATTGATTGTGGAGTTTGCCAGTGAGAAATGTGGAATTATTTTTTTCTTGGGGGGGGGGGGAAATGATCTGGAGAATTAATGTTTGGGTCTAGAATTGCACCTCTGCCTTGTACTTTTTGTGGTCTTCAGTAAGTAACTCATCTGCATGTAACCCAGACCTCTTAAGAGTCAAAGTAGATGGAATATGGGAGGTCTGTCAACTGATTTCCCGAATATTGACTCTCTTTGAGATTTATAAAGCAACTGTGGGGAGGAAATCAGAGCCGCAGTGTGGTTGGGAGGCAGGTTAAACTTTGCTCCTATGCCTGTAACTACCGGTAAATCTAAACTGTCGTCCTGCCGCTGGTATTAGCAATGGGTGGGGAAGGGGGTATAGGCAAGCCCCTCCCTGGTGTCTGCATTTAAGTGTTGACCCATTGGGATCTCCCACATCGCATCTAGGGTGGCTCCTGCAGTGGCTGGCCAAATGTGTCTGTGATGTTTTCAGAGAGGACGTGGGGGAAAGAGCACATAACTCTATGCTGCCTCTGAACTTAGCTATCCCATTTAGCTAGCATAGCTGGCAGGTGATGCTTCCATGGCTGGAGCAGGTAGGAGAAGCTTTGGAGGAACCTGGGTGATGGGAATGGCTTAGCAAGGTAAGCGGGGGATGACTTTGAACAGCATCTCTTCTTGGCAGCAACGGCTGCCCCCATTATGATACAGTTTTGTGTACAGATGACAAACCTTTTTTCAAATATAAAAATTAACCCAAAGTTAGACTCACATTCAGTGTGAGTGATAAGTGACGGGATGACAAATGATCACCAGCCTTAATTGGGTTTATCACTTTTCTCAGCTTCTCTGTGATGAGATTAATCATACAACAGAAAACAGGTCCTTAGATTCGTGTTAGCTAAGCAAGATATGCAACGATCATGTTTATTTTATTTATGGCATTTGTACCCTGCCATTTAGCCAAAAAAAAACTTCTCAGAGCTGCTTACGAAAATCAGTACTAAGACAGAGCCTGCCCTCGGGCTCACAATCTCTAGAAAGGCATGACACACAAGGAAAAAGGATTGAGGGGGAGGAGGGACAAGCAAGCTCCAGCACACGCACTTAAACATACAGCCAACAAAAATACCTTCAAGAATAAACTGACCCTTAGTTACTTTGTTGTTGTTGCTTAGTGGACCATATTTGCTTGGGGCAGATTCACACACAGGCTAAAATTTTACTGCACGTATTCCCCCACATGGTGACTCATAGCTGAAAATATGAACTGTCTCCTGTCATTGCAAAATACTGGAAGCCACGGCAGACGTCACCTGATGCTACAAACATACATGGGTGGGTGCCTTCTTTTAAGCACAAGTGTATAGGTACAATATGAGTTAGAAGTTCAATAAATACTGAACTAGTCAGAAAAACAAATTTTAGCTAAATGCTGTTGAATTGTGAAATATGCTGGCTTTATTCAGCATAAAAACAACTTTTAAAAAGACATTTCAAGTGCATTGTACGTCTTGGGCATTTCTAGGCTGATACAGATGGATTTAATTTTATTTCACTTTTATACCTCAGCTGTGTCTGTATTAATCTTTTCATGGTTCTTGTACATATGCATATCTTTCTGAAATACTGCAATTGTTTTCTTTAAAAATACTGAATTTTCTGAATTGTACAAGCATATCCATACACATCCTGATACGTTTGATACTTTAAGGAGGCTGGAGCTTGAGATAAGATCGTGTAGTTGCCTGTTGCAGGATGCTAATAATACTTTATTTTAAAAGTAATTAAAATATTCTACATCACTTTTGGGTGCTTTAGAAGAAAAGAAAATACAATTCAAAGCAATAACAGAATTAAGCCAAACTTTTAAAACCAACATTAAAATAATGTCAAAACCCAGCCAGAATAAAAATGTTTTTACCCTCGTTCCAAAACAAAACTCACCAGGGATGGGGGCAGGTCTAACCTCCCTAGGGAAGGAGATCCATAACCAGGGTGCTGCCACCAACAAGGCCCTGTCCTATGTTTTCACCAACCTTCTGGTGGTGGGCTTAGCTTTTCCCAAAAAAAGCCAGCAGATGAGCTCCACCAGGTGTCTGTGGTGAGTGACTGTAGGGGTGCAACCGAAACACAAAAAGAACAGCTCTGATTGAAGAGGATAACTAGTAAGAGTCTAAAACTTTTTAGAGGTTTTCTAACCTAGTGCTCTTCCAAGTGTTAATGGACTACAACTCCCATCATCCCCAGCCACTGGCCATGCTGTCTGGGGCTGATGGGAGTTGGAATCATGCAACATCAGGAGGGTCTGAGGTTACCCATTCCTGCTGTAAGATTTCTGCCAAGAACCATTCATAGCCCTTTAATTAGATATGTCCTCCTGCAGTTGGTGTGTGGGTATGTGGTTCTCTCAGTAAGTGGAGCACAAACAGTAATGGAGCATGGAATGTGGTGTGCTTTTTCCTTAAGTGATTTCCTGTAGCAGGTCATGGATTTATTTATTTTTAATGATAGCCCACTTTCCCTCTGTTCTTGAGCTCAGATCAGCTAACAACAAGACATTTAAAATAATACCCTGTCAATAAACCAGACCCATAATCAGACAGCAATATATAATCAATCTCGGCGGAACGATAGCTAGAAAAACATCTGTCTTCTCCTAAAAAACCACATTTAGCCAGCTGGTGGAATGCATATAAAGATGGGACTGGACAGATCTCAGCAAAGACATTTCAATGCATTGGTGCCATGACTGAAAAGACCCTGCTTCTTGTACCCACCCACCCCATCTCAGTTGTGGCTTCTGATGTCAACCAGAAAACACTGGAGGGAACATGCAGAGAAAGGCAGCTCTGCAGTACCCAGGCCTTGTAAGCCATTTAAACCTTAAGGTAAGAAGTAGTAGCTTTAAAACTGGAAGCAGTTGCAGATCAACAACTACCAGAACAATGTGCTCCATCTGGCCTTCAGCAGGACGCTGTGAAAATGTGAAGAACTACTCGTCTGGACGGACCCTTTGGCTTTTTAGTGGAACAAAACGTGCTGATGTGTATATATTTTGTTTCACTTCTGGCCTGAAGAGTAGGAAAGACCTGCTGATGTTGTGAGGCTGCTTCCAAGCTGAAGACTTTTGAAATTATCAGGTGTGTCTCAGGAGTCTCGTGTCTGATTATACTTGCAATACAGATGAGAATCGTGCTGATGGCTGCTAGTCCAAAAAATGAACTAATCGGGTTCTGCTCAGGTGACATGGCAACTGTGGGGCTTAAACAATTTCAGTTATGTCAGCCCCTGTGCTATACTTCCTAGATGTATCCTGTGTGGTAGTACTAGTACTAGTACTGCTTCTGGAAATGCTCCTTCTCTCTATTCAAAATGTGGATGCTAAAAGTTACCTCCATCTGCTTCAGGCTTCTCCCTATGCTTCCCACCCCCCTTTAACATCAGACTTGTGGTCAGTTTCTTCTGTTCCCAACCCCCTCTCCTCTTCTCTGAAGTCACACTTTTCAATTTTGTTTGGATCAGCAGAACTGGTTGCCTTGGAAATTTATATATATACATTAAGCTATGTCTGCCAAACTATATTCTAATGGAACAAGAAAACCAGCTGTTGGATCCTTATATATGGAGTCTGGCTCTGGTTCACAAAAAGGGGAATAATAAACTCAAGTTGGACCTGCCATTTCAGCCCCTCCCAAAAATTATACAGAGGGCTGCCCCAGAGGGGGAGGAATTAGTGTCCCAGGAACTGACCTTCTGTTCTTCCAACCTTTCAAAGCTATTTTGATCAAGAAAAATGAGAATGATTGCACCACAGACCTAATAGCTTTAATGGTAACACCTTCTCCCCAGAAAACTATACTCTAGACCAGTGGTTCCCAATTAGCGAAGTACTGTGGGCCCCTTGTTTTTCAAAAGCCAAGCCATGGACTCCCTACTTCTGAAAATGTTTTTGTTATGTGAATGGTGCCCCGGACCCCCAATTGGGAACCATTGAGCTCTCCAAGGTCCCCAAATCTGACAGCCTTGTTTGCAAATGGCCAATTGGTGTTGCCTTCAGCATTTTGGGCTGGGCTTATCTTTTAGCAGTAGCAGTAGGACCTTTCATTCCTTTTCAAAATTTTACTTTTTCACCACCACAGATGGCGGGAGCAGACCTTCCCTCTTGATCCAGATGTCATGTTTATTACCATAGAGTCTGGTAAATTGAAGGAACTGGGCTTGGAGACAACCTTGGTAGTTTGGAAGATCCTTCTCAAAATGTCCGGCCAGCCTCCCAAATCCCCAGCTTCCTCTGCCAGCACAGATCAAAATCCAAGTGTGAAGTCCACCTGACTTAACTGCCTCCTGCAAGCGTGCCAAAGCTTTCTCCAGGATCAAAAGGGGAGGGGCGTCATAATATTGTTTAAGTGAAGGGATATGTTGTACTATAGGGACGTGGGTGGTGCTGTGGGTTAAACCACAGAGCCTAGGACTTGCCGATCAGAAGGTCGGCGGTTCGAATCCCCGCGATGGGGTGAGCTCCCATTGCTCGGTCCCTGTTCCTGCCAACCTAGCAGTTGGAAAGCACATCAAAGTGCAAGTAGATAAATAGGTACCACTGTGGCGGGAAGGTAAACGGCATTTCCATGCGCTGCTCTGGTTCACCAGGAGCGGCTTAGTCATGCTGGCCACATGACCCGGAAGCTGTACGCCGGCTCCCTCGGCCAGTAAAGCGAGATGAGCGCCGCAACCCCAGAGCTGGTCATGACTGGACCTAATGGTCAGGGGTCCCTTTACCTTTTATGTTGTACTATGGGAGGGGAGTGCTTTCAGGTCCAGGGCAGTTGTAATAGCCAGTTGAAGAACTGCACGTTCTGTAATACTCTGTGCTACTGTATTATAGCAGGCAGGAAGTGAGGACATGGCAGGCATCTGTGGTGGTCTTGGAAAGGCTCATAGGTGCTAGGTGCTGCTACCAGCACTGCATTCTGAATAACCTGCATTGTGGATGCAGCAGCCAAAACAGGAACATAAGGCAGGCATTGGCAAACTCCGGCCCTCCAGATGTTTGGGACTACAATTCCCATCACCCCAAGCTAACAGGACCAGTGGTCAGGGATGATGGGAATTGTAGTCCCAAACATCTGGTGGGACGGAGTTTGCCTATGCCTGACATAAGGCAATGGGGGTGGGCACTGTGGGCCTAATTAAGAAAGTTGTTTTTTCCAAACCATGCCCACATATGACATCATATATGACATCAGGTCTCATTTGAAGTCAGATCAATCCAGGTTTGCACTTTGAGAAACAACCTGTGAACCGAAATGCAGCTAGCCTTTGAAATTTGCACGTATCTGAATTTTGCTATGCAGTTCACCAACCAAACAGTATTTTAAAAATAAAAATACATATATTAGGGGAAAGTGTGTGTAAAAATGAATATATTGATGCAAATAGCACACAAGAATGCATGAGATTAGGAAAAAATGCTTGCAAAAATGTGCACATTAGTAAAAAAAAAATGCATATAAAAATGCGTATATTAGGAGAAATCTGCACCAAAATGCTGATGATTTTTTATTTTAAAAATCCTCAATTGCTGCAAAATGTGGAGAACTGGATTTAAGACTGGGAAAATGGGAAACGGAGAGAACCACAACTGAGAGCGCCTTCCATCCTTGTAGCAGAATGAGGTGGGAATGAAGTGGCAAGTTCTAAAGCAGTCTTTGACAACCTGGTGCCCTTCAGATATTTTTGACTCTATCTCTCAACAGTCACAGCCACAGCCAGCATGGTTCTGGGGGCTAAGCTTGATGAAAGCGCTAGTTCAGAACAACTGGAAGGCACCAGGCTGATGAAGATGGTTCTGAGAATGGGTTATGTCACTCCAGACTACAGGTGGAAGAACCACTTTTTACAACAGATCTTTGAATAACCACCTCCCTGCAAATAAAAAACTAGCACATAAAGGAACTTGAACTTTTACCCTGACAGGCTACCTTTTTATTGGCAAAAAGTTTTTGTTTTTTTAAAAACTTCCACATGTTGATGCATTCAAAAATGGTACTTTCCATGAAGTGATGCAGGGTTGACACAGGAGAGTCCATGCTAGCAGCTCAGATTTCTACCGTTCTGCTGTATTTATATGCTAAGTCTCCATGTATTCCTATGGGAGTTTGAAAATTCACATCTGCAATGCAGGACTGTGAAGATTCCTGTTCTGCTTCTGTATGTGCTCCTTGGCATCCTCAAAAGTCATGCAACAAAAACCTCCCCACAGAGGTGTGTCTGGCATCTTCATTACACATGTTTTGGCAAATGCTGATAACACACCCCTTTATCCTGGCTTTTGACCCTTGAGATGCATATTTTTAGGACCCACCTTGTTTCTGTGCTTGTCAGCTTTTTCAAGCTGTTTTCAATTATTGTAACCTACCCTGGGACATTTGGGTGAAGGCTGGGCAATAAATTATAACAATAAAATATCATATGAAATATTAACATAGAGAGCATTGAAATGTTGTTGTTGTTGGCATCCATCTGTCTCGAGAGACAATGGAATGCACTTCCGGGGGTGAAATCAAACCACTGAAAAATCAAAACGGCACTGGAGTGACCGCCTGAGGGTGTGTGGAGGTCCAAAGGGAAAGCAGAGCAATACGTTTGGCACCAGCTTCGCTGCAGGAGTTGCCGGAAGGAGACATACAAGGCACCATCCAACCATCTTAGGGACTCAGCTCCAGATTTGTGCGGGGTTTACACCGGGGTCAGCAACCTTTTTCAGCCATGGGCCGGTCCACCGTCCCTCAGACCATGTGGTGGGCCGGATTATATTTTTTGGGGAAAAAAATGAACGAATCCCGATGCCCCACAAATAACTCAGAGATGCATTTTAAATAAAAGGACACATTCTACTCATGTAAAAATGCGCTAATTCCTGGACTATCTGCGGGCCAGATTGAGAAGACGATTGGGTTGGATCCAGCCCCCGGGCCTTAGATTGCCTACCCCTGGTTTACACCTTAGTCTTTTCTTCTCCCGGAGATATCCCTCAAGGCAGCAGAGGTTTAGGATCAGAGTTTTCCTTCTCTAAAATTCACGTTGTGGTTACTGTAATGCACTCTATCTGGGGCTTCCCTTATACTTGATCCTGAAGCTGCAAGTTAGTAGAGGGCAGAGCGGTTGCTCACAGGAGTGTGACCTTTTCTGCGTATATTGCCTCTGCTCAGAGATCTGCACCGCTTGCCCATTTGCTAAATTGTTGGAATATTCTGCACGGTTCAAGCTGTTGCCCCTCCGAAAAGGATACTGTAGGACAGGGAAAGGTATAGATGAGGGCAGCCAAAGTGATCCAGCAGCTGGAGCAGCTCTCCAGCAAGGAAAGGTTACAATTTTTGGCACAATTTAGTTTAGAGAAAAGTGGGGACAACTTAGAGGTGTATGAATTCATGCAAGGCTATTGTCTGCATGTCCTGTTTGTGGACTTTTTAGAACAATCTGGTTGGTCATTTTGGGTAACAGGATGCTGGACTAGGTAGGCCCTTGGCCTGACTCAGCAGGGCTCCACCCCCCACCTTCCTCCACATGGTCATAGTCATACAATTCCATTGTGCATTGTTCTAACTCTGTGCTGAGATTCCCACCCTTCAGTCTGCATTGTTTTGTAGAACTCCCCAATCCTGCCTGTCACATTGGAAAGCCGAGAGGAAATTCGGTGTGTTGAGTTCAACAAAACCTGCGGCCAGAACAGGGTGGGAAATTCACCATAGGGATGCTGGATTCCATGTCAAGAATAGCTTCACGCTTGAAAGCGAAGTGGAACCAAGACCGTTTCTCCTCTGCCTCCACCAAAGCAAATTTCTCTCTCCTCCTGACCAAATAGATGACACACCATTCCTTGCGGCAAATGGCTCGCTCCAAGATGTCTTAGAGGGGTGGGCCTCAGAATTTGTTAGTCAAGGCTGTCTCTTGCTGTTGCTTGACTGTTTTGGATGGCAGCGCAGAAGCCCTGGCAGCTCCTTTGAAGAAGAAGAAAACATTGCCTCAGTTTTGTACTGTAACCTTCCCTAACCGCACTCTCTTGTACGTAAACGCACTCTGCTCTTCCTGCTTAGCAACTGCTGCTGCTAAAGTAGCCTGTGGAGCTCAGCTGGATAAGAAGGGACTGTCTATCACAGCACTAGAGGGATCTGCTGGCAAGCAGCTGTTGGTCTCTGTTAAGTAACAAGCTTTCCAGATGTTTGCATTGGCTCTGGCCAAGCACAGCTGTTAAACTGGGCATGACTTTATCCTCACAGTAGGGAGGAGTTCTGCATATTTACTGTACCTTCCTCTTAGCAGGGTTGTAAGGGAGAGAGGGGGCTTTGGACCTCAGCTCTGCTACTGGCCTCCGAACCCATCCTGCACCTTACGCCAAATGAGGTGGTAGGCTGTGAGAGTCCTGGATGGCGGCCCTCTCCCTGACGTGCTAGATTACGACATCTGGGAAGCATTTTTTAACGCTCCTCCGTATAAAATCCTCACAGAGGATTTCAGAAACAACTGCCTTGTGAGGAAGAGTAGCAAACAATCTGCTCAGAGAGTGGGAAGTGGTGGAGTCAGCTGCCCACCGCACCAGGTCTACCTCTAGTGACAGGAGCGATAAGTAGCTGGCAGGTTCCATCTGGTCACCCAGAAGGCCAAAGCCTCACCCTTATGAAGTCAGCAAATTCTGGCTGACCAGGAAGGTTGAGTCACTAGACTATTTCTCTGGGGTCTGACAGGCCTGCCTTTGGAACTCCGAGAAGCCCTTTTTCATCTTAGCTGGCTGTTATAAGATCTTTTGTAACATTAAGAATGTTGTGCCTTGGTTTGCTTGTTTTTCCTCTTCCCTCCTCATCCCCTTTTCCTTTTGTGTCATGAAGGCAGAGACGGTGTCATTTTTGTTGACATAAACCACTCTGGGAGCATTTCTGGATGAAGAACAGGCTATAAATGCAGTTAATAAATAATAAGTAAAATTTAAAAAACCAATTCTTTGTAATAAGCTAGCTCATCAGAGTGAGGACAGCACTAATTCTATTTTGCTGGTGTAGTAGTTTATTGCAAACCAAGAGTTGCAGCCTTAAAAAAATGTAATCTCCAACTTGCAGTCTAGAGTGGCTGCCCCATAATTTTAGCTCTTCATCCTGCATAATGTTTAAAGCTCCCTGGCTTAAAAATGTTTTGCCACATCTAAAAGAGTCAACTGAACACCAATGTTTTGCTACTTTAAATTTATTTATTTAGATAAATGAATATACAGTAATCTGCAAGGTTGGGAAGCATCTTGTGCTGTCTGTGGTTCAACCATTTCAGCAGTAAAGCAATTCTGCAATATTTACACTATGGATATAGCAGACAGATTCACCTTGGACTGGTATTTGCAAAGGCACCTGAAGAGCTCCAGTGTTCTCCAAATAGCCAGAAATGATTGTGATTGTGCCTTATAGATGCCTTGAACCACTCAGAGGTCTCTAAACAAGTGTGCTGCTGCTGGATACACTAGATAATTAGGAAGGGTACATGTGAAAACCATTTATAACTGAAGCTGGAAAAGCTGCCTTGAGGACTGACTCCCATTTTTCCTTCTGATGACAACAGCTCCCTCGCCTTGGGCTGAGCTCCAGACCTTCCTATTGCTAGGCCGGCCAGGCACGCTGACCAAATTCCAGTGGGAAGCACTCCTGCGATTGGCCTGTGTGAGAAGCCGTTCTGCGTGATGGTGACGTCCTGCTTTGTCCTAATTTCAGAGTTGGGATCCAGAGCTGGAAGCCTTTGCCAAGGACTACGCAACAAAATGCATCTGGGAACACAATGCGGAGCGCGGACGGCGAGGCGAGAACCTCTTTGCCATGTCTGGCGACCTGGATGTGACGATGGCGGTGGATGAGTGGTACAACGAGTACGCCTTTTATAATATGACAACATTAACCTGCCAAGAAGGGCAGATGTGTGGTCACTATACACAGGTATCTGATTATATCAGTGGTTTTCAACCAGTGTGCCGTAACACCCGGGGTGCTTTGAATGATGGTCAGGGGTGCTGCGGGCAACACTGGCCTCTGTCCATCTTTCCTTTCTTCCCTTCCTCCTCTGATGCCCTCTCAGGTCTCTGCCTCCCAAAAGCTTGCACAGCTGTTTGTTGTAGCAGCCCTGGCTACAAGCTGTGCAGGCAAGTGGTACCTCTGGGGCTGGCCAAAGGGTGCTGGTTGCCAGGAGCTGAGGCAGCCTTGGAGTAAGCAAGCAAGCAGGCGAGGGAGCCTAGCCCTTGCTGTTGGGAAGGGACAGACAAGTCCCAGGCCCCTGTGGGGCAGTGTGTTTTTCTTTTTCCTTTCCTTCCTTTTTGTATTTTATTTTATTTTGAATAATGAATGGAATAGCTGTAATATTTAATAAAATCAATAAAGATATGGGGGGGGGAGACAAGTCCCAGGCCCCTGTGGGGCAGTGTGAGGAGGCACCTCTCTTTGGGGTGGGGGCAGTACAGAGAACCAGAGGTGGCAGCAGCAGCAGCAGCGTCTACCCAGAGGACTCCCAAGGAGAGGAGGCTGAGGGAACCCCTCTGGATTACGTCATCCTGGGAAGAGCTGAGGGTAAAGCCTGGGAAATGGTATTAGCCATGATGGCTGTGTTGTACCTCCTCTGTCAGAGGCGATGTGCCTCTGCCAGTTGCTGGGGATTCACAAGGCTTTCCACAGGCATCTGGCTGGCCACTGTGAGAACAGGTTGCTGGAGTAAATGGGTTATTGGCCTGGTCCAGCAGGCTTTTCTCATGTACAGTGGTACCTCAGGTTAAGAACTTAATTCGTTCTGGAGGTCCATTCTTAACCTGAAACTGTTCTTAACCTGAAGACCACTTTAGCTAATGGGGCCTCCTGCTGCTGCCGCACCACCAGAGCACGATTTCTGTTCTCATCCTGAGGTAAAGTTCTTAACCCGAGTCTGTAACCTGAAGCGTCTGTAACCCAAGGTACCACTGTATATCCCCACATCATTACTAAAATGAGCAGACTCTGTCGTGATGGGGCTCCATTGTTTGGGTCCAAAAGGTGGAGGGTATCTTGGCTTCAGTTTTAATTCGTGGCTGAGATAGCAATAAAGACGTCACCCACGTAGTCCCATGGGTTGTGCTGCCATCAGGGGACCAGCGGCTTCCATACAAATGCTTCAAGACTAGGGTGGCAGTATCTGTCAATTCTTTTTCTGACTGCAATAGCAAATAGAACTTGCTCTTCCTTACTGCTGTAGGTGGTCTGGGCAAGTAGTGAGCGTGTGGGCTGCGGGACGGTGTTCTGCGAAACTCTGGAATTCCTGAATGACACCGACATGCATTTGGTAGTCTGCAACTATCAGCCACCGTAAGTTTCATTTTGTTGGGGCCGGGGTGTTTTTTCCTGAGTGTTTTTTGCCTGGCTGGAATGTGTGCTTTGAACCATGTTGATTCTTCCTGCTTGTGCAGTTGCTGCAATTTAGTTTCAACTGTTTTTGATGTTTTATTTTACATTGCTGTGACCCGCCCTGAGTTCTTCTGGTGAAGGGTGAGTGGGTGGTAATACTAATAATAATGCATAGTACCAAATTTCCCAAAACTATGGCAGTGGCAAGAAGGTGCCCCCCTTAGTCTTAGCAGATAGGGAGGTCTGTTATGGGAGAAGGCATTTCACCAAGTGTCCAGATCCTAAGCCATGTAGGGTTTTAAATATCACTACAAGCACTATGGGTGGGGGGAGAAATTCAATCCAGTTTGCATTTACAAGTGAATCTCCCCAACCCAAACCCAGATGCCTTTTGCAATTTGCAGTTCTCCTAATTTTGCAATGCAGTTTACAGCCAGGTAATGCACATACTGAGGTTAAGCGTACATAAAAATGCGTATTTTAGTCAAAATAGCATATTATAGAAGGGAAAGTTGGTTTACAAAAATGTGTACATTGAGCAAATTTAATAATGTGTACATTAGGAGAAATGCTCATGAGGACTTTTTTTTTTTGGTGGTGGTGTGGGGGGTGGAATCACAAGCTGATATGGAAGTGTGAAGGACTGATGAGGAGGAAAATGAGAAACTGAGAAAAACTGAAACTGACAGATTCATCTGTTTCCCCCTCCACCCAAAGCACAGTAGCATATTGACAGTCAGTACAACTCCTTCAGAACTGTTGCATTATGTTCTTGGCAGCTTGGCTGCAGAGTTTTGCTGTTCTCTCATCATTTGGGAGGGGGGTCATAGAATTTATTGTGAACAAGGAACTATAGCAAGGAGAGTCCAAGTGGAGCCTTCCAGTTATTCCACTCCCATCAAGACCAGGCAGCATGGTAAGAGATTATGAGGGCTGCTCCCCATCATTATCTGGGGTAGGTAAGTGGACACCATAACAGCAATAGTTACAGATCAAGGTAGCAAACAGTTACTTGGAATTCATTGTATGTGTACTTCTGACAGGAGTTAACAGGTACTGTAAATATACAAGATAATGAAGATCCACTTCAGGAGTCAACCTTACTTAAACTGCAGTTACTCTTGGCACCAGGTTTTTGTATTAATTCCAGGATTTACAGATCTGTGATGCTGCCGCTTCTGAAAATGGGGTCAAATTGGTCAGTATGTTCCCGATAAACTTTGTCCTCTCTCTTCCCTTACCTCATTTTAAAATGGCAACTTCCAATCATCTTCATAAGGTCTACTGGCTGTAGAATCAAGGACAAAAGAGCCACAAACAGGCACCAAATAGTTGATGCCTTTTGGCAGTCCCTCAAAGCATCCTCTTTAGCTGAGCTGGCCACCTTCCATCTTCCGAGTGAAGCTGGGAAGGTAGTTACATGCTGGAGAGGTGAACTCTTGGCAAAAGCCATCAACGGTCATCATAGAGTGTTCTTAGGTGCAGCTGTCAATGTGAAGGAGCAACAAAATGTTATGAAATTCTTATTTCTATTGTGTCAATGCTCTCCTTCCTTAGGGAAATGCCTAGTCCTTTTTTGAGTAATGCCTGGGTCTTTTCACTTCCAGGGGGAACATAAAGGGACGCAAACCGTACAAGGAAGGGGCTCCATGTTCCATGTGCCCAGATGGCTATTCCTGTAAGGACTCTCTCTGTGGTAAGTGAGTGGAACTAGAGGAGCCAGGAGATAAGGCAGATAGCTCCTTATCTGCACCCCAAATTAATGCCACTCAGGATTACCGTGAAATAAATTTCCACTGGCTGACAGGTGCAGATTATCCAGCCGCCTAGGAGTGTAGTGATTTCCTTGGCTGCCTTCACCCAATGATTATCCTTGTCAAAGCTGTTCCCCAACAGGAGAAGTAAATTCCTTCTTCCCTCTTGTTTTGCTGCAGGATGGGCAAAAATGCTTGGAGGAACAGTTTCCCTTTCAGCTGCAAACACCTGTCTCCTGCCTTCAGTGCACCACCATTATAAACAAGGACCTGCCAGCATTAATCCCCTTCCTCTCCCAGGGTGATGACAGTGTGTTTAAAACATGCTAGCTTCTCTTGTCCTTACCATAGCACCAGGAGGTGGCACTTTGGCTTTTATGAATACATGCAGCACACACACACCTTGAGTCTATGCACGCTAGAGGTCTTAGCCCTTATTGGTCCCCAGATGGATGGTTAGGTCACTCCATGCAAACACAGGCCATGTACACCTTTAAAGCACATTTGGAACAGGTTCTTTCCCTCAAAGAATTCTTTTTTTAAAAAATAATTTTTATTAACCGGCCAATCAAATCAAATCATATCACATCACATAAATTCCGAATTACAAAGCCGGATTTAAAATTTTTGTTGGGGGGACCCATATTTCAAGTTCCGAAGGGGGATTCCGATCATCTTCTTGCTGCTGCGTTAATATCCACAAATCTGTCCGAATAATGTTCATAATTCTATCCAGTCTTATCTTGCTGTTTCCACATCTCATCTTGTTCGTATATTTTTCTTTTTTTCTTTATGATCTCTTCTGATAATCTCCTTAAGCAGGTAAACACCAATTATAATCCTGTGTGAATTTTTCCGTTCGTCCAATCATCATATCAAGATGGTTTCCATATATCATCACTTTCATAAATAACAGCACTCTTTCCATCATTAATCTCGCAAATCTGTCGCTCTTTAGTCCCTCTGAGGAGGCACACCCACAATATAAAAACAACTCTGTTCCTCCTCCCAGACTCAAGTCTTCCGACAGAACTTGCCAAAATGGCAACGGTATTTTTTGCTGCGTCATTCCAAAGCTCTTATGCTTTCCACGATCTTCTTGAAACATGCTTTGGTTAGAAAATTATCTCTACACAGTCTTAAATCCACAGCTTAAGTCATTTAAACGGCATTTATGACTTGTGACTTGTGTGTGTGGGGGGATTCTTGGTTAATCACATAGAGAAAAGAAAGGAAAGTTCCCCCCCTCCCCCATCCAGTCCCGTTGCCGAACATACCGAGCCTTGGTGTGTCTTCTCATGATTTATTCTTGTTCCTCCGACCCGTCTTGTTTATCAGAGATCTCTTCAGTTAGCAGTCTTTACTCCCCCTTCTTCCTTGAAATATGTGCATTAGCTTCCTCCTAATTGTTTCTTTTGAAGTTGCTGCAGCTAGAGGCGCGAATCAGAGACAGCGTCCAGGAGCGCCGAGATCCGCACAAGGGCTTTCTGCCTAGGGCCCCCACCCCCACAAATTCGGGGGTGGTATAGGGCACAGCAGGCAAGGGCAGTCCCCCCCCACGCTTGGGGGGGGCAGGGAGGCTGTTTACTCCCATCACAGCCTCTTAATTACCTTGTGTGGGTCGGAGAGATGTTATTGTCAGCCATCTCCCGATGCGCCCCTAGTGGCCCCCCTCCCTCAAAGAATTCTGGGCATTGAAGTTTACGAATTGACCATTGGCTGCCCTCTAATGCTGCTCCATCTGCAACAGACTTCCTCACCCTAATAGTAGGGATGGCACTGGAAGCCATGACATTCCTTTCATGCATTCTGTCTCTGCTTGGGGTGTCTTATGTCTTGAGTGCTATGCTATATGGCATTTCACTGAGTTCTGCCCAAGATGTTTTGCACCTTTGGGAGAAAATTCAAATGACATTCCAGTCCAAGTTATGAAGAAATGGATGGCAATGTGCTGCCCTTTAACGGCATCTAGAATCTGCTGCCTGTGACCCTGGCCACACTTGGTTTCAAAGTAGGGCTCACCTTCTGTGCAAAAGTGAAATATCAGCCTTCCGTTCTCACTGGTTTTCTGGGAGGAGGGTGCGGCTTTGTGCATCTGTTTGCTGATTGTTCTGCTGGTCTCTCTTTTTGCCCACCAGAATCCGGTGTCGACGTGGGAGACGCCACTGCATCGCCTAAGCCGGAGCCAACGGCTGTCTTGACTGCAAGCCCAGCTCTGCAAACTACACCAGATTCAACACCTGATACGCCAGACAGTCCACAAACAGGAGCAGAATCTGAATCCCCAACAGCTGAAGGGCCAACCTCTTCACTAGAGCTAACTTCAGACTTGTCAAACTCAGACGCAACTGTTTCCTCTTTGGTGACAATGGGAGCTACAACTCTTCGTCCTGCCTCCCCAGAATCAAGAACTGAAAAAGCCACTTCCGCAGAATTTCCTTTGTCCGGTGGCTTAGCCACACCTGAAGCCACCATTAAAAAACCTGAGCCACCTTCAACTCCCCCCACACCAGTGCATTCTACCCCCAAGTCACCCTTGGTCCCTAAACCTGCATCCATCCCTAAACCTCCATCGACAGGTAAACCTCCCTCCATGCCCAAACCCCTTTCAGCCCATAAGCATCCCTTCTTCTCCAAGCTACCCGTCCCAAAGAAGCCTCCCGTCTCTAAAACACCTGCACGCCATCGCTTGTCAGCTTACTCCAAAGCAATAAACAAGCACAGCAATGCTGCTCAGGCCTCTGCAGATAAGGTACCTGTTCACAACACTGCAGCTAAGGCAGCTTCAATCTCGGTCTGCCTGCCTTGCCTTGGATGCAAACAGATTAGCCACCATGAAGAAATAAAGACTGCGCTTAAAGAGCTGACTTCCAGGTACCCCTATGCTCCGTGCTTTTCCCCGCTTCCCCGGTGGCAGAGGCATAGTAAGTGGGGCAATACACTTAGGAAGGCCAGGCCTTATTGGCTCAATAGTTTATAGCAGTATTTGATCCAACATATTTATAGGCTGAGCCCTCTGTCTTCTCTTCTCTTTCCCTTTCTGCCCTTTTAGTGAGTTTGCCAGTCTGCTGGGAATAGCACTGTAGCATGGCCAGTGGCTGAAAATTCTGTAGATGGTGGTACAAATCTTGCCCAAGCAATAATGCTCTTGGGAAGTTGCAGTTTATTTCCACAGCCCCGTGTTTTCACCCGTTCAGGAATGTGGAGCACATCTGATTTTATTCCCTACTTTCCTTCTCTTTAAGCTTTGCTAGGGTCAATCATGGCATACTGTCATGAAACCTCATTCCATCCAATGACTCACCTGTGATCATCCTCCCTCTTGTCTGTGCTCTGTGCATCACAAATGGGGGCCCTATTTATTTGCAGGACTGTGCCTGGAAGTCGTTCCCAGGCTTACTATTCTGCTTGTGAATTGGTGACAAGGTGTCTGCATTCTCCACTGGCAACCCATTCTTTACCCCAAAATGCCGATAAAAACCTGGATCTTGAAAACCTGGATAATGTAAAAAACCTGTATCTTGAAAGCTGAACAAATTGTGCAAGATAAGCAAAGGCCTGCAAGCCTACTGAATTCCTTTAGCTGATCCCAAAACATGAATTTGTGCTCCCTTGGTACAGACTCTGGAGCTTTGTGGCTCGGAATACAAACAGTTGTGTTGATCAAAGAATTGGTTGTGCCCACCTGAAATGTAAAGCAAACTGATATGGCTTGTTTGTAAGGAGGATGGAGAGAAAATGAATGACTGATTAGGGAGAGTGATGTGAGTCTCTATAGAAACTCAGTGCACAAGAGCTACATTAAGCAATCAATAAATGAAGTGCAAGTGGACCAAATATTTGCATGTGAAAGTGAAGCGAGTGCCTCTGTGGGTGTTTGCATTTGTAGCTCTTCAACTCTGTTCATTACAGTAGATCTTTCTTCCATTGGAACTCTACAAACCACAGTATTTTGATCAGGCAGCATTATTAAGGCTCATTCACCTCTTCTGTGCCATATGGGTATCTAAAGCTTTAGCTCCCTCTCTCCACCATTGTCTCCACTCCTTCTACCACCTGACAGGGACATAGAAAACTATAAACCAAATCAGCTTATTGGTCCATCTAGCTCAGTATCGTTTACGCTGACTGACATTGGCTCTCCAGAGCTCCAGATTTTGGGGTGCATTCCCAGCCCCACCTGGAGATGTGCTGGGATTGAATTTGGGACCTCCTGCACGCAGACCAGATGCTCTACCACCGAGCTATGGCCCTTGCACTTCAGAGGACTTGTTTGACTAGGCCTGCTTGCATATCAGGGATATGTATTAGACTGGACCCCCCACGATAGCTGCATTTTGAGCTTTGCACATGTGTTTTGGTAGCATGCTGCATCCCTTCCTGTTTCTGTTGCACGGAACCAGGGCAGGTTCCTCTTCTCTTCAGCTGACCCGTCTCTTACATTTTTTCAAAGCACAACCAGGTGCCAAAGATACCAAAGATCTTGTGACAGACCCACCCAGGAAAGATTCTGAGCAGGTAGCAGCCCTTTTTTTGCCTTTCTGTTTTCCATTCCTGAGTACTCCTGTTCTGATAAGCCTTCTCCTTTGATGTTTGCCTCATAAGAATATTTGCTCCCCATTTCCATTCTCCTGTGCTGCTTGTGGTTTGTTTCTTCATCTTGCTGTGTTTGGGGTGCGTGAAAGACAAAGGTGAAACTCTCCCCCTGTTTCTTGCTCCCCCTGACCTCTGTGGTCATTCCGGTTAGATTAGAAACATAGGAAGCTGCCCTTTATCAGGTCAAGTCACCTAGCCCAGAATTGTGACTGGCAATGGTCCGCAGACAGAAGTATTTCCTATCAGCTGCTAACTGATTCTTTAAAAAAAGGAAAAGAGGAGATGCCAGGATAGAGCTTGAAATTTTCTGCATGCAAAGCATGTGATGTACTCTAAGGTCCCTCTCAATAAAAAGGCCTGGAGAGTCCATTCTAACAGAGCTCCTACTTCTTGGTATCTAGCCTCAGGTGTGATGGTATGGTTCTTTGTGGGTGTGTAAATGAAGGAGGAGAGATCATTTGTATGAGTCTGATTCACAAAGCCATTTTTATCAGTTGCTACAATGGATGAAACACGATGGTGTGAGATGCCTCTTGGCTCAGCTAATAACTGACTGAGCTTTCTTATATGTGACTGTTGTACAATATGCAAAAGTATATTGCTTGATAACTGACTAGCATCTCAGCCGGGTATGTGAATATGCCTTCAACTTATCACCAAGTTCAACCTGAAACTACTTGACAATACTGGAATGCATGTTTGGTTGGATGATGATTCCGCTCATTTCAGCTGAGCTCACTTTCCGAGTAACTGGCTTAGAACTGCAACTCTGCATCCCACCTAAAAGTGTGCATAGCTACAGGGGTACACAGAGCGACTTAGGCTGTCATAGGAGCCAGTCTTTGCTTAGTCTGGCCCACAGTATTTGCAGCTCCTTAAAGCAGAGGTGGTGAACCTGTGACTTTTCTGATGTCGCTGGACTCCAACTCCCATCAGTCCCAGGCAGCATAGTAAAATTTGCAGGATTGTACATCAGAACTTGCGCCTAGTTTACTGCATCTTTGCTACTTCCCTGGGTGGAATCCAGTGTAGTGCTAATGTCCTGTTAGCACAAGGATTTCCACTTGCACAGTGGGATTTCACCCCCTCTTCTACCTGTGTGCCCCCTGTTCTGGGGCTTCTCCTGACCCTCCACAGCAGTTTGGGGAGGGTGCGGGACATGCATGGGGAGAAGAGCGGGAAAGCTCCATTGCACAAGTAGAAATCCTAGTGCTGATGGAACGAGGCAGTTGGATACCGCCCCGGTATGGGGCCACACCACCTCCAAAGATCTGCGATCATGTGCTGTTCCTGCAGCCATTCAATATCCCATCCTTTACACCAGGTTAGCCAGGGGCGTGGTTCATAGGAGTGAGACCAAGGGACCAAGACTACATCAGTTCACTTCTTTCCTGTAATTCTGCGGACAGTGAACTGTACTACTGTCTCCAATCTGAGAGCAATAAGGCAAAGTTCTCCAGTATCCAGGTGGAGCTGGCCCTTTCCAGTTGTATCTAAGGAAGACCTAGCAAGGCAGGCTTGGGGAACCTGTGGTCCGGCAACTCCCCCCCAATCCCAGCCAGTACGGCTGATGTTCAGAGATGTGGGAAGCTGTAGTCCACTGACATCTGGAAGATCATGGGTTAGGTCCCTCCTCTTAGCAATGGCTGACTCCTAGCTGAAACATTGCACATCCCAGTTCTTTCATACAGGTCTGGCATAGATCAGCTCTAAAGATCAGCTCATCAGTTTTGCCTTGCCTCTTGGGCACATTCCATGTCACCCAGCAAAACAAGGTGTGTTGGTTTCCAAAACACCTTGTGGGGTGGCTGCAGTATTTTAGATGGATTTCTCAAATTAGGGATATATTTAAAGTGAGATGCCACCCACACACCTTGCCAAACCAGATGATACTGGCTCTAGCCAATGAAGAATGGAGACCAAATTGCTGGACAATTAGGTTCATTGCACGCCACATCTAGGCAATCTTTCCCCCCTCTGTATTGCTGAATGGTCCTTGCATTATACTAGCCTCATCATGACAAGCCACAGCTGGCCTAGCTAAGATCCAGTTGAAGGTGCTACTTGAAACGGAGGGCAGCAAATGTGGTGTTCTTTGCTAACAAGAGTTGTGAAGACGGGATGAATTTTGAAATGGTGCAATGAAGTAACATTGTGAGGTGTGTCTTTTAATGCACCCGGAAAATCCTGCTATTAATAAATGTTCTTCTAAAAACCATTGGTCTGGAAAATGCACTGTTTTTGCTGGGTGGTTCCTGGATTCTCTTGTGGATACATTGCTAGAGCTGTTTTGAAAAGGAGGGTTTGAACTAGGTAGCAAGTGGAGTTGCCTGCCCTGCTGAAGGCACCTGAGAAGGGGAGAGTAGCTTGTCTACTAGTGCAAGTGACTCAACAGGTGTATAGGCCACAGATCAAGGAATGCTATATAGCATTTCCCACATTAACTAGCATCCTGGCCTCAGAGAAATGGGATAGTCAGGATTTCCTTACTGAAAAATACAGGCTCGGGACTATCATTCCATCATTTGATCAATTGAGAGGTAAGGAATGCATGGACACTTAATCCCATTCTGCACCCCAGCAGAAAGGAAGAATAATGAAGGCAGAAATCCTGTTCACATTTACTGTATATGGGAATAAGTCTCATTAAACACTGTGGGACTTGCTTCTTAGTAAACACGCAGAGGATCGTGCTGCCACTCAAACTATAAAGTGTGTTTTTTAGTTTCGGCTGAACTTTACATGAGAAGTGATTACTGTTGCAGAAGTGCAAATGCTACAAAGTTAGGGAAGTTTCAGTGGTTAATATAATGCTTAAACAATAGTGAAACTGTGGCATCTGCACACTCTAAATTGCATCTAACAACGGTGTTGAATGCTAACATAACTTGTGCACTCTTGTGTCATTATGTTGAATGCTAACATAACTTGTGCACTCTTGTGTCATCAGCAAAACCATGCCCAAAATGGGCATTTCCTGAGTTTAGAGTCTGGTTAATTTGCATTAAAGTATGCAGAGTGCTTCTTTCATTAATATCTGTACAGTAATGCAGCAGTTGCATAATGACGAGCTAAGGTTTTTTGAGGTCACATCTTCCCACCAGCTGTTCTAACTTCTAGCCAGTAGATGGCACTGATGAAGGCTGACTGTATTTTTAAACGGCTGACGGTTTTTAAAAAGAAGAGGAAAAGCAACACAGATCCTTGAGCAGCAAAGGAACGGACAGCAAGCCTGTTTCTGGCACAGATCTACAGAGACTTTAACTTCTTTAATTAATCAGGAAACTCGCTTGTATTTAAGCATCAAATCAAAAGTAATGTCTTCTCACACTTGTGCTCCCGCAAGCTGAAAGGAGTGTAATCTTGATGGTTAATAGGATTTAAGACCTACTGATCCTTCTCTCTTGTAATAACCATTAAACAACACAAACACCTAAAAGTGGGTTGTGCTGTGAGTATGGAATGTGCTGAAATGATCTGTCTGCCACGTGTGCTTTAGTTGAATGCTGCACAGATGCCTTTCAACGTGCAAATCTGGACACGTTGATTACAAATACATACCTTTACCTTTCACCCTTTTTTTCTTTTGTAGAGCTATTGCACCTGCTGCTGATGGATGCTGGTGATGACTGGCTGATGTTCTGCTAGGCATCACCAATACGGTGACAAAAACAAGGGTGGGGAATTTGTGGCCCACTATATGTGTTGGGAGACGCGGGTGGTGCTGTGGGTTAAACCACAGAGCCTAGGACTTGCCGATCAGAAGGTCAGCGGTTCAAATCCCCGCGACAGGGTGAGCTCCTGTTGCTTGGTCCCTGCTCCTGCCAACCTAACAGTTCGAAAGCACCTCAAAGTGCAAGTAGATAAATAGGTACCACTCCGGCGGGAAGGTAAACGGCGTTTTCATGCGGTGCTCTGGTTCACCAGAAGCGGCTTAGTCATGCTGGCCACATGACCTGGAAGCTGTATGACGGCTCCCTCAGCCAATAAAGCAAGATGAGTGCCGCAACCCCAGAGTCAGTCACGACTGGACCTAATGGTCAGGGGTCCCTTTACCTTTACCTTTATATGTGTTGGACTCCAACTCCCATCAGCCCCAGGCATGGCCAGTGGCCATGAATGATGGGAACTGGAATCGGAGCCATACGGTTGCCATACATCCAGATTTTCCTGGACATATCTGGAATGCTGCAGTCGGCAGCAGTGTCCGGGCGGAAATCAGGAAAGTATCCATGGAAATCCGTATGGCAGCCCATGTTGGCAGTGCTATTTGTTTTGCCCCTTTCCCATCAAAATAGCTCAAAAACAGTATTTATTTATTTTTTTCAATTTTGCCCACAAAGCTCAACAACTTTGGGCAAAACTTTAAAAAGCTCAATAACGTTTCTGTCCGGATTTTCACCGTTCAAAATATGGCAACCCTACACTACAACATCCAAGGCACAAGCTAATGGCTTTTAAAAGGTGTCTCAAATACCTTTTGCTTTTCTCTTCCCATTCAATATACACACCATATTTGGGTGTAACAATAAATCATCATTATTACCATTTATAAGGGTTCAGTGCTTCAGAAATCAGACTAGGTGAGCCTTGGGCTCCTATCTTCCCTGAATCATCCACTAATGTGGCCAAAAGGAGCATTTTGGATGTTTTCACATCTACTTTAACAAGGGTAGGGAACCTGTGTCCCTTTATATATTGTCAACCTCAACTCCTTGGCCATGGTGGCTGGTGCTGGAGATGTAGTCCAGCAACCTCTGGAGGGCACCAGGTTGGGGAAGGCTGCTGCAACATTTTGAAAGGAAACCCTAGGCCCTTATATATATATTTTCTACCACCGGAACACTAGCCAATACAGGCTGAGAGGGTTGAAGCAGAGAAGCATATTAAAGCTGCTTTAATCACAACATCAACCTGTCTGGTTCAGTACAGCCAGCTCAGCCTGGCAGTGGCTTACTCTCAAAGACCTGGGGGCAAGGTCTTTTTCAGCACTTCCATCCAGGTTCTTTTTTCACTAGAAGAGTCACAGGGGTCAGCAACCTTTTTCAGCTGTGGGCCGGTCCACCGTCCCTCAAACCATGTGTGGGGCTGGACTATATTTTTTTGGGGGGGAAATGAACGAATTCCTATGCCCCATAAATAACCCAGAGATGCATTTTAAATAAAAGCACACATTCTACTCATGTAAAAACACCTGGCAGGCCCCACAAATAACCCAGAGATGCATTTTAAATAAAAGGACACATTCTACTCATGTAAAAACATGCTGCTTCCCGGACTGTCCGCGGGCCGGATTGAGAAGGCGATTGGGCCGCACCTGGCCCCTGGGCCTTAGGTTGCCTACCCCTGCGTCAGGAACTTTTGTATGCAAAGATTCTACTGATGAATGTTGGCTTTCTCCCTACAACTTCCATCAGCCCCAGACAACATGATGGGAGTTATAGTCCAAAACGTCCCGAGGGCCCCAGGTTATTGAAAGCTGCACTACAGTCCAATTGCTGTTGCCTGAATCCATTTTTTAAAAAGGTGCTTGTGTTTTTTTTGGGTCAGATCACTGCCCTTTTCAAGATTTTGAAACACTTGAGACTGACAATGTGAAAAGCAGGTGCCACATCGTTTGTTTCAGATGAGCCACGAGTCTGGTCAGGCTCCCCAATGCAGGAACAGCTGATCCCAGCTTCTTGATCAAGGCCATTCTTGCTTAGCTCCCCTTTATCACATACACAGCCCAACAAGACAACAACAAAAATCCACCAACAGCATACAAATCAATATGGCTAACCTGATCCAAAACACCCATCCACCCCCACTCACACATGAAAACAAAGACCACCACAGCCAACCACAAATGAACAATCACACCATAGGCCAACCCCAACCTCTCTCACCACCAAAGAAACACAAGTGAACAGCAGAGAACCGGCACGAGCAACGCTGACACGAAATCCTACATATAGTAAGTAAAATAGAAACATTGTCACCCCACCTCCACCCCCACCCCCACCCATCTTCCCACCCCCTCCACCTCTTTCCCCCTTTTCTTCCTAATGTCTCAACAAATGAAACTGATTTGTAAAAATGTTACATGGGAAAAATATACGAGAGAGACATTGCGAACACTTTTGTAAATCAAGAAAATCTTTAATAAAAACAAAAAACAAAAACAAATAAAAGATAAAACAAAACTGTGGAGTCATCCTAGAAGAACCTTATAATTAGGTGCATCACAAGATCATCCAACTTCTTGCCTCGAATTGCGATTATCCTCCATGACCTAGAGCAGGCATGGGAAACCTAAAGCCCTCTAACATTGTTAGTTCAGCCCCAGCAAGCATGACCAGTGATCACAGATGATCCTAAAGCTTCTGGAGGGCTACAAGTTCCTCAGCTTTGGCCTAGAGGAAGTCGGGGAAATTTTGAGGGGAAAAATTTGAAATCTGGTGAATTTCAAAATATTCATGTTTCGAACTCCAAATTGCCCATGCCAAATCTTGATTTATAAATGCAGATCTTAGATCCTGATGTCAGATTTTGAAATCCAAATATGTATTTCAACTTTTCCCCTCTGCACGTTTCAAACTTTCCTAAAAGCCCCCCCCTCCCTTCATTGGATTGTTTTAAGTATCCACCGCACTACCTGTTACTGGATGTCAAATGGCGATGCCAAAACCCAAATGTTTACTCAATAACCTGCCAAAACGCAGAGAGAGGAACTTTTGACATTTTTATTTAAATAAAAACATTAAGTTAAGGGGGCAAACCCTTAAACTTACATTGCTACAATGCCTCTGTATGCGACAACAAGTGCTCAAAAGTCTCCCCTGGGCTCATTGTTGATGGTGATAAAAGCTACTTAAAAAAATCTAGCAAGGTTATATAGCTCAAGCACAAGAGCTGCAGGAGCTGCAAACCCCTCCTACAACCGTGGATTACAGGCAAATGAGAGGGAGCTGGCAGTCCCGCCCTCGCTTGCCCTGCTGGCCGTGGGCATTGATGACTCCCTTTTTGCCTAAACTTGCCTCTCCCGAGAGTTGCAGGATGGGACAGCTAACACTCTTTATCTGCAGCCATGTTGCTATAGCAGCTGAAGCTGTCAAACACAAGCCCTTTTGTTAGCATTCATGGACCAGCTCCAAGCTACCCCTCCCTTCGCTCTGTCAGAGGCTTCACCAGTCTCTGAATTACGCATTCTGCGCATAGGAAGGGTGAAGCTCCAGGGAGGCAGGATTGCGTGCAGCTGGGGTTTCAGCTCCCCTCGCTATGGTGACCCCCAATGGTGAGGTGTTTGCATGCGGCCTGGCACCAGTGAATTACCCATTTGCATGCATTTAGCAGGAGAGGGTGCTACGTTCATAGGTCACTGCTGCTGAAGCTCAGAGTCACTTTATGGATTTTCATGACTCACGAAACAGCTTCTGCAAGCTCCTTGTCACTGTGATAAGAGCTGAACTGTTGGCATAAGGTGCTGGGTATCTACAGAAAGTCTGAGGCGAGTGTTGATCTAGCCACAGACAGCACACAAAGCTAGCCACGCACTCCAATGGCAGCAAAACCAATGAGAAGTTCAAAAAGGCTCCATTCTGAATTCCCGCATCTCTCACTTCCTCCTCCTCCTCTCCCCCAAGCGATGCAAAAATGTAAGGGTTTATATTACACTTGGCATTTGTCCTAGAAATTTATTGTCATGTGGTTGGCTGTATTTAAACTGGATTGGCCTGGCTGGGTCCAACCAAGAGACCATTCTGCCCAGTGTCTTGTCTGTGGCACCAGCAAGATCTGGATGTGTGGGAGATTTGTATCAGTTGCTGTTAGCCAACCTGATTTTACCACACTTAAATGGATTGTTGCAGTGCATTAATTGTGGTGCCGTCTCGGAAGGAAAAATTAAAAAACCTCAGTTGGTACAAAATAGGGCAGCACAATTAATAATTGGGATCCATGGATTTGGCTGTTTTTCTCCAATGTTCAAAGACCTTTACTAGCTATGACTGTTGATTCCAGGAAAACTTCAAGCTACTGGTTCTTGCACAAAGGCTGCCTGCTTCCATGCATTAAGCCTGTGGTGAACATGTGGTCTTCATGGTATCATTTGACTCCAACTCCCATCAGCCACAGTCTGCATGACCAATCATCAGCGATGATGGGAACTGTAGATCAGGAACATTAGGAGACCCACACAATCCTTCTCCCTAGGTCTCTGTTTCAAGTGCAACTTGAAGCAGGAGGTTTGAAGCAGGAGTCACAGTGATATGTAACAAGAGTTGGCCAGAGTTTCTTGTGCTCTATTTGTGTGCCTCTGTCCTGGTTCTGGGCACTTGTCTGCGCCCTGACCAACTACAGTGCTTCCTGGCCTGCTCAGTCTCCCACCACAATAATTCCAAAGGCCCATTCAGAAGATACTGGTTAGCCCTTTGACATCATCTAGGAATCAAAAAATGAAGGCATAGAACAATATACAATCTTTAAGAGTTCCATAATTCACAACTCACCTATTTTAAAACATAACATAAAATGTAAGACAAATACAATATACTTTGGCTTGTGTCCTGCTTGATGTGAGGAAAAGCTCTATGGTCAGAGGCTCAAGAAGCATGGAACAGTTTTCATCAGCTAAGATCAGAGTGCCGGTCGTGATCCCTCCTGGACAGTTATAGTTTTGCTACAGTTACCAATGATCTGGTAAACTGCAGTTAATACAAAGCACAACTGATAGGCTACTCGCTACTGTGGAAACTGAATTTGAGACCAGAAAAAAGAGAAATTGAAACTGCCAGAATCATCCATCTTCCATTCAGCTAGAACAGGAATGAGGGAAAGTTAGTTCAGGATCTACTGGTGATTTGCAGTTGATCATGCAGGAATTATTGACCCTCAATTGTCTTAACATCATTCCACTATAGGCTTGTGGCCCTCGGAAGGAAATGTTACCTTTGGGCAGAAGAAAGTTCCCCACTCACTCCTGTGGAAAAGGGAAGGAGGGAAAGTAGCACGTGAAGGACCCTCAAAAGGAAAACTCATGGTGTGCTTTGTAAGAAAAAAGTTCCTGAACATAATGAGGGCCCCGTGTCATGAAAGGAGAAACCATTCTGAAGTTGAGTGCATCAAACTGTTCCTAAGGCAGATTTGCTGCTCCTTAAGGAAGGCAATAGACTGTATAGTTATCACCTGAACTGGGATGTAATCCCTCCCACAAACTATACAACCTACTACCTCACCTCCACGGGGCAGGACAGAGGATGTCCCAGAATTTCCAGCAGGTGTGGGAGTGTGGGCCCGGTGCCAAAGGGGGCAAAAGCGATATTCTCCATGGCAGATGAGGAGGGGTGATCTGAAAGGGTGAGATGACCTGACTGTCTCCTTAGGAAAGACAGTAGATTGTATAGTTAGCTCAGAGGGAGAATATGGCTCCACAACTATTCAATCTACTACCTCAGCCTCAAGGACAGCATCATTTTGTTGATGATCCTGAATGGCGAACTCGATGGTGAAGAAATGGCAGAGGAGAACGGCGATGGTCTGGAGGCTTTAGGAAGAGGGAGCTGGTGAAGTGCAGCCTGCAGAAAGAAGAGACAAAGAAACATAAGCGCAATGTGAGGGCCTCTTGCAACCACTTTTAGGCTGTTATTCCTTCACTTGCCTTCCCCCAGTTCAGCTGTGCGTTTGTCAAAAACATTGGATATGTAGTTGGAAGCACATGTAAAACCCACTACCCAATATGCAGCAAAAGACATAACATGCATTAATCTATGGTAATAATAATAATAATAATAATAATAATAATAATAATTTATTATTTATACCCTGCCCATCTGGCTGGGTTTCACCCAGCCACTCTGGACGGCTACTGATGGGTGTTATATAATGAAAATAACAATAGTAAATTAAAATCACTGAGCAGACTGGACTATAATCCTCATCCTCATTTATTTATGAATTAAAATACGTCTACAGTTGGAACAGACCAGTGCTTTCTTCTGGGGGTACGCAGGGGTACGCATGTGAATGTTATGTAATTCTTCGTACTTTTGAATCTTCGTACTTTTGTCCATTTACTGTATTTATTTTTCCCTATTTGAACTATAAAATGGTATTTTTCTTGAGTATCCCTAAACATTTTTTGAAAGAAAAAAAGCACTGGAACAGACCCATAAGGCAGCTAACGATATCTTTAAAAAGCAAAACATTCAACACTGCTCACAACTAAAACAATATAAATTCCTAGGCAAAAGGAGATACAGACATAATTTAAAACATGGCAACAGATAATAAATCATGTAATGAATGAAACCTAAAGAGCTAGGTCTTTGCTGCTTGCTGAAAAGCAAGCAATGAAGACCCTACACTAGCTTCCTGAGGGAAGTCATTCCAAAGTTAAGGGCCATGTTAGTATCAGTCTAATATGAATGGGAACCTGTGGTTTTCCATATGTTGCTGCATTACGACTCCGATCATCCCTGAACATTGGTCATGTTGGCTGAGGCTGAGGAGAGTCCAAAAACCTGTGAGGAGGCCACAGCCGCCCTGCCGCGGAGCATGCAATATATTGGTATCCTGTTAATTTTTTTATTCTAGAGGCACCAATCTCTTCCATCCCACCAGCCGATCATTGTCTAAAAACAACAAAGTTTCTCTCTTAACTTGTCTCCTGGCCAACATGTTACCACGGGGATTAGTCTTCATTGAGCATTAGTATGTGTGAAGCTCTTAGGTTTGTTTTTTGTTTGTTTGTTTTTAAAGAAAGGCAGAAAATATTCTGCAGTTCAAGAAGTAGGGTTCATGCAACACTGCTGTCAGACAAATTCAAGATAGCCTGTTCTGTGGATGAGAAAAAGTTGTGTGTGATAAAGAGCTTTTTCCCTTCCTTTCTTTCAAAAAAGAAGTATGATTCATTAAACATGACACAAGTGCAGCACAAATCTACCTTTAGCAATGCCTGAGCAAATCCTCTTTAGGGTTGCCATCTGTTCATTCTCATTTTTAAAGCTTAACCTCAATACTAGGTCAATTTTATATATGTTATATATTTATATGAATTAATATTCTAGAGAATTATCTATCCTAATCCCTTTATTTTGGAGCTGTGAGACTACCACTCCCAGCAAGCAATGCTGTAGATCCAGGAGACTACAATTCCCAGTCGACAACGTTATATAAAGCAAGGAGCAACATGGGAAGCGAAGTATCACAATAACTTGCCTTGCCCTCATAGCAACAGCTAGAAGCTGATCCAGGAAACTTGGTTTTCTATTTTTAGTATTACAATAGGGGACAGAGGCGCCAACTGTAACAAGTACCCCGCCTTAACTTGAAACTGTGCAAGCGCAGTTGAAAAGAGCTGTTATGAGGAAGAAAACACAAAATAATTAAATAAGACCATCAGAAAGGCACACAAGTGGGCATTGAACCTGCGATCAGAGCCAGACGTTTTGCGGTGGCGGGTAGTGAACATAAATAAGTCAACATAAAACTGCAGAGGCATAAATATAAGTAATGTAATGTGTCTACAGTAATTAATTAAATAATGCGAATCTTTTTAAAAAGCCCCAGTAAAATTAAATAATTAATAGGCACTTGGCATTTATTATCTCCGTGCCTTTACACTCCTTGGTCAGAACACTGGAAATCAAAACCGCATTTGCTTAGTATTGTGCTAGTGAAGAGAATATACTGTCCACATTATTGTTATTTAAATGAGATCTCCAAAAGAGCTAGAGACTTACTAAAAAAATGTTTTCGGAGCATGGGAAAAACTTTATTGTTCCACCAAGCCAGCCTTTCTGACATGTGGTTTCAGTGTTTTAAAATGACTGCTTTTGTTATTATTATTTTAAAATGTAACTTCTTTTTAATGTTTATTTTTTTAATCGGCATTTTAAATAAACTTCTTAGAACGTCTTGCAAGCCACTTAGAGGATTTGTGCTCCAGTAAACAGTATGCATAGTTAAACAAAAGATACATAAAAGTGATGAAAGGTGAATGTTCAGGAACAGCCCTGCAATATTCTTGAGAAAGGCTGTCCTTCCACAACCCTGCCTTGCCCTCCTTATAGCAAGGGACCTGCTGTAACCTTGAAATTATGACATAAAAGCTCCATTTCCATTCCTCTGATGGCTGCTACATTGTACAGCACAGGATGGGGAGGAACTACGGTTGTGGGGTGGGGGGTGGGGAGAGGCAAATCCAGCAGCTAAAAGAAAGTGATTTTGTTTTGCTTTCGGGCCAATTGCCAGAAAAGCAGGCAGCAAGGCTGGTCCCCTGCCCACCCTTCTGAAATTATTGTTTCCTACTTGTTTAGTTGTTTTAGGCACACACAACGTTGCTGAGGGAGGAAGGCATCCAGGAGAGCAAATGCAAGAATAATCCCAGCATTGTGTGTGCGTATAAAAATAGTGAACATCTGGCGGGAAAGAAATTCATGGTATGGACAAGGGAAATTTTAAACCCCACCCCTAATACACAAATAATGCATTTATTTGGTAAAGTTTAGCATTCTGTACAGAAATAGAGCTCTTCGGCATGCTGGTATCACCGCCTCCCTCTCTGTGTGGATTTTAGAGGAAATATCTGCTCCGATCTCCAGAAAGAGCATAGACCAAAACAGAATGTTCTTCTCTGTCCCCCCTCCCCATGGCCACAGCTAAAAAGTTCAAGCAGTATAACACAGCAGTGGGGGGGGGGAGCAATACGGTTTGCAAAGACTATTCATTATACAGACTGGGATGGTTCTCAAGATGTCATGGTTTTTTAAAAAAATCATCCATAGCAAGAAATCAGGTGCTTTGAATGCTGGTTTCATGCACATTTCTGGGGGATGGGGGGCGGGTGGGAGAGATGCCACAGCTGTGCTTTCCCTATGGCTTGGTATCAAAGCAGCATTGTCCATGACCAGCATATCTGATCAAATGTCTTAGAATTTGAGCGTTCGCAATGCCAGAAAGTGAAAGTCTGAAAGTAGTTAAGGCAGCAATTTAGAATGCAAACAAACTTGAGCCATTGTGAAATCCTAAGCTCACTTCAAAACCGAAAAAGGTTTTAGGAGACGTTTCTAAAAGCTTCAGGTGCTGATCTGGTTTATTAAGAGAGTCTGTCAAACTGAAAAAAAACAAAGAACAAAATAGCTCTTTTAAAAGAGGACGCTGCTTTCAGCTTTTGTGTAGTCACAGTCTGGAGAGGCGCTGCCAAAACGATCCGGGGACATTTCCCAGAGAGAAAATTTGTGCCAGTCTCTCCTAAAATCTTTTCAGTCCCACACAGTGATAGCTAAATTGGGAGACAACCAACCTGAAAGAAAAGAACTGCATTAAGTCAGCTGTCTGCATTCCTACAAAATGGCTGACAGTCAGCCATTTTGTCATTTAGATTTGCCTATGGAAGGCTGCAGCGATTTGATATCCAATTTGTGTAACTGATTTCTTTAGAAAGCAGGAAAACGAAAAGGAATGAATATTTTTTAAAGTCACCCAAACTTTCAAAACATTGCAGTATTACTGTTTGCATCCAGAGTGCTTTCTAATCTAGACTTGGAACTATTTTATTTAAAGCACACGGTAGCATCTTAACCGTCATGGGCTTTCTTCTGTGTGTGCCCAGTTGAAGTACCCAGATTATTTTAATTTTTTTTTGCTTTCAATTAGTTTGCCAAATGCCAAGCTCAATCCTTTATGGTAAGAATGAAAGTCCAAATAATAGGGAAGCAATGAAGAATCTGTAAAACATCCAGGAACTTTCTTGCAAGCAAAACAAAACCAAACCCCATATTTATATATAAAAAACTTTTACTTAAAATTTGCATCCACTTTATGCCTTGTTTAAAAGCAGCTGACAGCCATAATCTGAAAACTGAAATGATCGCAAAATGCATACAGATAAACAGATTTGGCAGTCATTAATCCACAAGCAGAAAGGCAGCAAAGATCAGCAGACAACAATGTGTACAGCTGTAAAATAAGGACTAGGTGCCGTAGGATAGCAGATTCGAGTCTGAAAGTGGCAAAGCTATATTTTGTCCCTTATCTGAGCAATGGACAATGGACTGGGGTGAGTATTGGCCTTGCAATGGGTTATAGGGTTGGATTCAATTTGCATTTAATAGTGAATCTACCTAATCTGCACTTTCTGAAACAATATGCAATCCAAAACAAGCATCCTTTGAAATTCGCTCTTCTCTGAATTTTGCAATGTAATACTCTAGCCAAGTAATGCATGCACAAATTCATATACCGTGGTAAAGTGTGCATAAAAAATGCACACATCAGTGAAAACTGCCTGCAAAACTGCATTACATTAGAGGGAATATATCCATTTGCCGAATTCTGTATATCACGCATAATTGCATACGAAAATTAGGAGACTTTTACACTAAAATGCTGGTGAGTTTTCATGAGGATTTTTGAAAAAACAACAGCAACAAACTGATGTGGAAATGTGAAGAACTCAGGTTAAGCTTGAAAAAAATCCGAAACTGAGAGATACCCAGACTAACCGATTTGCCCATTTCTATGCTGATGACTTTCTTTAAAAAAAAAAAAGAAAAAAGAATTTTCAGCAGGGGAGGAAATAAAAACGAAGACCTGGCCATCCACAGCCCTGCATGCATTTGCTTGCATGCATTTATTTAACATGACCATCAGCTGCCTTGACAGCATTTTTGAAGCAGAAGGGGTGGTCTTCCTAGATGTGTGTCCATCTTCCACTTTTAGAAAGGCTTTATGAGTATTCCTGGGCTAGAAGGAGATACATATTGAATTAAACTAAACCAAGCCTTTATAGGAAGTGCACAATATGCTAAGGTTCTCATTAATTTCACTCAGCACCAGTAATGCTACAGGCACATTCCATATGGCAATAGCATGAGAAATGAGGGTAGTGTCAGGGGAAGAACAGCAGTTCCCCAGCAACAAAGTTTTGCAATCCGGGAAAAAGCAATGAGTGACATCAGTGGACAAGTTAGTTATAAGACTGACTTTAGCCCATTTAATTCAATAGGCCATCTCTGAATTTGATACCACCCGGTATCACTGCAACAGAAGCACTACCTGAAGGGAAGATTTCTGGTTCACAACAATAAACAGGTGACGATTGCACATATAGAGTTGAAACCTAGGCTGGTCCTGCTCAGAGCAGTCCTACTGAAATTAATGAGCATGGCTAACTTAGGTTCATTAATTTCAATGGGTCTACTCTTAGTAAACTTTAGTTGGCTACAATCCATATTGCATTAATAAATGAAACTTGGAAATGCCCTTAGAATGGCCCGTTGCCATTCACACTTCTGGGAGGGAAAATATTTTCCTAACTCCGCAGGCAGCTCAACAGATTATTCAATGGCTTGACACCTCAATTCTTTAGACAAACTATGCAACTCATGCTATGTTTTAAAAATAGGAACAGCACAAGTGAGAAATTCCCCCTTCTTTTGCTTCAGCTGTAATTCAAGTTGGAGATTAATGTGACGTTTGTAAAAACGACTCATATCAGAAACAATCACTGTATTAAGGAATATAGCAGTTGAGTTTACTGATTTACAGTGAAATCCTGTATGTGTCTATTCAGTTTAATGCTGCTTGCTTCAGATAAGTGGTTATAGGCAGTGCTGGATTTACGTATACAGTAAGCTAAACAAGCTATAACTTAAGGCCCCACTCTCTTGGGGGCGCCCCCAAAAAATTATAGGGGAAAAAAACCACCTGGGTGTACATTTCCAAAATATAAGATAAACTTCTTCTTAATTGTATTTCAGTTCAGCAATTACTTTGATAAAATACATATTTTGTTATGTGCAAATGGCTTTAGATACCTATTAGGTCCATAAATTACCATATAGTATATATTCAACACAAAAAACAGTGACAATTTGTTGTTGACAAAGGACAGCTGACATATAAAGGGCCCCATTAGCTTCAGTAGCTTAGGGCCTCATCAAACCTAAATCCAGCCCTGGTTATAGGTCTGCAGCTCTAAATATATTGTCACAACTTCCTTAATTACCTTCAATGGTTTTCACTATGATTACAAATTTCCATATCAATTTAACTGTTCCTGCATCGTGCTTAAATTGATATGGAAATTTTTACTAACTCTTCATCCGTCATGTACAAAATATTTATACAGTGGTACCTTGGGTTACAGACGCTTTAGGTTATGCCTTTTCAGGTTGCGTACTGCAGGAAACCCGGAAGTACTAGAAAGTGTTACTTCCGGGTTTTGCTGCTTGCGCATGCGCAGAAGCGCCAAATCGCATCACGCACGTGCGCAGACACGGTGCTGCAGGTTACGAACGCTGCAGATTGCGGACGTGCCTCCGTCACGGATTACATCCGCAACCCGAGGTTCCACTGTAAATGTAAACACAACACACATCATAGCTGCAAATTAGATCCACTCTATATACCACATATCATCCATAATTTACTTTATTAAGTAGATTCCCTTTCAGGAGAGTCCTTAGAATGTAACTTCATGGCTCTAATATGGTTTCAGCATGCTAGATACCATATAGTGAGATAAAGTACAGTATTTTATTTTATTTTTACTTTTTAAACTAGAACTGGCAATCTTGATTTAAAGAGTAGCTCATAAAGTAGCTTTCTATACATTGTATCACATTTTGGAATATTTCTGGCAAACTGAAAAGTTGAGCAACGGTACTTTTTGTTAAGCATTCACTGTGTACCTGCACCTCATAATTCAAAGCAGCTCTTCTCTGGAAAGCCATATTGTACTGTGACTATCATCTACGACTCCAACTTTTCCCAATCTGATGGTCTCCATATATTTCGGACTACAAGTCCCATCAATCCCAGCCAGCACAGCCATGGGGTGATGGGAGTTGTAGTCCAAAACTTCTAGAGGGAACCAGACTGAGGAGGGCTGTTCTAGTCTATTTCCTGCCATGTTTGTGGTTACTTATCTATTGTATAGAAATTCATTGTCCATATATAAAAGGGGAAAGGCATTTTCTCTATTCCCTGTTAAGCATTTCAAAAATGACTGTCTAATAACAGAATTGTAGTTATTGCCATTTTTTATGAATCCATTGTGATTTTTAAAATTTTCTTAAAGAGAGAGAAATTAGATAGATAGACAGATAGATGGAAACATATAGATACAAATACATTGCTGCTGCTAGTCTCAAGTTATCCAGTCCTTTAAAGTTTAAAGCCTTTACAGTAGGCATTCATAAAATAGTCATGGACCACTTTCTTCTCTAGTACTTGCTCTTTGCTACTATTGAACAGATAGACGTTCCTTAACAGACTCAACTAACAGACTCTCTACACGGATTTGTAGAGAGACGCTTCAAAATGAGACCAAGGTCTTTCCAACTGTTCTTCAGATTCTCCTTGCATGACACGTCATGGAATCCCGCAATTTATTTCGGCACACACACCTATTTCTACAAGATGTTTTCCTTACGTTGCTAGCTCTACTTTTCCTATAAACAACCAAGAAATCATGGGCCCTGAGAAACCACCACAGTGCTTTTTTAAAAAAAATAAAAATAAAAGTTAGATTTCCCTGGACGATAACATTTTTGAGAAAAAGTAGATATAGATAAATTGATAGATGCAGACCAACAATAGAACGACCATCAGCACCCCCCAAAAAAACCTGAATTCCATTTTCAGAAATGAAATACAAGAAATGAAATAAGTTAAACCCTACCCTGCAGAATGGATAAGCACATTGCCCAACCACATATAATTGTTTACAATCCTAGAACATAACAGCAACTGATACAAGAAACATACATGACTGACCGTTTCCCTTTCTTACTGCGAACAAACCTTCCCAGCTGGTTCCAGGCACAGTCACACATTCCGAGTACTGTTACACCGATAACACAATAGCTCATTTTGGCAACCCAGCCTATTTGCAACACTCGGCACACGCCAAAACTACCCACATTTGCCTCCAACTCTGGTTTTATTCCAAACTGGCTTTCTCGGTTTTGTTACAGATGGTGCCATGCAGAGATGAGAGAGCTAGGTCCTAACATGGCCGAAGATAGCCAGAGAGCCACGTCCCAGCCTCTTCGCTTCCCCTTCCTGACGGAAGATACGTTGGCCAGGCGGCAGCCATTTTGCACGCCTCAAAAGAGGGAGACAAAAAAAGAAAGGGAGGGGAGAGGAGAGGGAGGCTAGGATATGAGTGTGTGTTTTGAGTTTAAAAAAATAGGGAACATCAAAGCTCCACAGAGATACACCTTCCTTTCCTGCTATTTGAACAGAAGACCTAAGCCTAAAAAGACCAGCTTCTGAGGTTTCTAACATGCTGTTGCTCCTGAAGTTTGAATCTGCTGATCTTAAAGGAGAAACATGCCTTTCCTAGGACTAGCCTATTCCTGGCACAAGTAGAAACATGACTCAGCTTATACGTCTTAGCCAAAAAGGGACACACAGGGGAAAAAAATTATTCAGGAAAATTCCCAATGGGAAGAAAGTAGGGTAATGGAAACCACCTGGCAGTGTCAAATTTTCCTGACCGGTGGGAAGCTCCGCAAATATTTCAATAAAAGCACAGTTAGGGTTCCCTCAGCGGAAGGTTTTTGGCCAGATGGACAGCACTGACTCTAGATGGCTCCTCATGCCACCAGGAAGAGAGCTTGCAAGGGAAAATCCAGTTTCTTTTTAGGACCACATCATCTTTCATCAAGATGCAGTAGTAGTAATTAACAGTTGAGCATAACTGAATTGTAGCTTGAATGTGAACACCATATCTTGACTGCTAGCATATTCTGGTGCTACAGTCTTCAGCATGTCATTCGAAGTATCTACAATTCTATAATACAATATTGAAAGAAGTTTCTATGTAGAGAGTTATGATCCCTGCTGTTGAAATCTCCATGCTGATCTCATTACGCCCAAATGGATGGATAAGATCAGTGAGATGGCACAAAACCAGTGATGGCAGTGCCTACCTCCCATGCTTAGTTAGGGCCCTATCCATCAAATGTTTCATTCCCACTACATTTTACTACTAGCATCACCAGACAAACCAGCTATCTGAAAAAGCTCAAAGCTTTATATAGAATATAATTGCCACTGGACGTGTTAAGTCCTCTAATTGTCCACTCCAAATCTAGATCATGGGGCAGAATGGGAAGCCTTTTTCATCCTGAGGACTGCATTCCCTCGTGGGCAACTTTCAAAGGGCAGTGGGCCTGCGGTGAATGGGTCCAGAGTGGGCAGGACAATGGATGGGACTCTTAGCTTTGTACAATAGGCTACATTCCAGCCACACAACAGTCAGAGGTTCTACAGACACTCCCTCCCACTTCCACATTTCTCCATCTTCCATCCGGACTAGCAAGAGGTGTTGTCAAACTTCAAGGACACATTCCAGCCAGGCAAAAGCACTCAAGGAGGATGCGAAGGGGGTGGCCTTTGGAGAGTCTTGAGAACCAGGAAGAAAGGCGTAGAGAACAGTATGAAGGTGGTAATCAATATAAAGCCTATGTTGTTATAGCTAAGGAATCCTTCAGAAATATTTGTGAAAGAAGTTCTGATGGTTGCGTAAGACATTATTTTCCCTCACAACAGAAAAAGAATGAAGAAGAACTGACAAGGAGAAAGATGTTTCATGAACAGCTTGTAGTTCCTCTAGAAGAGCTCAAAACCCCTATATATATTATGTTACAATGAACTGAAGGGCAAAATTCAGAACCATCCTTGTTTGTTGCCAGTATTTGCAAATTAAAGGCTAAATACAGGAATTAATAGAAGTGTTGACCTCATAAGGTATCTGAGAGGCTATTTCTCATCCAAGATATATGAAATACTAATGGGAATTGAGCCAAAGAATCCTTATTCCTCTGCAGTTCTAGTTGCATTGTTACACAAGACTAGTTGCACCAGAGTATTGAAGGGAGATGTGCTTCCCATTGAAACCCGTGTAATGTAGGTTGACGGTATCTGCATCCAGCTGCTCATCCAATTTATGCATCTGGTTCACAATCCAAAGAAATATATCCACACATGGAAGATCCTTCTACATGCTGATCTCCTTCTTGGAATTTGAGTGCCTTCAGATAGGAAAAGGCCTACAAGTTGCAATTCTGAATGCTCACTGAATATATATTTGTAAGAAAAGGCCGTAATATAACTGAATGAAAACTCAGATAAAAATGTTTGCTGTCTGTTATGTCAAAGGTATTACATGCTATTGAAAATTAAAATAATTTGGTAGAAATTGGAAGTGAAATCACGCAGATCTATATTTTATGCATATCCAGTTGAACTTCAAATAAGCGACGGAATTTTGGACAAATATTGTTTTAAAAACTAAATATATTGTTGTATATAAGTTACCATCAGGGCTGAAGCTATATGTCATGAAAAAGCATACAGTTTTGGTGAGAAATTTATTGGTAATAGCCTGGATTTTGCTGGCAGAATATTGAAAGCTGGGGGAGCTTTTGCTAGCAATAGTGAAACAAAGGTAGACTGTATAGCAGATTATGTTAATGAACAAGTGGACATATTTAAAATGTTTATAGGAAGGAACAAACCACATAGCAATCTCATAAATGGACTGGTGATGACCCTTTTATTGTTTGGCATGCCATTAGAGCTGATAAGAATGCTTTGACAGTAATTTGAGACTAGTGTAGCAACATTTGCAATATTTCACATGATGCTTTTATCAAATGCAAATATGAAGGCATGGTCTGTTAGTTCTCTGGAAGGCAATTCTTTCAAACCACCTTATTTAGTGGTATTATTTATTTAGTTATTTACTTCTGCTGCTAAGGCCAGAAACATCCTTGTATAGTTAATGGCAGATTTATTATAAATGAAGAGGTGCTTGCTCTGGGAGTAATCTTCATTTTTTTAAATCATAGTGGTGTGACAGCAGAGCACAGATTAACTCTTAGTGAGAGTTATTCAGTAGGGCCAGATACCAGACATAAGATATAATGGTCCAGAGTTAGAAATGTTTCAAAGCTTGGTGCTTGGCAGAATGGGGTAGGGTGCCACTCTAGGGCCAAATATCTAGTGAAAACATTTGGGATCAAATGTGGGTTCAAATGTTACTTTGGAAGCAAGCAACTGGAAACACAGTCTACAATGCCCCTCCATGGAATGCGCCAAAGCAAAAAGAAAGGGGGGGGGATGGCAGGTGACAGGGGTGCCTAAATCAGCTGCACACCCCTTTCCAGAGATTATCAAGTGATATTGGTCTATTTTTGGGAAAACCAGTTAGACTTAGTTGGTGGCATCAGTTATATGGTTCATCTAGCATACAGGAGTGAGTCAAGCCTTACAAGCAACGGTCAAGAGACGATTAGCTGAACTGCTTTCTCAGCACATCCCAAGGAAATTTGCTGAAATCCAACCTCATAAGCCAAAGTCTATTCAGTTAATAGCAAGGATCAGGACAGGTCATTGCGTAAAAGCTACACAAAGCACTGAAGGGAACTTAATTCCCAGCCAGGTACGTTAGGAAGACCATGGAAAAAGAGGGTCAAGGCATATCTGTCTTGTTTAATTCAGTTAGTCTTTAAAGGTTATATACTAGATCAGGACATGCCCCATGGAGCCTCTTCCTATTTTCAATTTCCCACTGAAAGAATAATCTCTAAGCTGCACACTTAATAGTATTTTTTCCTGCTGCAAGTACATTAACCAGGTGGATGGTGGGCCTAGTTTGAAGACTGGCATACTCATTGTGCATAGGTGGGGCATCAGTGGTAGAATGGCATGCTTGCTTCATGCTTTAGGAATGACTATTAATCTCTGTGCAGAACACATGCATGATATAACCAAATCACAAAGCAGCTGCTCTGATTCCAAGGACTCCACTGCATCCCAAATTCCGTTTCCTTCAAATGAAGCTAGAGGTGGCCTGCTCCTCTTTAAGGAAAAGGGCAAATTTCAAAAGATCATAAAGGGAGTTGGAGGTGCAGGGCCTCTGCGGCTAGACTTCTCCCAGATATAAATGGCTATTGGAGGCACCCCATTTAAAGGAGCAAGACATGACTGGGCATTATGATGTGTAAGTCACTCCTGTATATATATATATATATATTTATATATATATATATATATATATATACACACACTCCATTTCCTTTCCCCACATAAATGCACACGGGAAATACACATCTATGCATAATTTCAAACTAAACAAGTCCTCTAGGTACATCAGAAATGAAATGAAATGAAATATTATCAAAATCTTAACAGGATATGGCCCTGCTATAGATCAGCTTGGGTTACAGATCACATGGGCAGCGCTCTGGAAGTCCAGCTAGGGCATGAGAGGAGATTATGGCCCCTTGAGAAAAGGACAAACTTTGTTATAGTATCTCTTCTACTCAGTGCATTTTGAGAAACCAAAGCAATTGATTTAAGAGGCTGTTTACATAGACCTGTTAGTATTAGAGACATGGGAATAGGCAGAAATAAATATGTACATAAGGATGCAGAAACAAAAGGGAACAGTCAAACGTCAGTGAGATAAACCACATAGAAATGCTCCCACCTGCTTTGATAAGTGAGGTTTTCAATCGAGGACCTGATCCTTACTTATTATGGCAAGCTTAAGGTAAGATATGGGGATTTAGAACATAACCAGCACTTTGTACTCCAGTGAAATATTCAGCTTATCACATTTACTTTAAATTGTGCCACAAAGGGTACATGAAAAACCAAATAAAAGACAGGGCACCCTAGTGATAATATGGTACATTAAATACTGTGAAATAATGATGGTAAGAGAAATATATTTGTGACAAAAGTACAGGCTGAAGATAATGCATTACATACAATACTCCACTCATGATATTGCGTTTAATGTGCAGTCTGACTCCCTTGTATTCACAAATAGGGATGGAATGATCTGTCGATTTTGGTTCTCTCATTTTCATATTTTTCCAATTTTATATGCTGTTCTTCACATTTTGTGATTGATTATATATATTTTTAATTCTTATGAAAATTCATCAGCACTTTTGTGCAAATTTTCCCAATAAACATTTTTATATGCAGTTTTGACTGCATACAGTCATACCTCATGTTGTGTCCGCTTTAGGTTATGTGTTTTCGTGTTGTGTCCTGTGGCAATCCGGAAGTGTCACTTCTGGGTTTTGCTGCTCATGCATGTGCAGAAGCACGTGTGCAGACGCAGCACTTTGGCTTGCGTCAGTTCCGTGTTACAGACGGGCCTCCGGAATGGATCCCATCCGTAGCATGAGGTTCCATTGTATATATATTTCTTGCATGCAATTTTCTCCAATATAATGCATTTGTGTGTGTTATTTTAACCAATATATTCATTTTTATGCAACCTTCCCCTAACATATGCATTTACGTAAGCATTGGTTGCCAAACTGCAAAGCAAAATTTGGGTAAGTGCGAATTTTGCAGGATAGCTGTGTTTTGGGTTGCATTGTTTTGGAAAGTGCACATTTGATAGATTTGGCTCCAAATAAGACCTGAACCAAATTTATTCTCCATCCTATTCACAAGTCCATTTCAGCATTACAGCAGATAGCTACCCACTATCTCCTTCCTCTGCATCCTAAGGACAGTTTGAGCATCCTAGGAGCTCAGTCCTTGACACAATCACCAAATTAATGTTATTGTACTAGATTTGCCTGGTAGATGAGAATGAACCAGATAACTCTGTTTCCCTTACTCAGCATAGCATTGCACTTTAGTTGTTGTGGATGGTTCAAGCCAATATTTGCACTCATGCCCAGCTAAAGTGAATTAATAGGACTAGGCTGGCTAAGCACAGCCAAGGATGCTTCAGCTATACAATTTCCTGTCTCAATGCCAAAGGCTAAAGAGATGGTGCTTTGCACACCTATGATTAAAAAGAAGGCCCACACTTATTTAGAGCGGAGCAAGAATAACAAAAGTGTGCAGAAAAAATACAAGATCTCTTTACAGTAGAAAATCAGTGGTGTGCAATAAAACTTTTTTCTTACTTCATTCATATTATTAAACCATGCTTTCATTTGTTGAAACCACAATCTTTTATAATGTATTCATTGCACCCACATTTGGTTCATTGTTCTGCTTGTTTCCCTTATATTGTTTTCCTTTAAAAAAGAAAATAATAATGACAATTTCTAAGGCTTTTCCGGAGGGATGAGTGCACTATTTTATTTACCCAGAATCCTCTGGATGTTTCATTGCTCTGGAACATTATTGGGATAACAGCTGTAGCTCAGTGGTAGAACATCTGACTTGCATGCAGAAGATCCCAAGTTTAACCTCTGCCTGAAACTCTGAGGATCCACTGCCAGACAATACTGAAATAGATGGATTAATGACGTGGTGTAACACAGCTTCCTATGTTCCTAGAAGATGGCAACTGCTCCAAAAACTTGCTTCTCCTACTGACAGTTGCTATCCCCACAGAATGCTTTGGGATCACACACCAGGGACATTTTGAGTAAATGAAATGGCAGCAGCCCAAAGGGGCTCTGCTGCCACCATGAGAGAGAGGCGTAAGCCCTTTCCCCAAGCCAATTGAATGAATGGGACTCCCGTGTATACCCGTTCATTCTTCTTTGTGTTGATTTCAGAATGAATGGGAATTGAACCGAAGAAGCCCACATTTTCTTCCATTCTGAAACAAATGCACACACCCACAAATATTCCCCTGTCATACCTGTGTTCTCCTCCTCCCCTGATGTATAGCTTAGCTGGAATAAGACAATAAGAGGAGCAGCAGCAGCATATTGGATATTAACTGATTGGCTATGGAACAAGCTTTTAAAGACAGGAGCTCATCAGATCTGCTAAGGGTGTGCACGTGGAGGATAAGCTATGTAAAAAGGAAGTCCAAGTTAATTAGATGTACAGTGACAACAAGCCACACAGATTTTTGGCATCTAAATGCTGAATTGTGCATTCTGGGGTGGAAGGAAATGCATTTGAAGTTACATTTACACACACACAAAATTAAAGGGGTACGCCACCAGGCTAAATGGATGCTGCTCACTTATAAGGCCTGAATGCTATCATACTAAACGCTTGTACATTAAGATCACACCATGCATTTAAATCAAAGAAGCCCACACACTGTGGTTCATTAAGGGTGCTGAAATGTCACATGTTGGAAAGTGTGACAAAAGACAAAATAAATGGAAACTTTGAGGTTTTGTGGATAAAACGTCTGTATTTCTTCAGGGAAATTCAGGGAATTTTTAATGTTCGATGTATTGTGTTTTAATTTGCTGGAAGTTGCCCAGAATAGCTGGGGTAACCCAGTCAGATGGGTGGCATATTGTAATATTATTATTATTTGGTAGTAATAAATTCATGGACCCACAAAATGGATTTGTACCTAGAAAAAGAAAGGACCTACTAATGTTGCCAACTAGAAGGTGTTCCTCAGCAACAATGTTGCTCAATAGTCACAAGGTGGAAAAGGGCTTATGTTAGCCTAGCATGCCTTTATAAAGAGACGACATAGTTCTGCATTAAGCTTTACAGTCTTGTGGGCTATATTGCATTTATTTATCACAGAGGAAATTCTAGGAGAAGTTCACTGAAGTCAATGGAGATGGTTCATGTGGGCATAAGACTAGATAGGGAAGAAAATGGAGCAAAGATGTTAGCTATGTTGAATTTTGCTTCCCACACAGGAAATTGGGCTCAAAGCAAAGTAGTCAATGAGAATATAATCACCAACCACTGATCTATGGAGCTATGGTGATTTCTTCCTAGAAGGAATAGGGGGGAAAGGGCAAGGGAGAAAAATGTGTTGGGAAAAGATGGGAAAGGAGGTGGAAATGACAACAGCCAAGTGCTACGTACAGCAGCCAACTTCAGAGGAGTATGAACAAGATCCCTGCCCTACCTTGGCAAGCCTGGTGCCAGTCGCTAGACCCAGTTTTTAAGCTGCATGCAAAACCAGAATTTTTGCACCTCTCATTTAGAGCACCTTCCAGAAAATTACAGGCAACCCAAGTTTTAAACTTAGCAAAGGTGTTACATCTATACAGATGAATATTAAAGATCGTGCGAAACTTCAAAGGAGCTCGAAATATGGACTCTTCCTGCTGAAAGCATCTATTTTGAACTGTGTCCAGTTCCTTCTGAGCTACTCCCAACTAGAAATGGGGTTGATATCTTGCTGCTCTGATCTTCCCAGCAGCCTGCCCCATCATTACCAAGCAATTTGATCAAATGGGCTTTTTTTATACCATTGCTACTGAATGCCCAGGGAAAAAAACTTTGAGCGTTTGGGGGCATTTGACAGGAGTGCTCATAAAGTCCAACCAATTACTAGGGAGAGCTGGAATGGGCTCGTCCATCACTATGAAATATATTCAGTGGTGAGTAACTGAAAAAATATGACTCAGTGAGATACAGATGTTTGAATTTACCCTTCCTGGTGATGCTGAGCATCCCCATTATGCACCTTGCTTCCAGCTGTTGTGTGCACATTCATTACTTTTGCCTGTAAAGGTCACCGTGCAGTATTTTTAATGCATCCACACAGACTGTGTTAAGTATGACTTACATTATTTCAGCATGATTCTAAAGCTTTCATAAAAGTACACTCCAGGCCTTCAAGAGAGTTAGAGTTGGATGGCATTGAGATGGGTGTGTGCATTGTGAGGGAGCTGGGGCTGATGTGAGTTGTAGACCATAACATATGGAGGGTATGCATGCTACCCCTGGCCTACTTGATAGGGCAGGAGATACATTCAAACAGTTAAATAACAGTGAGATCACATTTACATTGGAATAGGTGGGCTTGTGTTAACACTTAATCATGGCAAGAGTAGTGCATTGTATCCTCTGGCCAATTTAGGGTTGAGGACATCAAAATACAAGCTAGCTCTTGCTTCTGCTGAGAAGCAAAAGGCAACCCAAAATGATGGGTTCATAGCAAATGTGCAAGCTATGCTCCTGCAACAGGAATCCAGGTTTTCAAAGGAGTATTTTGCTCTCAATATCCCAATCAAGATTTATTTAACTCCATGCTCAAAAAAGCACTCTGAAGCAATAAACACAGCCAAAAATCCTAACAAATAACACACAGAGAGAATTTTAGGCATCCTAACTTTCAATCACCTCATTCTGGGTCCTTAAACATAATCCACTGTGTTATAAACGCTATGTGCAGAGGACCAGCGATTTTCTTGTACAGGAGTTACTGGCAAACCAGAGAGGAGGAGATGGTTCCACAGTTGTGAAGGGGGATTTCTCTTCATAATAGGTAGTAAGTCCTTTTTTGCAAGGGGACAAGTCTATCCTCAGTGCCGGAAATCTCTTTCTCTTTGGCAACGGGGAGCAGGGTATTTAGAGAAACTAAGATTTTGTACAAGGCCCGGTTTTCAGAGAGTTTGAGAAGTCATGTCCGGCATTCAATGAGAGTTCTAGCTGCGGCACTCCTGGGTCACAGAGCATTTGTTCCTTTGCATTCAACACTAGCATTTAGAAGCCCGTGCTGAAATTTCTGTTTATTGTTCCAAGGTTTCCCCCCCATTTTGGGAGCTTTGTTAATCACAAAACATTTAGAAGGAAGCAGTTGTCTGTAAGAGGAATCTGTTACTCTTGGGGAAACAATATTCTTTTGTTTTAGACAACAGGGGCCTAAATTAAGCTTGACATAAAGAGGCCAGATTTACAGACACTAAGCACAGCCCCTGAGATCCATTCCTTCAGTGTACGTCAGGAGGGGCTCCGTTTGCTGTGGTGGAGTCCATCAAAGTTTACACCAGTGGCATCGGAAGGGTGGAGCTACCCCTATGAAAGGACAAACCTTTAAACATGAAGTGAGGTGGGCACTGTGGAAAAGCATCCCATTTTACTCTTTCCAGTTGCTTCCATGCTACATCTAGATTTCTCCCAATAAAGACCAAGTGATGATGTCATCCTTCAACCCTGAAGGATGCCAGAAATCTACCAAACATGCACCAAATTGCTCTTCCCGCCCTCCCCAAGTCCAAAATCTATGCCAGCTAAGTCAAAACAAAGAAAAATATATAAAAAACGGTATCTAAATGATAGACACAGAACAGCTCGTAAATGGTTAACATTTTGCAAAATACCAAGATGAGGAATAACATGGCCGAACTTTTCTTCTTGAAGGCTATACATAAAATCCCCCTCCCTGAAAAATAAAATAAAAATCCAAGGGAATATTTATGCCCCAATTCTTGGTCAACCTAACTCTGTCAAATTCCATGCCTTCAAAAATAGACACTTCTTGCCACGAAAGACATTTCTTTCGACATTGTAAAGCCATACTTTCTCAGCTAAGGCTGCCATGTTGAATTGCAGTTCTGACATGATTCAACACTTTCCTCTCTGCTGCGTAGTGTGGCAAAAATCCAGGAAAAAAACCCCCAATCACCCAGCCCCCCTCCTCCCGGTACCCATAATCAAAGTATTTTTTTCAGAACCAGAATAAATAAAAGAGCCCTGATCTATGGGTGGGCAGTACAAATAAATTTTAAAAAAAACCCCCCACCATCAGTTTGTCTGTTTTTTTTGTTTTTGAAAAACCTTGTATGTTTTAGCCCCACGAAAAGCAGGAAGGTTACGGCAGGGAAAGGAGGATGTAGCAGTAAGCACGCGCCAGAACATTTGGACAAATAAAAAACGGCATTTCCAAACATTTCTAAAAGAGCTACATTTGATTTCGTACCCGAAAGAGACGTTCCATGAAGGAGAAAGGTTTTGTTGCTCGGTAGTCGCTCTCTTTAGTTCCGATTATCTGGACAATCATCAGGAATGGTTTTCTCCCCCCCCCCCACTCCGAGCAAGGCCAGTTTGAGTGAGACAGCCCCCACCCTGCGTTCCCTTTTCCTTCTCATAGCAGCTCAGCGCCAAGAAATGGGCGGTGCCTGCATGCCAGGCTTCATTCGAATGAGACGCCAAGGCCGACAAGAGGCTGGCACAAAGGGAGGCTGGCAGGAATTCCAGCACTTGGAACCGTTGGTTAGCATGCCCCTGGGACGGTCTCCCATTATTAACATGGTCTTTAAACATACTTTTAAAAAGACAACAAACCCACAAAAAACCCGGCCAAACACTCCAGTGACTTTTCAGGAGCTAGTGCACGGAAAGTTTTGCAGCTTTTTGTGGGAACACCCTCCAAAGGGCCAAAACGAAGAACAACCCCCCCCCCAACCTCAGCACATCAACACCCTAAACCACCTTCTTGCTTCCCCAACAAGCATTCCCCGGTCTCCCCAATGTACGCACGTAAAATAAATCTTGGCTCCTACTGTCCTGAACTTGGGATGCTGGTGGCGGCACAGTTCTTTAACCCAGCCAAGAGAGATACGAGGGCGGGAAAACAAAAACAAAAACACAAGACCCACCCAACCCCCACATCGTCTTAGTTATGCAAGAAGCATTTTCGCTTTTGTGAAATGCCTCATTTGCCGATTGAAAAATGGAGCTAAGAGACAACAAAAACAAAACAAAAACGGAGGCAGGTGAGGATGATTTAAAAAAAAAAAAAAGAGAGAGAAAAAGAAAAGACAGAAAGAAAACCAACCCACCAGGACATGCCAGAGGAGAGCAGACAGGCCCCCACATTTTCCATTTTGTCCGTGCCAGTCTTAGAAAGAGACAGAGAAAGAAAGAAGAAGAAGGGGGCAGAGTGAATAGCTGGCTCGTTCGGAAATGGGCCTACAGCCACTTCCCACTTTGGAAGCCTCAGCAGTCATTCTCTCGCTCGCTCTCTTTGCGTTCTCCCTGCCCACTCTGGCTCGGCTGCCAAGTCAGAGTTGGCACAGCTTCCCAGGCAGCGCGGAACAAAGCCCTCTCCCATCCCTGAACAGGCACTGACAGTAAGCAAAGTGACAGGCACATCTTCTGCATGTTAATCCAAACGGAGAGGAGAAACTGGCGTGAGAATTCAATCCCTCAATATCTCTCTCTATAGAGATATATAGTCATGAAAAACAAAAAAAGCCTCTATCCAGCCTGCTGGAAAGGATCCTTAAAACAGAAAAAATACAGCTAGCTGCAATAAGGATTGGAGAAGGGAGGGAGGGAGAGGGGGGGGAGAGAAGGATTTACCCACCAGCACCTTGGCAAAGAAGGCTGCTTTGCATCTGTTGTACCTGTTCCTGTTGCCTTCCTTGCCTTTTGGATTTGTGACAAGAGAGAAAAGTCGCCTCTGGTGGGTTGCTCAAAGCTGCGGGTCTGCAGCCCTGTGCAGGAAGTTGGCACCGATCCCAGGTAGGACTTTACTCCCACATTTCTACCCTCCACCTCCTTCCTCTCCTTCCCCTCCCCTTCTTCTTCTTTCTCTCCACCCACCCACCATCTCCCTTGGTAAATCCCCCCCTGCTCTCCCTCAAAGCCTGTTCTTAACTTACCTCTTTTTCCACTGCACCACTCTGTGCGTGTCTCTCTGTGTGTGTGTGTGCGTGTGCGTGGGTACATTATGGATCGATCAGATGCACTCAGCACCCTCCAGCATCCAAGCTAAGAAACACAAACACCCTTTAAGGGTGACCTGGGCAGCAAAGACGGCAACAGCTTCCTGCCTGCACTGGCTCCCCTAAATGCCTGTTTCAACACATGGAGTTGGGCAGTGGTTGGGTTAATTCTCTCCCCCCCCCCCGTGCTGCCAAGGAGACTGGACAGAACGCAAGGGAGGGAGAGAAAAAAAATACTCCGAACTCTGTACAGGGCAATGAAAGGAAAATGTTGAGCTTCGTGAAACTCCTAAATCCAATCCCCCCTTCCCCCCCTCTTTTAATACTGCCTGGGCTTCTGAATTGTTTGAGCCCACAATTGAGAGGGAATGTACAGTATAGACTCCCTGCGACTGGCAAGAGTCTTGCAAGGGGGGGGGGGAGAGGAGGAGAGTTCTTACAATCAAACAGCGAGAAGAGCAAAGAGAAATTAACATCCAATTAGTGCCGTGTTTAACGAAGGAGACAGAGGCAGCCGTTGTTTTATTGCCCTGTTCTTTTCTTTCGGCTCTGACAGGCAGCGCGAAAGGCACCCCCAGATCGCGGTGACGTCATTTCCCACCCCCCCTTTTCTCCTCGTCCAAGTTTCTCAGAGGTTGGCCATCACGTTTGCTGGAAAAGTTAATTATATTTATGGCTGAGCTTCAAACAAAAAAACAAAACGAAAAAAAGCACGCTCTTCTTTCTCTTCGGCAAGGAACCCAAAAAAATTAAAATAAAATGGAAGATATCAGCCCTCTTTCTCTCTTTCTGTATCTCTCTTTCTCTCTGCTTGCCTGTGTGCCTTTGCTTGTTTTCCTGCTCACTCAGCTTGTAAAAGTTTGAGCTGTGTGACACTCTACTCGGCCTCCTTTGGCAGCGTGACAAGAACTGCTTTGGTGTATCAAAGAGAACAGGCAGCTTTTAAGGAAGAAACTCAATTCAGAGAGATTAAAGAATTATAATGTTTTAATCAAGGGAGAGCAAGAGGATGAGTGGGAGGCTTTTCCTTACATCTGGATCAACATAAGTGGCCCTCTAAAGGCTTGCAGCAGCAATTTGGAATTGGGGAGGGCGGTGGGGGGGGGAGAGGGAAAGAGATGAACTTAGAAGCAGGAATCCAGCATTTATAGTCTCCCTCTTTTCCTCCCCCCTTTTCTTTCTCCCCACACACACCACATGAACTCTGTGGGCCGCTGCCTGAAGGAGACGAAGAGACGCCATGATGGCAAGGCCTTTGTATACTGCCGCGGGATCCTACAGCACGCTCAGAAAAGACTCTTGTGCTTTTGTAGTTGTGGAGAAAGATTATTTCCTACCACACAGAAGACCCCTTGCCCAACATGGCCACCTTTCCACAGCACCCAACTGGGAGGAATCCAGCTGCTTCCTTTTTACCTCAGTATTATAGTGACGTATTCCCTCCTACCAGGAAGGACTCTCCGATCAATAATGGGAGACGGCATTCTCAAGCAAGGTGCTTTTAACCTCGCAACAACGCCACGAGCTTTCCTTCCTCTCTCTTCCCCCTCCGCCCCCTTAGTTTTCGCCTCTTGAATCCTATCCAAACTGTTTGGAACTGGATTTTTCCAGCTGCTGGAAGGAAAGCAGCTGAGCTTAAGAGCAACCTCCTTGGGTTCTGACTGAAGTCGTTTTATTCCAGTGATGTCCCTTCTTGTGCTCGAGTAACGGCTGCCATTTCAGGCTGCAAGTCTAGGCTCAAGTGGAGGCCTCTGAAGGTAGGAGTATATATCCGGGGATAAAACGAATCTAGTTGAAACATACATTGAAAATGAGATTTGTTCAAAACCGTAAAGCCAACTTGAGTATGTTGGCAAGAATGCAGTATATAAATAAACAGGCTGGTCTTTATTAACAAAGGAAATAGAACGCTTTTAGAACACAAGAGTAGCTCTGCTGGATCAAACCAAAGGCTTCTCTAGTCCAGTATTCTGTTCCCACAGAGGCCAATCAGATGCCTACTGATGGGACACAAGCACAGTAACATTTCTCATGTTCTTTTATAAGATTTGCCCCATCTATTTCATTAGGTCAATGAATGACTAGATCAGTCTGTTTCTGGCCCATGCCTCATTCTGATGTGTTTATTCAGAAGACTGTCCTGTCCCGTTTCGACATCAGTCTATTATATTTCTACCTAGCTATCTATTTATAGTTTTCTATTTAATTTTCTCAAAAAATGCATTAAAATAGGTATATAAAAGAATATGCATTTTGAACATATTGTCTCATGAAACGCACCTTTTGGAATGCATTTCCTCTCAAACCACACATTTCAAAGCATATTTCACTGAATATGCAGTTTGAAAATGCATCTTGAGCCTAGGAATCGCATCAGAAATTTTGGAAAAGTGCAAAATCCAAAGACATATGGGTTCCAGTTCTCACATTAGTGTAGGAGGTACAGTTTGGGACTGTTCATCATCTGAATTCGCAGAGAACGAATTTTCCAGTGCAAAAGTGAGCCCTGCAAATGCTGCCCGAACACTGTTTCAATTCCTTACTGCAGATTTCATTATGCTGAAATTCCAACAAACCTCAGTCTTGCAAGGCACCATATGATATTGGAACTGAACAGTAGGGGAACCAAGATGGTCATTAATTTTTTGCCTGAAGATTCGTTCATTTACGTAACTTGAGTCTTGGCTTGCAGCAAGTTCATGAGGTACACAGAGATGGAGCATCCATTTAAATGTATCTGTTTAATAAATTTGTATATAGCTTTTCAAGAAAGAAAACATGTCCCTAGAGCATTGTCAAGCCAAACAACAGATGTATAATAAAATACAATTTAAGAGCATGAGTTAGGAGCATCTCCTGACAGACAGTATGGCTACTGTTCTCAAAGAGAAGGGGTACTGGGAGAATGAGGTGCTAATGACTGCAAATTAGCACTTCAAACCTTCCACATCAATCTTGGGCAGGAAAGAAAAAGAAGCAGCCAGCAGAGCTGAATGCAGATAATATAGATTCAAAGCTCTTATTGCCCCATGGTACACACATTCATTTTCTGTGGGCCACCATGATCTCTGATCAAATATTGTCTTAGGTTTTCTTGGCACTTCACACAGTACCTAGGAAAAGCTTCAAATATCCCCAGCAGTATGGCTCATATTATGGCAATATATTCAAGACAAATATCACACTAATCTAGCAACGCCTGGATAAATTTTGGAAGCATTTTAAAGTATACCGATAGATGATAGATAGATAGATAGATAGATGACAGATAGATAGTTATTATTTGTGTCAATATGTTAAAGGATGGATACATATTTTTACAGAGAGAAAAATATGAATTTCCTTTGGGGAAAAAATCAACAGCAGCACAAGTCTGCCTTTGGCCCAGACTTCCATTTACTGATAATATCACAGTAAATGGGGAGAATTTTGATTCAATTCACATGTAATGACAAGCCTACCTAATCTGCACTTCCTGAAGCAATACCCAAACCAGAACACAGCCATCTTTTGAAATTTGCATTTCTCTGAATTTTGCAATGCAGTTCTCCATCCAAGCAATGTGCACAAAAATGCATATATTGAAACAAAGTGTGCATTTAAGTGTGGATGTTAGTGAAAGTGACATTCAGAAATGCATTTTTAAAGGGAAAACTGCTTTGCAAAAAATGTGTACATTCAGTAAAACTAAATAAGAGACTAGGAGAAATTTGCAGTAAAATCTATTACGATATTGACGAATTTCATAACTTGTTTTTAATTTTTTTAAAAAAACAAAAACCTGAAGCAGGAACATAGACATCTGAATTTAAGGCTGGAAAAAGAAGAAACGGAGAGAAACAAAAAATAGGCAGATTAACCTATCCCTACTTGACATTCACATTGACCTGAAATACGAATTCCTTGCCCTCCAATTCCCTGCTCCAAGGAAAGGAGACCCTCTAGGACTGTAGCTTAGCTAGCTGTCTGCCCTGCACACTCTCTTCCCTTCCAAAGCCAGCCATGCCCTTCAAGCTGCTCAGTGGGAATGCGAGGCCTGACCCCACCCCCTCTAGCTGGGCTCTGCTGTCTTCTTGTCTACGTGCTGCCTGCTCTGGCACAGTACAACAGGAGCAGAGAAAAGCAAACATTCCTATCGCTCTGGGCCAAGGGCGTACTCCACAGCCTCAAGAATGGCTCCTCTGTTTAGCATGGGGCAGCGCGTCATCTCCACACACTAGTTCTGCGTGTAGAGCAGCCTCCATAATCTTGGAGCACAGGTAGGAGGCGGCAGCTGAAGCACACCTTGCTGAAGCCTGAGGCCCTGAAAAGGCCTCGCTTTCCCCTCTGTTTGCTTAGAGCAGCTTTCCTCAACTTGGTGCCTCCACACGGTTCGGGCTATGGCTCTTCTCAGTCCCAGTCAGCATGGGCTGGCTGGAGCTGGTGAGAGTAACACTTCCAGCAACCTCTGGAGGGCAGGAGGTTGGCAGTCCCTGCCTACAGGATGGCTTCAGAGCAAAAGAATCCAAGCTTCAGCTGAAAGCTGTTTGCTTCCAAAAAAGATTCATGTTGAATGCCGGCGCTGAATAACACGCCAGAAATTCTCTGCATATTCAAGTGTTTGTCAAAACATTTGAAAGCGCGGCTTGACCTCTAATGACATTTGATTTCAGTCGCTTGACAGTGTCAAACAGTAATTAGCAACTAGGACCTGCAACAAAAGGTTGCAGCATGGATGTCTTACCAGCCAATCAGCCACACCATCTTCCAAGGTAGTCCATAATATTTTCCCTCCTCCATGGTTCCCCCACCAATATTTTTCCAGTAGTGTTCTGTGGTCATTCAGTTTTGGGCCCCCCGTTACATTTATTCCTAAAAGTGTTGTAGGACTTGGCTCCCCAAGTCCACTACTTCTTTCCTCTTTTGCACGTTGACCACATAAAGGCTGGCATTCAAATGAGTTTCCCAGTAGGTATGAAGGTATTTGATAACTACTACAGTGATTTCAAGTAGATGAGAGAATTTAGACGCGGGTGGCGCTGTGGTCTAAACCACAGAGCCTGGGGCTTGCTGATCAGAAGGTCGACGATTTGAATCCCCGCGACGGGGTGAGCTTCCGTTGTTCGGTCCCAGCTCCTGCCCACCTAGCAGTTTGAAAGCACATCAAAGTGCAAGTAGATAAATAGGTACTGCTCCGGCGGGAAGGTAAACGGTGTTTCTGTGTGCTGCTCTGGTTCGCCAAAAGCGGCTTAGTCATGCTGGTCACATGACTCAGAAGCTGTCTGCGGACAAATGCCTCAGCCTATAGAGCGAGATGAGCACCGCAACCCCAGGGTCATCCATGACTGGATCTAATGGTCAGGGGTACCTTTAAGTTTACAGTGATTTTCAAGTAGATGATAGAGTTTAAGGAAAGATGATCTAGAATATCTTCACAACAGGAGCTACACAACATAAGCTCTTTTAGCGTCACAAAAACCCATAGCTGCGATAGCAATAATCCGTAAGCAAAGGTATCAGCCTGATTCTACAGATTGCACATGCACATGTAGTTACTTGCACTCGACGCCTGTGAAGCAAGGCAAGTCCAACTGGTTCTAATCGTGAGCCTGTGACCAGAGGCTATCTTCCATTTTACTCCCTGCATTACACTTAGAACAGCCTTGCCATGGTATCTGGTAACCGACAATATTTGGCAATAGCTGGCAATGGAGACAGCTGGAGAGCTGTTTTGTGGTTCATACCTGCCAAAAAACAAAACAAACCACAGCATACATACTGCCACCTTCTCATTGTAAAGCACTTGATTTTTAGGATAAACATTTCAGATCCAAATTAAAGAGCATCAACATTTGAAATTTGGGCAAACTTCAGACGTTTCAGCTTTTATCTGAGAACTAAGGTTTCACGACAAATCCACCCAGATCTGTCTTTTTGGATGGTTCTCAGAATTAAGAAAGCTGCTGACTTGAAATAGACATCTCAATGGCTCTGATCTCCAGCAGTCTTTCCACCATGTGGCAACAGAAGCTCACTGGGAGAAAAATTCATTGCTGATAAGCTTATCAACACGAATGCTCCACTGATTGGTCATCTAAAGAGGGGGCTCTGAGGATATGGATGCCCATGCGACTTGGGATATCTAAGCGAGTCAATCTGCTTGACTTTTTAAAAGGAACTAACATTCCCCTGTAGACTGGTCCTTTTTTTTTTTTTGCGACTATATGGTCAGCGTACGGGCTGGAGATGACCCAGGAATCTCCTCTCCTTGGACCCTGATTGTTGTAAACAAAAGAGCTGCAAGCCACCCACACGTGCCACAAATGTTCTTAGCTGCAGCTTCCTGCAAAACAGCAGCTCTGCATCATGCTTGGGGGTGAAAGAGACACACACAGAGAGAGAAAGCCATTGGCTGTTCAGGACAATATGCCATGCACTCCGAGGCACCAGACGGAAGTAGCTGCCAGAACCAGATATAAAAGGGGAAGGAAGCAGATGCAAAAGGGGAGGAGAGGAGGGGGCTGTCCCTGGGGGTAGACTGTGGAAGGACGTGAAAATGGATGGGAACAGAGAAAAGGGAAGACGAGAAATTTGTATAACAGGAACATTCGCCTACACAAGCCCCTGCAAGGCAGACTTTTTAACTAGGAAGGGCTGATCCACACTCCCCTTCCTCTCCAGTGAATGAATTTTAAAAAGGGAACGTACTGAGCAGTTTCATAAGAAGAAATCCCTTTGAACACTTAGAACTGAACCACTTCAAGTTAAAAATAGGAGATGGTTGGCACGCTACGTACTGGCCAGAGGTACCAAATTTTTACAGCCGACTCTGTGTGCTCCCTTTCAGCGGAGCCAATGTATTGTTTTAGTACTTCCAACCCCCTCAAACCAGAAAAGCTTGTGCTTGTCTGCCCACCGATGCATGGCTGGATTTCTACAGTGAACTGATGTAGTGCTGACCCAGAGAGAAAAGGGTCTTTCCCAGGCTATTTCCCCAAATTCTTGATGGTGCCCTGCAGTGTGACAAGAGGAGCATAGAAGCTTATTATGGGTCAGAAGATGTGATCCTAAGCGCGATCACCACAGTGCTATAGGAAAGCTCATAAACAAAATCTGCATGTAACTGGGGAAAGCAAAGTTTGCTTCATATACAACTACGTATATAAATTAGCACCTTTACTAAAGGTTAAAAAGTGACCCTGACCCTGTCACTGCTGTTGAGATCTTACTTTTTATTAATAATAATTTAGTAGTCAGTTGTACAATAAAACCATTGCCAGAAGCCAAATGTCTACCTAATCTAATATACATTCTTTACCAGATCTCTAAACAAACTGAACTATGTTTATGAGTTGCCAAAGCCTGGGATCTAGTGAAAAGAGGATGTTTCAGCAAGGAAGACAGCCTGGAGTCCAAGACAGTCTATTGAGGCTATTGTCTAGGATAGAGGATGGCAAACTGTGGTCTGTGGACTTCATTCAGGTGACCTGAGGTGCATCTGAGGATTTGTAGCTGAAGATGGGAGTTGGCACATCCATCGCGCTGAATATTAATTGTATTTTTATTTCTTATACTGTATATTACAAATCAAATTCCTACAACAGGCAAAAAAGTAATTAAGTGGTTGACCAAGACTCTAAGCAGTTTTGAAGTGGTTGATGGAGAACCACTGATGTGTAAAAATCTTTAGGCCAGATGATATGAAGGTGACTTATACCAAGTCCCATATTGTCTACTCTGGCTGGCAGCGACTCTTTTAAGGTCTCTGAAAGGGGTCCTTCCCAACCCTGATACCCATGTTCCTACAAATCAGAGGTGATCTCCAGAGGTTGCTGGACTATTATTCCCATCAAGTCCAGCCAACATGGCCAATAGTCTTAGTAGGGCATAAATAAGGAAGGTGGGTATGCGAAAACTGACTTACTGAAAAACATACCAGTACAAGTGATACCTTGGTTCTCGAACGTAATCCATTCTGGAAGACCATTCGAGTTCCGAAACGTTCAAAAACCGAGGTGCAAAGGACTGTCAGCAAATTCAATTGAGAAAATTGAAAAACAAGCAGCAGAAGCCGTTCAACTTCCGAGGTGCCTTCAAAAACAGAAGCATTTACTTCAGGTTTTCGGCGTTTAAGTTCTAAAACGTTCGTCAATGGAGATGTTTGAGAACTGAGGTACAACTGTATTTTGTAGCCTTTGCACAGCAACACTGTGGTGCAGAGTGAACACTTCATTCTAGTTTCATTGTTCTGATTGGGTCTGACCTTTACATTGAGCAGGATGGACATAGAAAATAACCACAATGGGTGTTTCTGTGTGTGTGAACATTTTAGATTTAAAAACAAACAGACTAGACGGCTGAGATTTACAGTTCTTGGGTTCATGCATAACATTAAAGAAGCTCAAGGGATGTCATTTTCCACAGTTTTATTTCAAAGTGAATTCAATGAACAGTTATAAAAACAATATCATGCAGTTTTATGGTAAAGGTAAAAGCATTAAAGTGACGGGTTAGGTCCAAGGGATAAGGTAGCAGATATTTTAGATACCACAAGAGCCTCCCACATGTACTAATAATACATGTACAAATATGCTATACAGGACAAGATCTCCAAAGCATCAAGACAAGTATCTGTTCAAATGACAATGTTTGGAAAGTAAAAGATTTGGGACACCTATCTGGAAAACAAATGACCCTATTTCTTCTCTGAGGAATTGTTGCAGTTCCTTGGATGCAAGAAGCAAGACTAGGCTCTTCCTGGGCTCCCCAAGGATTTAGAGGGGGGAAATCACAAGACATCCATATCATTTTTCACTGTATGACATTACAAAATTAATGCCCTTCCTTCTGACCCAGAAAGAATCCCCAGGCACTGCAGAAGCCAGCACAGATGCATTTGGAATTACTTAGTAACACATACACCACTCATGCACATACAACAAAGAACTAACAACACAGCAAATAGAACGGGGAAAGCCTATGTACAGCAGCACTGGACGGGAATAAAGCCATTTTTTGTGTGTATAAATAAGCTCTGATCACAAACGAAGGAATGCCTCTAACACTTTTACTGGACAAGGAGTTAGTAGCCTTTAGAATCCCAATGCTGGATTTTCACTCCCTCATCACTTAGTTTCCTGAAGACAAACGCTAATAGTTGAACTTAAGTTGAGCCAGCGTGCTACAACCACATCCTTGCTGAAATGAAACACTACTTTAGTGCAATTCACAAATAAACTGACCTTTCTTATATACTGTTGTGGCATACAAGATCAAGTAGTTTAAAAGTTGCAGAACCAAAGCAACCACAAAGCAACCAATGTGGACAACCACATTAATTGACAAGAGTTGGCTTGGCCTTTGTCTCAAGCTCAGCACCAATTCACAGAACTAAAGTGTGGTGAGAATATGAGTTTAGCAGAGAAGTCTCAAAATTATTGGTAAAGTAGATGCTTTGCCAGGAAGATAATTTCCCAATGTTTGCCATGCTACTGCAAAGATGCAAAAGTGGGGGAAGCAGTCAGCTGTGGACTGAACTGTCAGCCATGCTTGTGGCGAAGTAGCCACACGACTCCCCCTTGACTGTGGAACTGATCTAATAATGAAAGTCTTCATGTCAACCAGAGCCAACTCACATGAACTTCTAAAGCAGAAATTAGAAAAACTAATCATGGCCCAAATTCACATGATCAGAAGGCAGCTTTAGCTATGACAACCAATGTGCAAAAACCGTTCTGTTCTACACAACAAAGCTACAAGTCCTTAACACGGCAGACGTTCTTGCCCAGCATCATCTGACAGTGGGGAGCACTGCTGAACTGGGGAAATAGGTCTAGAACGGCAAGTCTGACAAGCTTATTCACATACAGGTCAGCAGAGAAAACATTTCCTTTCTTTGCTTACATGCTATCTCAGTTTGGCCATGATTCACCCCCCAGCTGCATCCCCTTGTGTGCCACTGAATCCCACCCCAGAAGGTCCCCTGGCTTCATGAGTGGCAGAAGAGCCCTAGTGTACACATGTGGTATCCACATGTGGCCCTGTGGACACTATTAGCGCTACCTGTGCTAGGGCTTTTTTCAGCCGTAACTTGCAGGAACTCAGTTCCAGCACCAATCAGGCGGGTGAGGTTGCCATTCTGAGAGAACAAGGGAGGCATTCATGGTGAGTTCCAGCACCTCTTTTTCTAGAAAAATAGCACTAGCTATACCAATTCTGGCTTAAACATCTCATTAGTGCGCAACACTCAGCTCAGTCTTAAGGTGCTTGTAGTTATGTTCCCTTAGGAAGTGTATCTTCCCTCTTAGTGTTCAACACCCAGATAAAATTGATTACTCTTATGTGCCAACTTAAGAGAACCCCATGAAAAATCTGGGTGGTGGAAGACCTGAGAGATGCTATGTTAAATCAAGATTCAGCTCTATGCATGTCATTGTTAGGAAATGAATATACTGCCACTTACGGTACGTTTTCTGTGGCTCTCCTGAATCCTAAGTATGAAAAATATTCTAAAACCAATTGGGATTTTAGCATGTAGGCTAGCCAATGAGGCAGAGGCCAAAGCTGACAGAGCTAAGCTTAGCTTCTCCAATTTGTCTAATGTTTTGCTGGTCCACAGACTAACGCAATAATGGCTATTCTATTCTACTTGTCTAGCGATGGCACCGAGGAGAGACTGCAACCAACTGAAGTCTCGGCTGGTTTAGGCAGTGCAAAGAATGATGTAAACAAACTTCTCATTTTGTCCCTGACTCCAGAGATCCATGTGCATGCCAAGCCTTCAGAAGCTATAACCGTTCTCCAGTAAGGCTGTCCCTTTGGACTTTAGGCTTGGCTGGCACTGAAAAGTGCTCCTGCCCTACCCTGACTGGCAAGATCAGCTGGCAACGTAAGTCAACATGGTGCAGTTAGGAAGCCAGTCCAATTTGCTGGGGAGAAGATGCTCTTGCTCTTTCACCTTTGACTTCAAAATTAAAAGGGAAATGTCAAAGCAAGCATTGAAGGTTTCTTCTACAAGAGTCTAGGTTGACCTCTTTCTCCCAGATGATATTAATCAATAAGATATGCTGGTGCAGATGCTCTACGAAAAAGTAGGCTGGAGCCTCTGAAGAGCTGCCCCTAGGGAGAAGAAAACAGGAGAAGTGTTGGAAACCAACATTTAAAAGAGATGTCATTTTTTAAAAAAAGTATAGTAAATAAGGGTGCTGGATGCAGCAACAGTAAACCAGGAGCAAAATACTAATAGTAATCCCCCATATGCATTCATTTTTCCCTCTTACAGTGGTACCTTGGTTCCTGAACGGCTTAGTCATCGAACAAATCGGCTCCCGAACGCCGCAAAGTTTGTGAATGTTTTCCAGAAGCTGAACGTCTGACGCAGTTTCCGAATGAGTGCAGGAAGCTCCTGCAGCCAATCGGAAGCCATGCCTTGGTTCCGGGGGTCGAACAGACTCCTGGAACAGATTAAGTTTGAGAACCAAGGTGCCACTGTATTTTATACACGTCTAGGGAAACCCTGCATAATATTACTGTGGTGTAAAAGGACAAACACCAAATCTCACAGGAATAGACTTTACTGGGAAGATTATCCTTACTGATGTTAGTCTGAACAAGATTTTAAAGATTATGAAAACACTAAAGAGTGAAAACGGCAGGGGAGATGGGGGGTGACATTTTGCTTCTTCTGTGGCTAAATTTGCAAAGGCAGATTTGCAAAAAGTTAAGAATCACCCACTTCTGTTCAGGACAAGAAAGGATGCATGCTTCTGCCATCCATCTGTACTGAGGAACTGCTCATGAACCAAAGCTTTACTTTCTCTGGCTAAACTCATCTCAGAGTAAACACGGCTGCCCACCTGAGCACTGAGGTGTCTCCAGCACTGAATCCAAGAAGAAAACACAGGGGTGCGTGGAGGGAGGCCAGCAAGTAACCTATACAGCAAAGAAAGAAGTCAAGGAAGAGAACAAACTGAGGGCGAGAGAAGCAAGCAATCACGGTGTAAACAGGAACCAAAATCATTACTGCCTCCAGATGCTCTCATTTATTCAGTTACAGTCCCTGCTCTAGAAAGGGGGCAATATACAACAGAAAACCAAACCCTCTCATTGTTCTACAAGCTGCAGAAACTTTACAAAAAACCACCGACTTAACTCCATCTCCTTCAATGACCATGAACATTCACAAACCTGAGAGAGACACAGAGGCTGTTCACTTCATGTTTATTGACCTAAAAATGCTGGCTGGCTAGCAAAAATAAATGTGGGCTATTTCCACATATACACACAGCCAAGGTCTTCTCTTCCTCCTTTTTCCTTCAGTGCGCATCATCTCCAAACACATCGGCCTGAAGTCTGTCTGTCCCAAATCACTTTTTTAGGTGCGTGCAGGGATGCGAGGGCGTGGTTTTTCATGCTGTGTGTGCATATGTCCAGGCTAAGCTGTTCAGTATAGGAAAATATGACTAGATTAAGTAGTTCTGCCAACTTATTAAGTTTTCATTAATGACGCTGGTTGGGGGTGGGGGTGGGGAGAGGGAAATCACATACCCACAATTGTTCACCGCCATGAGATCTCCCACAAGAAGAAAGGGGTACGTCAGCATGCTCACAGCAATCTGAAACAAAGACATATCTAAGGCATTCCCTTCCATACGGCAGAGCGAGACACTGTCCCCCACCTCTCCCCCCAAAAAACAATGAGCAAGAAGCCTCATGCAACAAGACAGGACCAGCATATTTTGAGTGTGCAGAGAGAGAAACTTTTTCACCCGAGGCAGCTTAACTGTCAGTTATGTAGAAAAGCAGCATAACAGGCCCCAGATATACATCAACTGGCAGGAAGAACTGCAGCTGAAAGATGCTTAACAACAGAGCTGCACATGCCTGTTAAAAATTACACGTGGAAAGAGATCCATATGCATTAAGGATAAGTTATGATGACAGCTGATTTCCCCACCCACATCTTGCACTTTATTAATTGTGGGTTTATTCGAGTCTGGTTTGGCAGCATGGCAGTTTCTCGAGCCCAAGGAGAATCTGGGTTGACCAGCAATTCTTTGGCCACTCGCCAGTTGCAGTTTCATAGGACTTACAGGTAGGAGACTTGGGTCTTTCATCTAACTCACCTCGACTCAAGCAGAGCAGATTTTTTAAAGTGGCCAATCTGTGACATAAGCACCATCGTTGGTGGAGCAAGAGGCAGTGGCTGTGGGAGCCAGTACAGTGGCACCTCTAGTTGTGGACTTAATCCATTTCAGGGTGCCGTCCACACCCTGAAAAGTCCGCAACTAGAGCACCTCTTCTGCACGTGTGCGTGGCGCGATCGAGCGTTTCTGAGCGTGCATGAAGCGTGCTGATCGCTTCTGCACATGCGTGGGTGGTGAACCCGGAAGTAAACACTTCCGGGTTTGCTGCATTCGTAAGCTGAAAGTCCATAACATGAGCGGAACACAACACGAGGTATGACTGTATATGGGAGTGAGCCAAGTCTACACAGCCTGCCTCCCTCTGCAAGGCTATGAGAAGAGGCGAGGAGCAGAGGCCTGGGATGGGTTACAGCTACTACAGTGTGCAATAATGCCTGTAGCGGCACTGTTTCATACTTTGGACCACATTTGAGGCACATTTGCCAAAAAGGCAGCCAGTTATTGCTTTAAGTCAGGATCATAAATCAACCGTTCAAACCCTGAGATCTGAAGTTCCCAGTTGCTGGGAGTCATTACTTATACAAAGTCATACATGGGTGTGCACGGATTTCCCTAGAACAGTGGAAGAGAGAAGGAGAACAAGTCATATGTCGACCAATTCCCCCAACAGGCACAATCGCTTACATACCCCCATCACAAACTTGGTGTAGCTTCGTATCACAGAGGCTTGGCTGAACTGAAACAAAGAGAGATCAGAGGTTTCTTCAGGCTCAGACCATCACACACACTGAGCGAATACAAGCAGATCACCAGTTATCAATAAGGCTGCATGGAATATGCAGAGAGACTGGCATAGTTCTAGATACAATCTAAACCAGATCTGAGCTAACGCAGGCAGCAACAGCTTTAAACTGACAAGAGGCACCTACTAAACCAGGTGTGGGGAACGCTTGGTCCTCCAGATGTCAGTGAACTACAAGTTTCACCGACCCTGGTCACTGACCATGCTTGCTGGGGCTGATGGAAATTGTAGTTCAGCAACAGGTCGAGGGCCAAAGGTCCCCCATAGCTGCACTGAACTGAAGACATTGTAAACTCAACTCCACACAGACTGCTGAGTTGTTACCTAAGTATAAGCAATTCAGCTTGCTCTTCAATGGAAATAACTTTTCCATAGTTAAACTCCACCTGTCTTAATATTTGATCCCATGTCCCCCAAAGGGGAAAAGACTTCATGAGCCGTATTAACAAGCAGCTCACAGCAATCAAGTCTGTGAGTTTTGATATTTTCTTAGCCCAAATTAGCATGCTGCAAACGAGGCAAAAACTGAGTATGGGGAATCAATGATGCTTAAGAGAAGCCATGTGCACTGAACAGAAAAAGTTGGCTAGAATGTGGCATAGGCACTTCCTGGCTGCTATATGGTGACGGCTCGAGCTTGTAAAGTTTACAGACGAGCAGCACAGTATTGCTGGGTGGGGGGAGGTTCATGTTCTCTGCTGAGATTTGTCAGCTACTTAAAACCATGCTCAATTTGAGCTGTGGAAACAGAGAGAGGCCTCACTAACAGATGACTCCCCTCTCCCTTCAGTTTAGAACATTCTGCAAATCAAGGCTTCAACCTAGGTCCGAATAAGTCACTGAAAATTTCCTGCTTCTCTCTCTCTCTTCACACTTTTGCTATCAAAACATAGCATGTTTTATTTCAGCTATAAGCAAGTCTGCTAAGTTCTTCCGACCCATATGTTTCTGTGATATCAGTATTAACTAGTAGTCCCTAAAGCAGGGGTGGGTTAAACCATGAATGCCAGGTACAAAATAGTAGCTCAGTCAGGTGGACATACACTAAAAAGTCCAGAAATTCAAGGATAGTATCAAAACCAAGTTTAGAAGTCCTTCCATACAAAAATCCACTCCTGGTTTTCTCCCAAGCATTCTTTTTCACAAGTCAGGTGTGTGTGTGTGTGTGCGCGCGCGCTGATTCAGGGCAAATCACCCAGAGATCCACTGTTGCACTAAACCAACAAGCAACTCAACAGGATGAGAAACCCCACCACTCACGTTGTCATCCACTGCGTAGGTGTTGATCAAGTGAGCCAGAAGGTTGCAACACCATAAAAAGATGACATCGCCTAGGATATGAGGAACTAAACCGCTGAAAAACCAAGAAGGAAAATTGGATAACAAAGACTTGAGTTAAACTACAAGAGTTTTGTGGCTATTTAAAACAGAACCGTTGCCTTTAAAAAACAGAGATGCAATTTAGACAAAAATCTCATCAAGAGTGACCAGAAAATGTGGTTAACCCCTACCCTGATACAGAGATTCCAATCCTCAAGTTCTGTTAATTCAAAAGGAAATCACTAACTCATTCTACATGGCATTCTACAGCACAGATGCATTTTAGAAACCTCAGTGCTGATTAAAAAGTAATCACAGATAGAATAAGATTTGTTGATCTCCTTATTGCTGTTTTGACCGAGCCATTCCTAGTAATTATTGTTGCTTAAGTAGTAAGTCTGGGACTCCTTCCAAAAAGTGCCTTAGGCTCTGACATAACGCAGGGAGGAGCTCCAAGGCTGAGGTGCTGCCTATGAAGCCCCAAGTCATTTGCTTTCATCACTTTTATGTGACGCGCAGGAGACACTACTGCCTGGTCATGATGGGCCGAAATTTATCTCTATGTACCTGCAGAGTTTTAGAATTCCAAAGGAGTATCCTATTTGGAGCAGCATCCTATGTACTGTCTGATAGAAAAATGTTGAGTGCAGAACTGAATCCTAAGGAGTGGGAACAGCAACCTGCCGTTCTGCTGGCAGATGACTGTTTGGAATAAGAGCTGGCGCAGGGTGTGGCAACTGATCAAAAACAAAAGTTTCAGATTGAGTAAGGTTTGCTAGGAATTCAGACAGACTCACGTACACAAAGAATCCCAGCAGCCCTTCTTCCTTCCAAATTGTCCCAATGGAGCTGAACACGCCCCTGTTGAGAAAGGAAATGGTTAAGACTCGGGGAAGCAACTCTCACACGCCTCTGCAGTCAGCAGCGCATTTATGCAGCTGCTACTGGCATGCTTCAAGCAGGGGAAAGAAGAATCGTCTTCCTCTCCTTGGAACAAACCAACACCTAAATTAGCATTATGATTCTAGCACAGGGGTGGACAACCAGCAGCCCTTGGCCTAATTTCAAAACCCCCAGCAAGCAGCAGTTCATAACTCTGGCCAGGAGTAATCTGTCCTTTGCCAGGGAGGAAAAGGAAGTGAGAAAGGGGGTTGCGGGGAGGGAAGGCTCTGGCCCTGCCCACAGCCACCTTCAGTCCCACTCACACAGCCTCCAACCAAATACCCTCTCTTCAGAATGCATCTCTCCCCTCCGCCCCCGGTCTCTCTCTCGAAAAAGCTTCCCATCACCATAATAAAATAACAGTTTGCAGCATAAAAATGTCCAGCAGGGATGAATCAAAGCATATTAATAGCACATAAGTGCAATTCAGAATACTCCTACTCACAGATACCTAATAGGCCTGTGAATTTTTTTAAAAAAATCCTGACCTGGGGACAAAAGGACCCTAAGGAGGCACCGAGCCAGCCTCTCTCAGATGGGCATTCTACAACTGGGGTGCCACCACACAGAAGGCCCTCTCTCCTTAGTAGCCCCCCACTTCACTTTGCTTAGTGTAGACATATTCTTCAGTGGAGTCGCTGAAGAAAGAATCAAGGAATCTTGTAGTCCTACTTCGGACCAACTGCAGTTTCTGGATTATTTTTGAAAGCTGCTGTGTATATGCTGCATTGCAGTAAGCTAAGCATGAGGTTACCGGGAGATGGGTAGCTGGCAACCAAGCTATCTCTATTCAGGTGGAACTCTCTCTCCTAAGAAGTGTGCATGGCCTCCGCGCTGCAGATTTTTAAATGAAGCCTTAAAAGCCATCATTTACAAGCTGCCCTTTGCAATTTTTAATTTATTTTCAGAATTGGTACATACTATAGCACTCTTTGGTTAGTCTCTGTAACTGTTTTAAATGGTCTTTTTAATAACTATTAAGGCTGCAGCCTTTGCTAGTTGTGATTGGTTTAGAGTGCTGTATTTATTGCGTTTTTACAATATTGTGAGCTTTCTTAGGTGGAGTATGTCCCCCAAAGCATCATATGCATGTTTTTATAGAAAGCAAATAAATACTTAAAATTGTGACTGAATAGTTGCACTATCTTAAATTTCTGTACAAGGAGACCATTATGAAACTATATTGGTGTTTCACCTCCTTTTTGTCTGAAACAGAAGATACTGAAACACATAAAATTCTAGTGGGACAATGTATATGTAGCGTCAAAGACACAGTGGAGTAAGAGGAAGAACGGGGAGCTGTTCATGCTGGTGCTGCTTGGTTCACATTGAGCAAATAGTTTATCCAAGACTATTATTCTCAGGTTCAACTCTCAAAGGGCAGAACAATCTTACCTGTACTTCACTTCCCGTCCTACGAACTGGACCATACAGCGCATTGAAATTACTGCAGGGAAACAAAGGCATTTAAGCAACTGCAGTTGCAAACCATTTCATCACTTCATCAGGATCTATCAAGCAGCACATGAGGCACAAAAATGCAGCATTCTATCATTCATAGTTCTTAGTTCATGATGCTTAACAGAGATATAAATGCATACCTCCCTAGCAGCAAAAACCCCAGGAGCGCCTTGTGGCTCCTTAAACATTAGTAAGTTGCGTAAGATTTCACTGATTATGGGGAACCTGTGGCCCACCTGATGCTGCCACACAAGAACCCAGGATCCCTGATCACTGGTCCTTGCTGGCTGTGAGTGATTGGAACTGTAGTTCATCAATGTCTGGAGGGCCACAGGTTATTCATCCCTGCATCAGAATCCACCCTGTTAGATGTATGAAATATTTTCTTCAGTTGGAGAGTGAATATCCCTCTTACACTTCAGCACATGCACCTATTATTATGTAAGCTGTAGGACCAAAATGTCATGAAATGGAACAAGTCTCAGTCTCCTGTATTTCTATGCAGAATCAAATTTACTTCAGCAATCATTAGTGACAGCAAACTTCCTTCTCTATAGGTTTTAACACCTGAAAGGGGAGGAGAGAAATGTTTTCTTTAGTAAGTAAGAACATCTCAAATGAGTCTGACTCAAGATCAGGCTCCTGCCATGGCTAGGAATATCTTTTCCAATTTTGTTTAAAACAATTGCTTCAAGACACAAACTAAAAGCTAGTTTTTCTTTTTATCAAAATTTTTATACCACTCGATTGTAAAAAACAAAACAAAAACCCAACAACCCTCAAGGTTAGAAAGAGATCGGAAGGCAGCAGACCACACAACTCACCATGCAGCGGGTGAGAGATAACCCGGGATACGCACTGCATCATCATCTCATGGGAGGTCTGAGGAAGAAGGTCAAGCAGAGTGCAGTATGAACCACCTTCTGAGAAATGGCATGGCTGCAACTGATCACACTGTCATTAGGACTATGTTGGGAAACCGATTGCGTTTAAGTGTTTCAGCTTTGTGTTTTGAAAAACAAATGGGGGGGGGGAGACTACACAGAAGGCAGCAATTCCCAGAGTCTCATTACCTCAAGCCATGACCTGCCTCCCACATATCTTTATTCTGATGTAACTGTATATGAGATAATTCAGAGAGGAGAGATTGTGAAGCTTCAGTAACACAAACAATTTGACCTCAGAGGTATACCCATGTCTGAAGGCAAATTTCTGCTTTCTTCAAAACTTTTCAAGCTTCACAACATTATATATGTTGGAAGACCACTTTCAGGTCTTTTATATTCTCATTATGCCATTTTTCAAAAATCATTTGATGGTATCTAATGCTGCCACAGAACCTGTACAGCAGGCTCCTACTTGAACAACAGAACTTCTCCCTTCTCCCCTCTGCAACCCCTCCATCTCAAAAGCTCTTCCAAAGCATTGGGGGACCCTCTGGAGCAGATTTCAGGTTGCACAAGGGGAGGAAGGGAAGTCCCTTCCATGAGTGTATTGTGCAACACTCGGTTGTGCAAGTGCAGAAGAAAATTCTACAATGGCAATGGAACTTCCCTTCCCTCTCCCCACTCATCTGCCGAATGTCCTCTGCAGGTTCTCTCTATCCTCTGAAGATTTGGGGGTGGTGGTAGTGAAATTCCATTGTGCTCACAGAAATTGTTCTGCAATTATTTAGTGAGATTAAATCCATTCATTTTGATTTTTAATTTCTTGGGTGGCAGAAGAGCCAAAATCTTAAGAAATCAGGCTGACCCCATATTTGCATTTTCAACCTTTCCAATCTTCTCACAGTGTTAGCCCCAGGCAGTTTTCCAAACTAGGTTTAGCCTTACAGGAAGTTGGGGAGAAATGAACCATGTTAACTTTCCTAGATTTATGAGAATGCCAAGTTGCAAAACAGTGTTGCTTTTTCCCCAACACTAGGTAAAAGATTAAGTAAAGAAAGATTGCTTGATAATGGATCCCACCTCTTTTGCCACTTTCAGGAGGGACGTTTTCACATCATCCTTGTTAGAAACATGTTCTATATCCTCCAAAGGAAAGGCCTAAAAGACAAAATAATAATAAATAATAATAATAATAATTTTTTTTATACCCCGCCCTTCCCGGTTCAGAAAACCGGGCTCAGGGTGGCTAACAACAAATTTAAAACACTTAATTGATGCAACAAAAAACAGCATAAAATACAGTATTAAAATGTGAATAACAATAAATTCAGAATTCAAAAATCAATTTGGGGGAAAATCCATCCAATAAACATTAGATGATCACCAGGGCTAGTTGGCTAAATTAGTCCTATTTGGGCCAGTGAGGAGACCAGGGAAGAATTAGCTGTGGGATCCCAGAGTGGATAATCTTCATAAAAAGGGGAGAGGGAGGGAAGGAAGGGGAATAAAAGATCAGGCTAAGTTCAAATTGAAAGCCAGGCGGAATAGTTCTGTCTTACAGGCCTTGCGGAAGGAAGTTAAATCCTGGACAGACATTATGAAGCTCACCTCCCTTCAGAGACTTGGCTATGAAGAGCAATGGCACTTGATGCATCTGCTCTTAGGGGTGTTCCCAAGGCTCCCTATTCCCCATTTCTAATAAATATAGCTGGGGGGGAATGGGAGAGGAGCTCAGAGGACCATACATGAGGGGGGGATCACCATGTTACACAGATTAGGTTGAAAGATAGTGACTTGCCCAGTGAGCTACACTCCCATCTTTGCTTCCTCCTTCCTCCTTAAGGAAGTAGGAACCATGTCAGTTCATTAGCCAACCTAGATAAGTGTCTACATGGATTGGCCACAGCTGTCCAGTGCTTTTCCAGTCCTACCTGAAAATGCCCAGAGTTGAACCTCTGACCTTTTGCATGCGAACCACGTGCTCTATCATCAAGCTATGGCCCTTCCCCAACTTCCTTCCCTTCTCCCTATGCTCTTGCTGCAAGGGAGCCCTGTCGGGAGTGTGTGTGTGCGCGCACACACAACTTTCTCTGCCTCACAGAAATGGAGAAGGAAGTTGCTCTCCACTTTGAAAATGCCCAGCTTGGAAGCATGCACTTGCCTCCTGCTCATCACCCTGTGTCTAAAGCATCATTAGCAGGAAGAGAATCAGCATGAGGAGGCCCAGACTCGAAAGCGCTGAAGGAGCATGAATGAGCCTCTCTTCCCGCTTCCAAGCAATGCACAGACGGGAGGGAGTGGCAGCCGGCGCAGGCTCCCGAACCATAGAGCTGAATCAGGCAGTGTTGAGCTTTCGGAGCTTTCCTGTGCACAGCAGGAGGGGACGGAGTGGAAGGCAGCCAACTCATCTTGGCAGGAGACAGAGCAGCACTCCTCCCATCCTTAATGAGGAGCTGTCACTGACGATTAGAAAAGTGAAATCAACAGCCCCACTGTCAAAGACCGAGCAGGCCAAGAAGTGTCAGACTAACAGGCTTTCACAGGAAATAAAAGGTCACTAAGAGAGGATCAGCACATCATTATTTTAGGGAGGCTGAAGGCACTCAAGACATTCCTAAAGCAGCCTGATGGTGACTTAATAATCAATTAATTTAAAATATGGTCCAAGAGGGCCATCAGTGTAGGACCGTAATAAAAAAAATAAATGCTGAGGATTCAGGAAATTGTTCACAGAATGAAAAAGGGGGAAAGTTAAAAGACATGCTCGGAGGGCCTCCGTTCAGCATAAGGCCAGCAGCTGCTGCTGCTCTTTCAGCTCAGCAACTCAGGATCTTGCAAAGGATTTACTGCCTCTGGTTGAAGGAAAGGGGCTGTTTGCCACAACCAGAGCAGTGGCAGTGGTAGTTGCTCTTGAAGCTCATTCCTTCTCACTCCACAGTGGTGTCAGCTGACACCTGAGTTATAATGAAATGCTGACCTGACTTTCTTTAAAAAAAAAAGTCATTCACAACTAGCCTTCAGTACACTGAGTGCAGAGAGCAAACTTGAACCTTACCTTCTTTACTCTCCCTCTGCTTATGGTGGATAAAGTGCTAGAGAGAATTCGAGGAGCAAGGCCACGGAAAAGGCCTCTTTTCCCATCCACTTCCACAATGTGTCTGGCTAGGAAATAAACGATTGTGGTGTCACATCATCATCGTTGTCAGTCTTCAGAAGCTCCAACTTGCAGCTGACTAAACGTCTATTTGGAATAACACGTCTCAGGGCATTAGACTATCCACTGATACTGATGATCCCATTGTAAAATGAGGAGAACCCTGACATTGTCAACTAAATCTTTCAGCTGTGGTCTGCCTACCTTAAAGAGTTACACTGGATTTTACTGGCTAGGTCAGAGTGTGAAGATTCCTTTAACTCGTGCTTAGCTGTGTTGCCTCCTTCCACCCCAAAGGGTTCAGGTTATAATCTGCAAAACGTTTTGAAAGGAATTGCATAGAGCCTAAATTATTACAAGCATCGGATGGTAAGACAGAGAGGAAAAACACAAATGTGCTTCTAGTATAGTATAATGCCGTGGTTGTTTGCTACAGTGGAAATATAAGACTAATTCCACTTTTCCAACCCTCACGTTGCTGTAAAGCAGTATTTTTTCCTAACTGTATTTTTTTTTCAAAAGAGAGAAAATGTTTCTGTAAAAGCAAATATACAAAGTGATCTTCATTAAACAGCTGATATACTAGCTCTTCAGTTGACTGTCATGCTTCACACAATAAAACAATCACAAAGAAATGCATTTAAAAAGCTTCATTAGCAAAAAAAACCCCAGCTTCTACATCACAGTATGATTGCTCTATACCATTATATACGTAGAAAGCAAGGAGTATTATAGATCCATGCAGTGATGTATACACATTTTGCCTCTCTACATGCTATAAATGTGTCTGTCTTTTAAAATTCTGTTTTATGCAAAACTGTTTGCTAATGAATATTTTTTTAATAGGTGCCAAACATTTCTCTAAGAGAAGCACATAAGTGGTATGGGTGAAAGTAGCAAACTAAACCCTCAACAATCATACCACTACGCATAGTAACACTTTCACAGCTAATATCTGTTATAACGAAATGATTTATTTTATAATTTGATAGCTTTATAAAATGTATACACTGCTTGATTGCAAAACAAACAAACCCTCAAAGTAATTTACAAAAAGGATGAAATCCTCATCCATCTAAATGGATGTCCCAAAATCAAAAAAGTACGATCAACTAAAAAGGGTTTTCTGGCCTAACACTAGGGATGTTGCTGTTGTTTTTTCCTGTAATTTTGTTGGAAGTGACAGAGTGGCTGGAGCAACCGAGTCAGATGGGTGGGGTATAAGAAATATTATTGTTGTTGTTGTTATTATATTATTATTAGCATTATTCATATAAGTAGATATTATTCACACCAAACTGCACTTTTTGCAGCAAATGCAACCCTTTCTAAGTCAATAAGGACCAACAATGATTCCATACAATCTACGGCATAGACAATACTTTTTTCCTGTTACAAAATGACTAGCAATATAAATGAGATAAAGAGTGTTAGCCTGGTTTGCATGCAATACTAAGCCAAACCATGGCTAAGCGTGTGGGTACTCACTGTAAAAATTACAGCCACTTTGTTCCTCCCCCAGTACTGCTGCTGAGTTACTCAAAATGAAGACATGGTTTGGCTTAGCATTATATCTGAAACCAGGCTCATGGTTTGTCTGGAGTGAGACTAGCTATGTGCCTGGGTTCAGCTGTAGTAGTGCCAAACCATGGTTTCATGTTAAGTAGAGCAGCAGCAGCAGCTTTTTTTTACTGCAAGTACCTTCATATTCATGCATTCATGCTTAGATACAGTATGACTTAGCATTACATGCAATTGGGCCACTGCCTACAAGATTTAAAAGGCAATAATGCAATTCAGCACATGCCTACTCAGAAGATAAGGTCTACTGGAGAGTACTCCCAGTTTAAACTATGAAAACCTAGTGCACCATACAATTTTAGCTATCACTTTTTTGTCTTTGTCTGTGATCATTGCAAATCAAGATGATCTAAGCAGTATTCCTCCTGCAGCATCTATATTCTCATAAAAAAACAACTTTGTTCACAGAAAAGACTTTTTTTTAAAAAAGAACTGATTTATCACAGCACTATACTACTGTTGACTTATCATTTCTAAGTTTTGTATTATCCTTATTTAACTACAGTGGTACCTCGGGTTAAGAAAATTCATTCTGGAGGTCCGTTCTTAACCTGAAACTGTTCTTAACCTGAGGTACCACTTCAGCTAATGGAGCCTCCTGCTGCCGCTGTGCCCCGGCATACGATTTCTGTTCTCATCCTTGGCCAAAGTTCTTAACCTGAGGTACTACTTCTGGGTTAGCAGAGTCTGTAACCCAGTGTTTGTAACCCGAGGTACCATTGTACTGTCAAACTTTCCTTGGATTTTTATTAAAGTATGCTCACCATATGTAAAAAAGCCAGGTAGGTAAAGTACTTTTCTTCCCAACAAGTTTCTCCCAACAGTTGGAGGAAGAGGTTCATGCCCAACCTTTAAAAGAGATACCAATCAGGCAACATCTGCTTCTTGGAAGAATCCCCCATACCAGTGTTCTTCAATCATAAGTTTACATCCTATATAGATGGTACATTTTCCCATTTGTTCTCAGTTCTTACTCAGTTTCACCAACACCAACCCTTTACTGAATTAAAAGATTTACAGGCCCGGTACCTCATAGCTAATTTTAGTATTGTCTTTTTGCATTGTTCTAACCCACTCTGAACCCTTATGGTGAAGGATAAACTGTCCAAATCATTCTCACAGACACACCATTTTTAGTTGTGACAGTGCCATTTTATACAGCAAGCGGAACAGCAACGTTCTTTACAATATCTAGTTAAATTGCAAAAAGGAGATTAGCCTGATTTATAGGAACTGACCCTCCTCCACCTGTTGCAAGGGGTCACACCTACCACAAAACCCGGAAACTGAGCCCTAATTAGGGGCAGCCCCAATAATTAAGACGAAGGCTACACCTACTTGCCCAGGGATGCTGGGAGGCACATCCCAAGATAAACAGCAAATACCAATAACTCTAATTAATTTTCGGGCCCTGCTTCGCAACCCGCAAATTCTTGGGGCTGCCAGCTCCGTCAGAGGCCCACAGAGACTGCCCACCCGGAACCGGCTTTCGGATGTGACCGCACCTGCACCAGCAGCTTGACATAGAGCAGAGGGTGGCTCAAGGTCGTGAAGCCGGCGCTCAAGGCTACGAAGAGAGCGTCGGCGCCCTCCGCCGGTCCCGGCCCCATTCCTGGCCCAGCGGCTGCAGGAGGTACCCTAGGGCCCACCGTTACAGCGGCCATCCCCTCTGCCCCCATCCAACAAGGGAACGCACTTCCGCGTACAGCTCCTTGCCCTCGTCACATGACCGAGGCCTTCGGTCACCGGGCTTCTACGTCATCACATCACGCAAGGGGAAGAGCTGCGGCAGGGAGAAGGAAATGGCTTTCTTGCATAGACTCAGTAAAATTTTAGAGTGACCACGGATAACGATAACTTCCGGGTTCATTTTCATGCTACCCCCCGCCCCATCCTGGGTCGGACGTGAAAGCGGGCTTTGGCGAACAGTGAAAATAATGAACTAGAGTTTCAAGAGCTTTTTTTAGTTAGAAGCGATCCATCCAGAAACACCCAGGGAAAAGGGTCGTTTCCTACTTCAGATGTTATTTCATTTGAAAGAAATGTGATTTTAAGCTTTATTTTTTAGTGGTGAACCCTTAAAAATGTTCAGGGAGGGAGAGAGCCTTACGAAAGCGAGGCTTTCCCTGCCAATACTGCAGTCTGCAGTTGGAGTGGCCTTTCTGCGACCCCCGCTAAGCCCCGATTCAGCGCTCAGTTGTGCTCGGAATCGGTCTGATCCATGGTCTGCATTAGAAAACGCAGAAGATCCGCCTCTGAGGCCACTGTTGGCCGTGTTTGCCCAGGCACGGATCCGGGATTCCGTGTTTGTTTTCTGCTCGAGCCGTCATTTCAACCCAAAGCGGGGAGGGATATGCCGCTCGAAGTGCACGCCGAGGCAGAGCCATGGAACCATTCGAAGTCTACATTTCCCTATCTCTGTAACTATTGGACGATACCATTGTTGTGCAGAGGGGAAAGTTGAAGGCTGCAGTCGGAAGCGCCCGATTCCTTCTCAGGCATGTTTCCTTCTGGCAAATACCTAGTGGAAACAAGTCCAAGGGCGCCCTTGGGCGACAGGAGCCCCCAGCTTATTAAGGGGGCGGAACCATTTAAAGCTGTTTAGGGCGGTAAGCAACATAGAGATAGTAAAGAGTTGACGCCCAGCCTTTTGGTTTGACAATCTCCATTTTACGCTCCTCGAGAGGTAAAAATCTCGGCGGGTCTGTGTGGAAAGAGCCGAAGCGCCGTCTTGCATTCGACTGGTCTTTTTTAGGGTGGTTGGAAGAGACTGCTTTTGGTGAAGGAGAGCATATGCACGCACGCACCCCATGTCTGTCTTTGTTTTAACACAGTCGTGGGATGGCTTCGGTTGGTTGACAGTAGAATCCTCCGCATGTCTACTCAGGTTGTAAGTCATGCTGAGTTCGTGCAAGTGGGCATAGGATTGCAGCTGCAAACACGCAAAGCTTGCGCGGTGAGTCCGAGCCCGTCCATCTTGCATAGTGAATCCCTGTGCAACTGCTCCACTGGCCGTCTCTGCCTCTTGACAGCTTTTGGTGTGTGAATTCTTGCACCGGAATCCTAAGAAGACCTGTCCAAAGACCCGTCTCATTTAGCATCTTCTCCTCACAACAAGCCAACCAGATGGCAATGAGAAGCCCGCAGATAGGACTCCCTGAGCACACAACCCTCCTCACTTGTGATTCCTACCAACTGGCATTCATAGAATCCTAGAATTGGAAGGGACCCTGAGGGTCATCTCGTCCAACCCCTTGCAATTCTGGAATCTTTTGCCCAACGTGGGCTCAAACCCACAACACTGAGATTAAGAGTCTCACACAAGTGAGAGAGACCTACTGCTTCTCAGTAGCAGCCCACTTGGAGCGGCAGAGCTACCCTCCTAACATGGACATTGCAGAAGCTCATCTGGATCGTGGTGGGGTTGGGACAGGGTGGTGGTGGAGTCAGGACCGTGCAGACACAGTGGCCGGGGTGGTGTGGTGTTGTGGGGTGCAGATTTGCTATGCTCATGTGTCAGCAACACAGCCCTATCGAAGAAGAGTCCTGCTGGATCAGGTGAATGGCCCATCTAGTGCAGTATCCTGTTTTCACAGTGGCCAACCAGATGCACATGGGAGGCCTGTAAGTGGGATCTGAGCACAACAGCACTCTTCCTCCAGTTTCCAGCAATTGATATTCAGAAGCATACTACTCTTCTGAACCTTTTCCAGCTCTTCAGTGTCCCTTGTAAGGTGCGCTGACCAGAAATTTACAGTCTTCCAAGTGTGCTTGTACCACAGATTTGTACTAGCAGCTGTATTTATTTCATCAGTAAAGACTGAAAACAGGACAGTTTCTTAAAGTATTTTTAATAGAGTTGCTGTTAAGCCAGTATCTGTACATCTCACCCACAATTGGAGATCATAATAAACATGGGTGGGGGCAGCTTTCCCCCTCCCCCAATCAATATAAATCAATACAAATCTGAGGTTCTGTCCCCCTCCCAACAAAAGCCTGCCCCCTAACAAAAATCCTGGGTGTGCTCATGATAATATACAGTGGTTTGTGGCAATCTGCAATATGGGGAGAATGTGTGGGGTTAAATTGCAGGGAACTTGGAGATCACTTGCCACCTAACTCCATTTCATTCCTGCTGCTTGCTAACTGGATATGCAAGAGTTGCCACTCTGCCTCAGTCTGCAGAAATGGATGTGATACTGGTCTACATTGCAGAATTGTTGTAATCTATTGTTTACCTCAGCATGCCTTCTATATCTGCAATATAGGGGAAATAATATTGGACAGTCTACTTCTCCCTTCCTGTCTGGTGCAAAAAACATTGGCAGAGCACTTTTTCAGATTAAAATAAAAAATAAAAATCTCAAGTTTTTCTCACATAGGAAGATCTGAGTGAGAAGGAGCATGGAAACCTGTCTTCTCTAGTGTGTTAGGTAAAACTATAATAGTCCTGAATTTTCCAATTGTCTCCTCTGAGCAGTTGCTACTTTTAGTCCTCTGAGAATTCCTCTCTCAGTGGTGTCAGAAGTAACCAGGAAGTTCTGTCTGTAGAGTAGGCAATTGAATTGCCAATTTATATATGTACTGTATTGTCTATAGCTGGGAATTGCCTAATATTATACATGCTGGAGTAGCTGTATGGAGCCCCCTGGCGTTCAAATTTGTCAAGCACAGGATACTGTGTAAATACTTTCTAGACTAGAGCAGCCTTCCTCAGATGTTTTGGACTACAAGAGATAAGCAGCAAAATCCTGAAAACCTTACATTCTACGTATGTACTTAGTTATTCTGTCACAAATAATTGTAATTTCTTTCTTTCTTGCATTGCTGATGGTGAGAGGTGGGAATTGCAAGTTGAAGTTGTATTGCAGCAGAAAATATTAGATACAGTGCATGACCGAAACAAGAGTCAAGGCAGAGCCAGAATTAAATGAAAAGACCACTTCTGATACATTTCCTTAAAAAATAAAATCATATACTTAATAAGAGGCTTACATTCCTTGCATACCCTTGTAAATCTTGCTCATTTTCTGCCAGCGCTCTGCTTTTCAGTACTTCCTCATATTTTTTTCCTATTTATGGTAAACCAGAAGGGTTTCCCCCTACACACCACTGAAGGCACCAGTTTGCTTGCAAACTGTTCAGTAATTTGAATATTCTGTCCAGTGGTTCAAAAGAAATTATTCAGAAATACCTCAAGCAACAGAAAGACTGAGCTGCAAAAAAATCACAGTGCATCCTCGGTGTGGGTTCTGCTTTGACCGTTACTTCAGAACGGCAAGTCCAGTTTCAGACTGACAGGTCTCAGTACGATGGAGGAGCAGAGCTATACAGCCACCTCTGTGGTTAACCTGGTGGATGCGTTTGAGAAACTCAGGTACAATAAATCTTCTCTCTCTCCCCCGCACCCCTGGAGATGTTATAAGAGAGATCAGTTTTTTAAAGAGCAGAAATGGTGTAAGGACTGTTTCAAGTAGCATGGTTAAAAAAAAACCCCCTATGATTTTGCTGTTTATTTAATTCTGATAATCCTTTGGCAACCAAATTGCTAAATTCCCCTGGTTCCTGCCTCTGGCAGAGAATGTGCCTGAGTCATGGACACTGCAAAGCTCATTCAGAGTCACTCCCAGAGACATCAGTGCCAATCCAAATTGTCACCTGGGAATGTGGTCTGCAGCCACACACCATACTGGGAAGTGTAATGAGGAATTTGCAGTCATACAAGCAGCTTTGCCTTTGCCGTGTCCCACAGAGACAATCATCTAGGGCTAAGAAGAAAATTCAGACTTTGTGGACTTCAGGGTAAAAAGCAGTATTGTGTCAGATGCCGAAAACTTTTTAGTTTTAACAGGCTGTCCCAGCAGGATCCGTTTACTGGTGGAGCAGCATCTTTTTCTTCTTATTATTTTTAAAATCTGTTTTAGCTGTTTCATTTTCATTGTTGTATACTACTACTACTATGCCGTTGTTGTGATGCTTAGCTGTTTAAAAAATATTCCTAATAAATAATAATAAAAAATAAATAATGGGGTGGCTAGCTTGTTTGGCTACATTTGTGAGATCAGGATGCTGGACTAGGTGGGCTATTGGCCTGATCCAACAGTCTCTTATTCTATTCTTATGTTTTCCCCCCACCCATCGTCTCTGACCATTGAGCATGCTGGCTGGGGATGACTGAATCCAACAATATCTGGAGGGCAACAGGTTCCCCATCCCTGTTCTAAAAGGTCATTTAAACCGTTCTAGATAGTGTTGCAATCCATGCATAATTCTGACACATTGCTGAAGTGTGGAAGCTTTGCCCGTAAGAAACAGAAATCAATGTGGGTGGGTGTTACTCTTTATTTTCTCGTAAGTAATACAAGCTTACTGTAAGCTGCGGAGGAGCGCTCTCCTTCCGTAGCCCAATCTGCTTCAGTGCTGGCCACAGAGTGAGCAAAGCCATTTCCTCTGCCAGGAAACCTCAGTGCTCCCTGTCTTCTTTGCCAGCTCAGACACTCACCTAAATGGAATTCTATGAGCTTGTCTGTGCAGGATATTGTGGGTGAAGGTACCCTGGGCTCAAGCCATGGAGGGTTTCAGACGTGACAAGCAGCACTTCAGATTGAACCTGGACATGTATTGGCAACCAGCACAGCTATTCTGATAGTGGGGTAATATGTCCACACACCAGTGTTTCTGGGAGCACCTTTGCTTCTGCATTCTGCACCAACCTGAAGTTTCCAGAGGCCCTTCAAAGGCAGCTGCATGCAGAACATATTATACAGTAACCATTGCATGTCTCACTGTAGATAACTCCGATCTACTGATTAAATGGGTGCACATTTTTGGCCACAGCTGTTCGCTGGGCATCCAGTGGGGTACCCCCCCTTTGCCAAGTTTTTCTGCACTCTGACAGTTCCGCTATACATTCATCCATTGCTAACATGATATTTCAGTGCTAAATAGGGAAATCGGAGCACAGGTTTGTACAAAATGAAGAAGGGGCATTTTCTAGTAAAACCAAAACAAATTAAGAACCAACAGAAAACTGCAGGGGGATTTGACGCCATTGCTCTCAAGAGCCCTGGCACTCTGCAGTGGCTCAGAGAAGGAAGGGATTTCCACGTAAACCCCTGAAATGCTGCATCCCTTCTGCTGATAAATCCGGCGGCTGGACTCTGCGCTATTTGTCAGATGAAAAGATATCAGCCTGATTTATATTTTAATGGATTTGGATTTTATGAAGACTGCCATCTGGTTGTCTTTTTGCGGCATCCTAAGTCCAGATGTGGCTTTGCACTTTCTTTTTTAAGTTGGCATCCTTCTTTTCTATTATACCTCCGCATTAGAGTTACATTGCAAACTGGCATGATTTCATCATGCAGATATGAGAAAACACACACACCATGCAAAGGACTACAAAACAAAAGCATATGTGAATGCCCCTTGTGAAATAGTCCTGAGAGTTGATGGGAGTCACACCCTGACTTCGCTGAGCCTCCTTTCCATCTTCACATAGCTTACAGTTGTAGGAAGTGGGAAGGCCTGGGGAAGCTCAGCGGTATGGCATATGCTTTGCTTGCAGAGATTCCAGGTTCAGCCCTTGGCATCTTCAGGTAGGGCAGGGAAGCACTCCTGCCTGAAACCCTGGAGAGCGGCTTCCAGTCAGTGTCAGCAACACTGAGCTAAATGGACCAATGGCCTGACTTGGCAAAAGGGCAGCCCTGCTCTCCTGCCACTGTTTTGTTGCCTGATCTCAGTGCAACAGTGTCTCCCTCTCCTCATGTGTCAAATGAAAGAGGGGAAATTATGCTTCACTGTGTTTGTTACTGTGCTTCCTTAGCACACTGTGAAGCTGCTGTTCCTGTTTCTTAGTATACGCAGAGCGAGGAGACTATATTCTCCCTCTCAATCTGTGTCTCACAAAGGAGCAGTCAAAAGCTGGAACAGAAGCAGAATTGTTTGTGGATGGTCTTGATTGCATGGAAAGGTTCAGGGATAGAAATGGCTTTGGCGCTTCCGGCGGGCTTCCCTGCTTTCTTGGACGTGACGTACCCACTGCCTCTCTTGCTTCCAGTTCTTTGGCTTCATTATACCAGTCCCACCCTACAGTTTGACTGTCACCTTCATTTTCTAAGCGCTTGACCTGGTGGAACTCTTAAGGGCTGAATTTGTAAAGTAGAACCCTTGAAACTCCCAAGACAAAATGGTCAAAGGCTCCATTTGCCTGGGAGCTTCTTTCTTCCAAGGTAAACTGAACAACAGGAGAAGTTTCTCTGAGAAAAGGTGCTGATGGCGGCGGGGAGAGAGAATATTCCTGTTATGGACTGAAGTTCTCACCCTGGGCCAGCAGTAGATAGTTTTCACTCAGGTCCACATATGCAAATAAGGGATTGAAAGTGACATTCAGTGATTGGCTAGTTACAGAAAGTGGTTACTGTTGCGTTGTAGTGGAGCTCTATATAAGCAGGCTGGCTGAACCCTTCAGTTCAGTTCTGTTCTGGCCTGTGAATAAACAAGAGCTGTTGAAGAATCGCTGTGTCGTCTGATATGTTCACCCACAACTTAATAATTCCTGTGGTGTTTTCATAGGCCCTAAGCAATTTGGAATACACTAGTGGGAAGAGGACTACCTTTTTAAATGTATCTGTGTGATATTACTGTGATATTTTCTTCAAAGTGTAAAAAACCTCCCAAGCACAAACTTCATTCAATCACAAGTGAATCATAGAATTGTAGTGTTAGAAGGGTCCTCAGGAGTCATCTAGTCTAATCCTTTGCAATGTAGGAATCTTTTGCCCAATGCAACCCTCAAATTAAGTACCTCATGCTCCATCAACTGAGCTATCAAGGGGAAACTGAAGGAAGCTTACACCTTAAAGAAGCCCATATTTTCCATAGACAGTAGACTAGAAAAGAGGAGCTTATTCCCTCAGTTATTTAATATGTACCTATGCTTCTTTTATATTCAAGCACACATACTTCTCTGTCAGCAACCACTCTAGGTTGCCAGGCATCTTGCCTTGAGAAGTGCCTCTAAAATCTCTTGGATCCATGTTCTTGAGTATACACCCTGAAATTAAATCGCCATGATATATTACACCTGCAGCATATCTGCTTTTAGCGCTGTTGTCATCTCCTGGCAACTATTGCCCTTTTCAGATCTTCTCCATGCTTCTATGGGATGTGCAGAGGGAAGGGTGGCTTTTGCCCATTGGCCTCACTCCCTGACCTCCCGCGTTCAGGGGAGAAATTCCGAAAAGCACCTCTGTGCAATGACAGCTGTAAAGGCACATAGACTCCTCAGGCAACCTGCCACCCTAATGGTGCAGAGTTCCCACTGTGCAACAAAGCTATAGCCCTGCAAAGGCTTATTTCAGGCTTTCTGCTGAATGTGTGACGGCAGGAGGGTGAGGGCAGCAGGCAGAATCTGCCTTCTTCTCTGGCCCCACGACATGCGCTGTGATCTCTGGGTGGGGAACATGCAAACAGTCTACCAGCTCCTTCCCTTAACTTGCCCATTCCCTACGTCAGCCCAGAGGGGGTTGTCCCTTTAGCAAGACTGCTGCCTCTGGTTAATCTTGAGCTGTGGCTTGTTTTGGAAAGGCAAAACTTTGCTTCGGAAGAGGAAATAAAAGCTGACTTTTGGATACATGAGGAAGCTTAAGGATAGTTATGACAGCTGATTGTGGAACAGAAAAGAGGATGTAGCCTTCAGTAGCTACTCTCAATGTAAATATGAAAAAGACTTCCTCAGCCCTTGTGTATCATACATTTTAAAGCACATCCCCTCCCCATTGCAAGAATCCTGGGAATTGTAGTTTTTAAGGGCCTTGGCAAATAGCTCTGTGAGGGGTAAATTACAGTTCTCGGGATTGTTTATTTATTTGATTTATAGCCCAACTTTTTCTCCAAGCAGCTTCGGGTGGCACGCGTGGTTCCCCCCCTCTCCATTTACTCCACACAACAACCCTGTGAGGTAGGTTAGGCGGAGAGGCAGTGACTGGCCCAAAGTCACCCAGTGAGCTTCATGGCTGTGTGGAGGTTTGAACCCTGGGCTCCCAAGTCCTTGTCCGGCACTCCTGGTGTTTCCAAAGCTTGGGTTTCCAGCTGTTGCTGGACTACAACTCCCATCATCCCTAGCCAGTAGGACCAGTGGTCGGGGTGATGGGAGTTGTAGTCCAACAACAGCTGGAGACCCAAGTTTGAGAAACACAGCTCTAAGCACTACATCATGTCCCTTAATGTGCAGGTACATAGCTTTCATATGATGTTTTGGTCTACAAGAGGCACAAGCATTTCTATGAAAGAGAAGACAGGCAAACTGTTTAGTTTTTTTAGCTTCTCATGGGCCAATGTATTGGTGTCCAGTGGTACACTGTTCACATATGTAGGCATGATGGTCTTCATACAATGGATGCAAAGCTTTTGTACATGCATTATGCATCCATGCCTATTGTGTTATTTACAGGGTTGCAATGTTTATCAACTGATTAGTGATTTAGGCTGCAGTCCTATTACCCACTTACCTGTGAAAGTGAATTCAACAGGACTTACTTTCTGGTGTAGGGTTGCACTGTTAAATATTTTTGTAGGTACCAAAAAAAGGTGCCCTAGATTAACTGGGTGCAGATTTTTGAAAATAAATGATGAAATCCAATGTCACATGGGCGGACTTCTGCTTATGTTGTGGGATGTCCTCTTTCTGACCTCCTGTCTGCAGCTTGCTGCCCTAAAAATCTGTTCTGATGCATTCCCCAACCATCTGAAGCAAATTTTGTGAGTGCATGTCAGCTGCAGGAGAAGGAGAGGAAAGGAATGGCCTGTTTGCACAAGAAGAAGCCTGTTCCACTGGTAGGCAGATCTCACCCATTATTTAAGAAAGAAAAACTCTGCAGATAGCATGCATTTCTCGTTTTCTCTCAGGTACGATAGTATGCCTCTTCTAAGTTGATGTCTGCTGTGACACATGCATGCATTATCCAAAAAAACCACCAAAAACCACCCCAAATACAGCATTAAAAATGTTTGCAATCAGTGCGTTAATCAATGAATCAACTCAAACTCATACAATTAATATCTTTGCAATCTTAGTTATTCAGCTACAATTGCTGATGCTGTTGTGTAACTAAGGATGGAGAGCTTTTGTTGCTGTTTCAGAAGTCCCTGTTCCCCAGGGCCCAAACAGATCATGATGTGGATGTGGGAGGCTAGAGATCTGATCTCCTGGTTGTTGTTGTTTTTTGCTTAATCTTTTATTTTAGTTCTGTTTTCTGGATGTAAATTAACCCACCCCCCACCCCCAGCTACTGGTTAGGTGAGAAGGAGGAAATAGGCAGTCACGATACAGCTGCCTGTATTTAGATGTGGGTAAAACTGTCAATCCTAGTTTGTTTCAGTTTCTCATTTTTCCAAACTAAAGTTCAGTTCCCCACATTTTTACAAAAAAGTCCTCATGAGAACTCGCCAGCATTTCAGTGTTAATTTCTCTTTTTTGAAAGGCAATTTTGCCTCCCACGTACATTTTAACACAGTGTATTTTCCCTATTATTTACATTTCCCCTACTATAGTGTGATTTTGAATGTTATTTTCAGTGACATGAACATTTCCTGCCCCTTAGTGCTGGAGAACAGCACTGTAAAACTCAGAGAGGTGCAAATAATGATGGTTTGGTCCCTATGTTGCCTCTGAATGTTTTGCTTTTGCTTTGGATCTCACCACACAGACGGCTTGGCTGTGCACTGTGTTTTGCAGAAGTGGGCTGAATAATGTCATTCTAAAACTGCTTGTCTTTTTTGTGGCTAGAGCTTGCCCGAGTCCCAGCAAGGAGCAGGTCCTTCCTCAGTCTGGGCCCTGCTTGAGAGCACCAAATCTCATGGTGTCCTACCTGCTTCCACCTGCGACTAGCAGAAGAGCTATGAGCGAAGCTAAGCAAATGCCTGTGCAGCACAGCCAAATGCCCTGCCGTGCAGAATCAGTGATGGAGCCACGAGAGGCTCCCAGAGGGCTCACAGTCAAGTGTCTCAGCTCTTTCCGTGGCAAGATCAGTGCAGGCAACTGGAGGATTCCACAAGATGCAGACTTCCAGGCAAGCCTCAGGACAGACTCCAGCAGCAGCGGAAACCAGGTCATTAACTACCAGATTACTGTTGTTGTTGTTGTTACAGATCATGTAGAGTAGGGCCAATGTTCTGGGCAACTGGTGCTGTCAGGCAAGGAATGTCTAGAGTGAGGAAATGGCATGTCTATCAGCCCAACCCCTCTCCGCTGTTCCTAGGTGTGCGCCCAACGAGGCAGCTGCAGCAACGGAGAGGCCCCACCCACAACCTAAGCTGATGCATCTCCCCAAGCAGGTGCAGACTTTGTCTACGCAAAACCATTTTCTGCTCCTTCTGCTCCAGTCCTCTTCTGGTCCTGGGAGAGAGTGGAGCACGAGAGGTGGGGGCAGGAGGAGGAGGTGTGGCAGCCAGAGGTGCCGTATTGTGCCCAAGATTGGGGAGGGGGGCGTCGTGCATCGTGTGTGTGAGACGTCATGAATGCGGTGCATGCATGATATCGCATTGTCAGGAGAAGGCTGATTCTAGAGCCCAGCACGGCACAATTCCTCTCTTAAGCTCAGGAGGAGCTAGCCACTGAACCATGCTGGCCTCCTCTGCCCTCTCAATATTGAGGGGTCTCGGCCCCCTGCCAGCAGATATTGAGGAGGCCGAAGACACCTCCACCCCTGGGGGTGGACACACCCTCGACTCTACTCCTGCCTGACTTATCTTTCCCTCCTCCTGCGCCTGTTTTTCTTTTGTAATGCTTTTTATTGGTTTTTCATTTCAAACAAACAAAATACAGTAATATTCAACAATCATCTACCCACTTCCTTACCCAACACTCTGCCGAGCACTGACTTCCCTCCCTCCCTTCAACAGGTTTTCTTATTTCAGTCTCCTTTCCACTGTTTCTTGTTTTATCCAGTCCACGTCGTAAGATTTATTTCAGTCTTCAGGTTTCTACAGTTATTATTTATATAATCCATAAATTTACTCCAATCTCTTTGGAATTTTGTTTCCTCCTGGTTTCAGATCCTGCAGGTCAGTTTTGCTAGTTCCGCGTAATCCACCATTCTCATCTGCCACTCCTCCACTGTTGGTAATTCCTGTACTTTCCATTTTTGGGCTAACAAAGTTCTAGCAGCAGTTGTAGCGTACATAAATAACCTTTGGTCTGCTTTTTCTATTTTCTCTCCCATCAAGCCTAGCAAAAAAGCTTCCGGCTTTTTTGGGAAAGTATATTTGAACATCTTTTTCAATTTGTTATAAATCAATTCCCAGGATAGTTTTATTTTCTCACATGTCCACCACATGTGGTAAAAATCTCCATCCTTCTCTTTACATTTCCAACATACTTTACAGCTCATCCTATACATTTTTGCCAATTTAACAGGTGTTAAGTACCATCGGTACATCATTTTCATTATATTCTCTTTTAAGGTGGTACATGCTGTGAATTTTAAACTGGGTATAGTATGGGCTGGATATAGTATGGGACGCAAGTAAAGCGGTAATGAGAGGTTTTCTGATACAGAAAAATAGCTTCCAAAAAAAGAAAGAAAGAAAGAAAGAAAGAGCGAGAAAGAAAGAAAGAAAGAAAGAGGAAATCCTGACTCATCTCATGAAAAATGAGGGGAAAAATTCAGTAAAACCTAAAGATGAACAAATAAAACAAACAAACAGGACCATCACTCAGTGATAAAGGACTTGCTGTGCATGCAGAAGGTCCCAGTTTCGGTCCTTGGCATTTCCAGATCGGACTGAAAATGTCCCTTATCTCACATCCTGGAGAGCCACTGGCTGTCACTGTAAACAATACTGACCTAGATAGACCCATGGCAGGACCCTGTATGAGGCAGCTTTCTATGTTCCTATGTATATTCATAATTGTGTACACACACAAACACAGCCTTAGTTAGAGAACCCAGCCCTACTAATCTGCAGTGCCCCCACTGACAAGGAGAGCAGGATCTACTCCACTGGGCTCATGCTTAATGCTCCCCATGATCAAACAGTTTCTCTTTATACACACAGGAGCCAGAAGAGAAAAAAATAGCATTGGAGCTCCTGCAAACAGAGCAGGCCTATGTCAGCCGCCTTCATCTTCTGGATCAGGTTGGTTTGTTACAGGCGACAACAGATTTATGTGCTTCTGATTGACACATGATTGCGCATGCACGCACCGGTCGTCACAGAATCCGGAAGTATCCCTAAAACATCACTGAAAGGGTGGAATGGGGGCTAGGCAGACTGCTTTACACACTGATGCATGCAGGGGGTCCAGAATGTAACCCCAGTGCAAAATGAGGATTGCCTGTAGTTTACTTGACAGGGGCGTGCTAGGTAATGGTGTTTTTGTTTCCTGAAATGGGGGTGGTAAACCAAATAAGTTTGGGAACCTCTGCTCTAGAGGGACAGGTGAAGGGAAAGTTCACTTTGAAAAATTGTGCATGTTAAAGTAAAAGTGCATGAAAAAGCTGGTGAATTTGCAAAATAAATGAATAAATCACAAGCTGATGCAGAAATGTAGATGACTAAACTTAAGGCTGGAAAAACGAGCAACTGAGAAAACCCAAAACTGACAGCTTTGTCCATCCCTGGGTTCCAGGTGTTTTTCTCAGAGCTGCTGAAGGAAGCCAGGAGTGGAAGAACATTCCCAGAAGAGGTGGTGAAAATGATATTCTCCAACATCTCATCCATTTACCAGTTCCATGCACAGTTTTTCTTGCCAGAGCTGCAGAAACGTATGGAAAACTGGTGAGTTATGGCAGCCATACCCCTTTCCCCATTGCATTCCTGGAAAGGGAAGTGAGAGGGGTGGGGTGAAGGTTTACGCAACTGAAACCAACTGTTGTATTATTTGAAGTCTAGAATCTGAAAAGATACCGTACAAGAGGTCTGTGGAAGGGTCATTTTGAGTTAAAACCTTGGTTCTTTGTCCCACCATGAAATAGATCTCTATTATAGGTTGTGCCATCTGACAAAGGACTAATCTTGGTGTGAAACAATAGATATCTTTGTATTACATACTTCCTTTGTCTGCAGAGGGCACTTTGGCAAACATTTGCCTTTGTAGAACAAAGACTTGCAATTATATGATGAAGGGCAATGCGGAAATATCTTAGATAAATAAGAACTAAATCAGCAGTACTTCTCGCATGTATCTGTTTGTCTTCCTGTGATGGGAGGACGTATGAGGACAATCATTTCACTTCCTAGCTTTTTTTCTTTTTTTTACTGAAGATGTTAATTAAACAGAGACAGCCAGGATGGTTTGTGCTGTGATGTACTGTTAAAACTGTGTAGAAGCTGGGCAGCATCCAGCGGGGACTCCTGCAGATGTCACAAACCAGTGCCGGCGATACTTGGGCATTGCAATCGAGACCAGGGATAGAGGCAGGCAGGCATTTCCCAAAGCATCTTCCCTGGACCGTTTTGGCTGCCTTTCCAGAGATGCCAATAGTACACCTGTTCTCTTGGCTTCTGCCTGCAGGAATTCCAATCCCAGGATTGGAGACATCATCCAGAAGGTAGCCCCTTTCCTGAAGATGTATAGCGAATACGTGAAGAACTTTGACAAGGCAGTCGAGCTGATAACCACGTGGTCTGAAAAGTCCTTGCCATTCCAGGAACTCATCTCAAGCATTCAGGTGAAAATTGTTTTGCTATTATTTCATAAAATGTTAGTACTGCTTGTTTTGGGTGGGGGAACACATTGAAGTGGTTTACAAAAATAATGAAAGAACGTCATTCTCAATTTAAAAACAATTTGAAACCTTCAAAACATAATTAAAATCAATGCTAAGCCATAAAGAAACCCTGATAAAAATGAATGTCAAAATTCTACATATCTGGGAAGGCTCCCCTGAACAAAAATGTTTTTATTTTTAATTTTTATTATTTTATTTTAAATTTTTATTAAGCATATACATATAAGAAAAATGTTTTTAGCAGGAACAGTGAAAGCACTTACCTGATGTCAATAGGCAGGGAGTTTGGAAGTGTGGGTTCTAAAAGATTAATTCCTTACAAATGCAGAATGAGGATTATGTGATACCTGTAGTAGTGCCAGTTCTGCAGACTGGAGCAGTCAAGAGGGTATATATGGAGTCAGATGATCTTCCATGTAAACTGGTCTCAAGCTGTTAATACTAAAAGTAACACCTTGAACTTGGTCTTGTAGAAAGGGTCTCAGAGCTTATTGCACAGTAACCTTTTTAAAAACTCAGGGTAGCTTCGTATGCAACAACAGCAGCAAGAATACTCATCGCAAAGTATTGGAAGACACAAGAACTTCCCACGCTGGAGGAATGGCAGATGAAATTTATGGATTATATGGAACTGGCTGAAACGACTGGTAGAATCCGTGACCAGGGAGAAGAGTCGATGGAGGAAGACTGGAAGAAATTCAAAGACTATCTTCAGAAACACTGCAAAATTAAGGAATGTTAGAGTGATGTTGGACTGAAAACAAGTGGTTTCCAGCTGCACAGGTTAAAGTTAAGGATAGATTAAGATTAAAGATCAAGATTAAAGATGTTTAAAGAAATGGAAATTTGATATTAAAAGGGAAAACTTTAAAGTTATATGATATTAAGATATTAAGATTAAGGATTAGGTTTAAAAAAGTTGAAGTTATATATTTTAACATTTTATTAAATTAAAGATTGGGATTAAAAAAGTGGAAAAGAAACTGCTGGACAAATAATGTGGACTGGAATACAAAAGAGGGAGGTATGAGGAAGTCTAGAAAATAAGTAATTTAAAATTGGAAATGGAAAAGAGAGTTTGTTTTTAATTGTTGTGTTTTGTGTTTTTATTGTTAAGTTTTGTATTGTTTTTTGTGTGTGTTGTTTTTCTTGTTTTGTTGTTTAAAACTTTAATAAAAAATTATTAAAAAAAAAATAAAAATAAAAACTCAGGGTAGCTTCTATCAGGGAGGCCACCCACACCATAACTGTGTACAGTGGTACCTTGGGTTAAGTACTTAATTCGTTCCGGAGGTCCGTACTTAACTTGAAACTGTTCTTAACCTGAAGCACCACTTTAGCTAATGGGGCCTCCTGCTGCTGCTGCACCGCCGGAGCACAATTTCTGTTCTCATCCTGAAGCAAAGTTCTTAACCTGGAGCAATATTTCTGGGTTAGCGGAGTCTGTAACCTGAAGCGTATGTAACCTGAAGCGTATGTAACCCGAGGTACCACTGTACATGCATATATGTAGCATGGAACTTAGGCATTTTCTTCTCCTTGAGAAAATACTGGAAGGACACTGCCTTCTCCATCCAGACTAGCCTTTCTTCACCCATTTTGCCTAGCCTGGTGACTAATGTCTTCTACACCAATCTTTAGCCAGCTGCTCTCAGCTGGGATAATAGGCTCTGTAGTTCTTTCTGTGCTTCTTGGTGAGCCCTGTACCCCAGGTCTCAAAAGATTGCATTGGTCCCATGTCTCACGTTCTTCCTGAGACACTGGACTCCTTCTGCTGCAGTGGCTGGGAATTTCTTGCTTCCAGAGGACCTCAAATATTCCATCTCTGTGCTGTAGAAAGACTTGAACCAAAGCATTAAATTTCTTCCATCTGTTACACCACCAAGACATGATAGATAAGCCTTCACCCAGCTGGTGCCCTCCAGATGTTTGGCTTACAACTCCCATCAGCCTCAGCCATCCCAGGGGCTGATGGGAGGTGTAGTCCAAAACATTTGGAGAGCACCGTGTCGGTGAAGGTTGCAGTAGATGGTCATCTTGGTTTGTGAAGTGGTGAGGCCAGCCAAGTATCTGTAGTTTAATGTTTATACACTCATGTCTATGATGCCTTCTGCTTTCTCTTTCTGCTATTGTTACTATCCTGAGCAGAGACGGGAGATCTCAGCCAACTTAACCTTGCAGCATCATATGCTGGAGCCAGTGCAGAGAATTCCTAGATATGAACTCCTTCTGAAGGATTACATACGAAAGCTACCTCCAGAGGCACCGGACAGGGAGGATGCAGAGAGTAAGAGCTCCATTTGGTCCATTCTGTGATGTGGGCAAAGAAGGAAGTTGACAGAGGAGTTGTTTGGTTGGAGGAGACTGTCCTTTAGCAGTGACACACATGTACCTGCTAGTTGAGTGATTCTAAGGCTTTCATACCAGGGTTGATTTGCAATTCCCCTGCTAGGCTTGTGCCTCCCTTCTCCTGCTCAGTGCCATGCAACTGCAAGAACCCTGGGAAAGTGTTGGAGACTGGGCAATGAGCTTACTGCATGCATTCCATTCAGGGCTGGACTTCTGTTGCTTTAAGAACTACAAAGATAGAAGGTCCATCAATGTGTCACTGACGTCATTGTTTTGAAAACTCCCTGCACCTCCTAAATATGATCCTGGTTCACCTATATCTTTTTTATTAAATTTAAATGTACGTATGCATATATACATGTAATTACTTTTACATTCCCTTTATATATGTAAGCAAGGAGAACAATCATCCAGTTAATCAAAAGGGGCTGATGATATTTATGCAATTGACTCAATTCAATATTCAAAAACCTGATCACACCTATTGGTTACCCAGGATCGCTCCATCTTCATATTTCCTTCTTTAGATTTATTCTTAGTACATATTAAAATACCAGTCCATGGCACCAATGTAATTTTATCATGGGGGCTGTGGGCACAAGGGGAAATACTCCAAGGCTCACAGAGCGCCCCTCCAGTGCTGCCATAGCAAGGAATACAGGTGTGCAAATGGGTTGTGTGAGAGAGCCCTGAGAGTTAAATGTTTCTCTGGTGCTTTTGCAGAAGCCCTGGAAATGATTTTCACTGCAGCCAAACACTCCAATGCTGCCATTGCAGAAATGGTGAGTGCACTGATCTCATGCGAGTGACTCCTTGCAGCCAGAGACATTTGCAACAGAGCTGTTTGGTCCCTGTCTTGTTCATCTTAATACTGATGGTCCTGCAGGAACGACTCCAGAACCTTTGGGAGGTGTATCACAGGCTGGGGCTTGAAGACGACATCGTGGACCCTTCCAACGAGCTGATAAAAGAGGGACCCATTCAGAAAATCTCATTCCGGCACAACAACACAACAGAGAAATACCTGTTCTTGGTAAGAGATTAATCAGGTTGGGGGATGGTGGGAAGGGAAGATAGCAATACATCGCTGTTGGACATCTGTGTTCTTTTGCACAATTCAGAGAAGTTGTGCTGCTGTTTGGATAAATGAAAGAAAGAAATATTTAGGAGTTTGGAAAGATATGCAAGGTATGTCTACAGTGTATAAAGGTAAAGGTAAAGGTACCCCTGACTGTTAGGTCCAGTTGCAGACCACTCTGGGGTTGCGGTCCTCATCTCGCTTTACTGGCCGAGGGAGCCGGCGTTTGTCCTCAGACAGCTTCCGGGTTATGTGGCCAGCATGACTAAGCTGCTTCTGGCGAACCAGAGCAGCGCACGGAAACGCCGTTTACCTTCCTGCCAGAGCGGTACCTCTTTATCTACTTGCACCTGATGTGCTTTCAAACTGCTAGGTGGGAGGGAGCTGGGACCAAACAATGGGCGCTCACCCCATCGCGGGGATTCAAACCGCCAACCTTCTGATCGGCAAGCCCAAGAGGCTCAGTGGTTTAGACCACAGCGCCACCCGCGTGTATAGTGTATAGGGAAGGGCAAATAATAAGAGCCTTGAATCTGATACCCTACAAAGAAAGGCTTAAAACTCCTGAGACTTTTTCATTTGGACAAAGGTGACTGAGACTGTGACAGAGGCTTACAAAGGCTGTGGCCTTATGCATATCCACATGGGAGTAAACCTCACTGGATACAATGAGACTTGCTTCTGAGAGTAAGCATGCACTGGATTGCACTGAAAATTATGTGCAGTGTGGAGAAAATAGATTGGGAAGTTTCTCTCCCTCTCTCCTTATGCTAGAACCTAGGAAGACAGTCAGCCAATGAAACTGATTGGCATGAAAGCACTTCTTCACCCAAATAATTTTTGGAATTTGCTGCCTCAAGATGTGGTGGTAGACGTTAGCTCAGATGAGCTGAAAAGGGAATGAGACAAATTCATGGAGGATAATTTACTTAGTGGCCACTAGCTGTAGTCATGGTGGCTATTTGAAACATCTAGGCTTAGAGGCGATATGTTCATGAATACCATCTGCTGGGGGGGGGCAACAGTGGAGCAGGGCTATTGCCCTCCTGCCTCTGAAGTGAATAATCCAAATGATAATTGTATTCTGATTTTCAATCAACCAGGGAGAATGAGAACTGTGCCAACAATAAATGCCACCCCCCCGCAGTAGCCAAGTACCTCATTAGCTGATGGAAGTTGGTGCCCAGAACATCTGGAGGTCATGTAAAGGCTGGCATAGCACTAAGTGATAAATGCACTGGGTTCTTTCCTGACCGATTGGTGGCAACAATTCCTTCTTCCCTTGTTTGGAGTGGTTCATATTCTGAAGTCTCTAGTCTTCAGAGGGAGAGATTAACCGAGACAAACCATTATTGTATTGACTGGTTCATTTGACATTTGCTCTCTTCTTTTGGCCCTTCTTTGTTCAGACGTGATGTGCCCCCCTCCCACCAAGGCTTTATTCTCCCCCACCTCTTGTCTCTCTCAGTTCAATAACTTGCTGCTGTACTGTGTGCCAAAAGTCATCCAAGTGGGCGCAGCGTTTCAGGTGCACAGCCGGATCGATGTGGAGGGCATGAAGGTCAGAGAATTTCATTGCAGGTTATTCCCTTTAATTATACTTGTGGGGTGGGGGGTGGCCCTGCCCCATATTTTTCCACAGGATGGCGACATCTGGAGAAACATAAAACAAAAATATAACAAGCAGAGCAGGAAGTAGAGTAAACCCCCCCAATACGCATATGTAGGGGGAAAAATGATAAGGGGAGGAATGCAATGTGGTGCTAAAGAGATCACAGTCTCAGTGCAAGCATTTCTGCTTGCTTGAAGGAACAATATTCCTTCTGTTCTTCCTACACCCTGTTCTGGGGGTTCTCCTGAACCCCCCCTCAGCCAATTTGGGGGTGTTTGTGTGTGCAGGGAGGAAAGCCCCCTTGTGCTAGCAGAAGTCTTTGAGTGGGCTTTTGCCTGCAGGAACAGCTAGCTGAATCTGGCCCATATATTTATAAATGCTACCTGAGGAAGGGTATGGCATATATCTGACTATATTGGGACTTTTAAATATGTGCATGCTTCAGGTGAGTTGTCCCCATTCCCCCTCCCTGCCAAACTTTTGCATGTGGATTGGTTCAGGTGTTTGCTTGCTGCTCTCTTCCCTTTGATTTGTTGATTATTTACTTAATCAAGTTTGTAGCCCATCCCTTCAACTTCCAAAAATTACCAGGACACCTCATGGAACAAAGCATGAAAAAATAAAATTCACTGTTTGTGTGTGAAAATATCCAACACTTGCATTACTCAGAGTAGACTGACTGAAATCCCATTACTTAAGTGAGAGGTGCAGACTCCTTGAAAGACCCGTTACTAAAGTCCATTGATCTCAGTGGTATGGATGTAAATTGAATATGACAGCAGCGGACGCCATCAGGGAAACAGCAGCAGCAACTTTTTACCCACATCAGTGCTAATTGTTTTACTTATCTGGACTTGCAGGTTCGGGAGCTGAACGATGTGCAGTTTCCTTATGCTTTCCTTGTATCAGGGAAGCAACGAACTCTAGAACTGCAAACCAGGTAACTGACATAAGAATTTTGTCTTTTCTGATTCTCACGCAGAACGATGAGGACAACTGTTCTCTAACAGGTGACTTCTCTTTCTATGCAGGTCCCAGGAAGAGATGAATGATTGGATAAAGGTAACCCATGCTTCTACCCTTTACCCTACGTCAAGGTCCTGCCCCGTGAGAAAGGCAAAGTGTTTGCCCTTTTTAACAAAATCAATGAAATCGTAGATGATTATTACAAGAACATGCCAGGAGGAAAAACGTATGTAACATTTGGTATGGGCATAGGGAGGAGGGGGAGAGCTTAGCACCCCTTGACTGCCAGCTCCCCACTCCCATACTTCAGAAGTGAGTGGGGCAGATGTGGCTTCAACCTGCCACATTCATGTGTGGCTTGAGCCTCAGAGCTTTCTTTCAACTTCTGCTTTTCTTCTCCAGGCCTTTGAGTCTGCCATTGACAAGAAGGAGAAAAGCAGTGGGACCTTCAAGGTGGCGATCCAAGGGCCAGATTCCGAGATGCAAGATTTAACTGTAATCCTCCTGACTGTACTCACTCACTGAATTATAGAATCATAGAACTGTAGAGGTGTCCAACCCTGTGCAATGCAGGAACCCACAGCTAAAGAATCCCTGGGAGATGGCTATCCAAAACCTTCTGTGAAGGACAGTCCACTACTCTCTGAGGCGGTCCATTCCACTTCTCTATTCCTCCTCATGTCTCCACCTCACTTCTAAAAGCATTTCCTGTATTACCGTATTTTAATTATTTCACAAAATGTATAGATCACTTAATAGAACAACTAAGCAGCTTGCTTTATGCAGTCTTTTTTTTAAAAAATACAAATACAAATAAAGCACACAAAAATTTACACGGAAATTGTAAGATAAAATGGTAATATTAAAACACTTTTGTCAAAAATGACATGCTAAAATGACATGCCTAGGTAGGCTTGCTGGAATAAAAAAGTTTTGAGCCAGTGCTAAAAAGCAGTACATGCCTGCCTAATAGGAAGGCCATGAGTGAACATTCTGAAATCTGCAACAGGGAAATGGAAAGCGTGTGATGATTGGAGGACAAGACAGAGGAGTGGAATGTGCAAGAAAGAGGTACCTAACAAGGCTCTGGCAATGGTACTAAGCAATATGGAAGAGGCTTCATACTTGTCCATGTCCTGGACCCTGTGAGCTGTAGCCATAATTGCCTTCATTGCCAGAGAGTCCATCTCAGTGGTTCTTTGATTCCAACCCCCTTCACACAGTGCATAGCTTAATTGTAGAATTCGCTCCCACAAGACGTAGTGATGTCCCCCAACCAGGATTGCTTTAAAAGAAGATTAGACAAATTCCTGGAGGATAAGTCCTATCAACAATGCCTACTAGCCACAATGGCTCTGTTCTACCTCCACTGTAAGAGGCGATATATCCCTAAATACTAGTTGCTGGGAATCATAAGTTGCCAAAAGCACTGTTGCACTCAGGTTCTGCTTGTGGCAGGGGCGGCCCGTGCATTAGGTTGGATTTTGCTTCAGACAGCAGATCTACCCCTGCCATTATGCTGTTGCCAGCCCTGCTGACATTGACTTGCAGGCTTCTCAAAGAACCTAGTTGGCCACTGGGAGAACAGGATACTGGATTAGATCGCCCTTTGATCATATCCACCAGGGTATATCTTCATGTTCTTATGGTCTGCTTTACCCCCAGCATTGCCAGTTTGATGAGCTGGGCAAGCGGGCTCCTCAGTGGATCAGGGACAAGCTGGTGACCATGTGCATGCGTTGCAAGGGCCCTTTCAATGCGATCACACGCAGAAGGCACCACTGCCGGGCCTGCGGCTATGTGAGTACACCTCCTCCGAGTTCCTTTGGGTAGGGCAGCCACATGGAAGGGCCTTGGGACTCCATGTTGGTTTAGGGCCAGTCCGGAGAACTGATCCCAAGAGCGACCATGCTTGGTCCAGCTGCATCTGGGTGCCGTTGGTGCTGGGGACAGATGCTGAACTCTTCCAGTTCTATGTTCAGTTTTGGTTCAGGTCTTGTTTAAAGAAGAATGGGGGTTTCCTCTGTGAATCTACGCTGCAGCAACCCTTTGGTTCCTCTCCTGGAGGCAGGTGGTGTGTGGCCGGTGCTCCGAGTACAAGGCCGAATTGCAATACGACAAGAGCGGGCCCAAGCGTGTCTGCATGGAGTGCTACATCTTCCTGACAGGGCATTTGTTGCCCGACGAGCGGCAGGCAAGGCATAAAGGCATCTTGGAGGTGAGGAGGAAGCAGAGCTGAGACGTCTCCATCCTCTCTGTCTCAGTCAATTGCCTGCCCCATTTCCTGCCTTTCCTCCACTTCAGCCATGGCTTGGTCACCTGTGCTGGATTTCCTCCTTTCAGTCCATTCAGGTTCTTCAAATTAGGCAAGTAAAGTAAGTAGGGGGTGATGCTTACACCAAACGGAATGGGACAAAGCACTGGAGTATCCTGGCAAATAATGGCTCTCTACAAGCATCTGCTCATTGCGCCCTACATATTTACTGCCGGAAATAGTGATGGAACCTGGTTGCCACAGAAAAGGTGTGAAGTGGAGCTGAAAGACAGGGGACAAGGGAGTGAGAGGGACTCTGTCCATGGTACTGAAGACTGAAAAACCAATAGACTAGACCTCCAGCCCCTATTATGTTGACACAAGGCACTGAAGGTTTTCTATGTATTATTTATTTATTGCATTTATAGCCCACCTTTTAATCCCTGGAGCTCAGTGTGGCTTACGTAGTTCTCCCTCTCCTCCTTTATTCCCCACAACAAGCCTGTGAGGGAGGTTAGGCTGAGAGGGAGTGTTATAGACTGGCTGGATGCAGAAGAGTTGTGGGAGCCACCAGTCAGGAAAACACCCCTTCCCCAGGGAACCCCCAGAGGAAGAAGGCTCAGAGACAGGGGATTAGTGGTCAGAGGGAGACTCGGAGGAGGAGGTGTCAGCAGCAGGATCGGTGACAGGATTTAGTGAATGTGAAGAAGCCATGGCAGAGAGCAGTTCACACTCTTGTGCTGAAGCATAGGCTGGAGGGAGGGTGGCCAAGAGGCAGAGAAGAGAGAGGCTGCAACCAGCTCCCCTTCCCACTTGTCTCCTAGAACTCTCATAGAAACGAAATGGGCAGAGCAGAGGGTGGCTGTGCGCAGACGCAGCCTGAGACTGCGGGGGAAAGACCCTGGAGAGGAGGAGTCCTAGTGGGCACAGGGAAGGTGGGGACCTTCAGTCCTTGCAAGTGCTTCATCAGGGCAAGGCCTCCTAGGAAGAGTTGCTGAGACCACTAGGCCTGAGCTGTGGTTGTTTCCTTGAATAAAGAGTTTACTTCACTGGTCCAGGGTGAGTTATTGCTTTGTTGATGACCTACGCCTGACTCCAGCCCTGACAGGTAGTGCCTGGCCCAAGGTCACCCAGTGAGCTTCATGGCTAAGTGGGGAATCAAACCCTCGTCTCCCAGGTCCTAATCCAACACTCTAATCACTGCACCATCCTTACATTCTGACCCAGAAAGGAGTGAAAACAGTCATTCTCCCTGCCTGTTTTATCCAGCGGTGCAGCCAGGACCAGGGTGGAATTTACACACATATAAAAAACACTGTGAAAATGCTTTTCTAAAAAAATGTTTTGAAAAACACATTGAATTTTGCATAGCTCACTATACCACCTAGTGTCAGATTTGTATATTGCACTTTACACCACATTTAAAACATTTTATCTGCAGCTGTGTTGCTGAGTCCCAGAACTGTTTGCTGTGTTCCATTCTGTAGATCACAATCTATAGACACAGGAGCCAGTAGGAGCTTCTAGGCTAAAGAGCATTAAGGGAATGGTGTGGTGTTTTTGTTTAATTGGCAGAAAGAGTCTGCAGAAATATCGGGGCAGAGCCTGATGTGCAGTTTCCTGCAGCTGTTGGATAAGAACGGAAAGGGGAGCATGCGTGGCTGGTTTGTGATCCCACGAGATGACCCTCTTGTGCTGTACATTTACGCTGCACCCCAGGTATGTGTGGGCTTATTGAGAATTTGTTCTTGTGTGGAAGCTCAGATGGTTCACAATGGGCGTGGCTAACCTTTGGCCTTTCAGATGTTGCCAAACTACAACTCCCATCATCCCTGGCCATTGGCCATGCGGGCTGCATCTGATGGGAGTGGGAGTCCAAGGACACCTGGAGGGGCCACACTGGTTCTCCATCCCTTGAGGGAACTTAATTGCCAAGATATCCCAAGCTGCTGTTCTGAGCGCTCAGTACACAGGCCCACCATAAACAGGAGCAGAGGCTCCCAGCTCTTCCTCTGGCAGTTCCTGTTGGGAGAAACCTTGAGTGCAAAAATGGCTAGAGAGGAAAGGCTTAAGCAACTGCATCCCCTGCTATTTCTCTGCTTAAATTACAGCGGCCTCTTGAGGCTGCCTTTGGTAAAAACCAAGAAATAACTACATTAGTGAGAAGATACATGCAGCTGCATGCCATGAATAGTTTTAGTCCTTAAACATTGCAAAACCAGCTCACGTTGACAATGATCTCCTTGTTAAACAGGGAGCAGCTCTGGATTGGTTTTGTGGAGTCAGTTTGGAACATCTGGAATTGCTTCCTTTTGAGCCTCTCGTCCCCCCTCTCTTCCCACTTGCCTCCCAGGATGTCAAGGCTCACACTTCCATCCCCCTGCTGGGCTACCAAGTCAAAGAGATGCCCCAGATCGACACCCGTCACATCTTCCAACTGGTGCAGTCCAAGCAGGTCTATACGTTGGTGGCAGAGACGGAGGAGCTGAAACAGCGGTGGATGAAGGCCATTACACACTCGGCTCGTGGGGAAGAGGAGGAAGACTCGTTTGATGAGCTGGAATGACTGGAGCCTTGCTGAGAGGCTGCTGCATATCCTGAGCCGCCATTTCAACATCTGCAAACGAAAACAGTATTTGGATTCTTTTAAAAACTATTTTTTTAGCTGTAACTTTCCAACCAGTTTTGTAAGTCACAGTATTTCCACCTAGCTCAGATTTCCCTAGTTTGCTTATGAGCCTGTCACATGGAATTGTGTCAAAAGCATCACTCAAGCCACACACAGTACATTGTTAGAACTGGAGACTTGCCAACGTTTGTAGATGTGTCTTCCCATTCACATGCTCACCCACACACCTAAACATTGCTCCAGATGGGATTTCCTATATGCGCCTAGACTCCCACTAATTCCCTATAACCTGGCCAGCAAAACTAACATCTTCCTAAGGATGCTGCCCCTGTACCTCTTTATGCTGCAGAATCTAGATGCTCCTTTCCATCCCCGCCACAAAAAGAACAGCAGTCTCACCTGCAGATGCACTAAGAAAGCTTCCATTAGGCTGATGGGGGAATGGGGACAGTGAGAGAAGCTTAGACTCCCTCGACTTGTGTCTGCCAGCAAACGTAGGTGAGTTATTTGGCCCATAAGAACAGAATGGCATAAGAAGAGCCCTGTCTCGTCCAAAAACTCATCTAGCCCACATCCTGTTTTCACAGTGACCAACCAGTCTCCCCCTTCTGCTGCAACCAGCTCCCGTCTCCCAAAACACACACAGAAATGAAGAGGGCAGAGCAATGAGAAAAAAGACGACAAAGCTTTAAGGTGCTTGGGAAGGAATTGGGAGAGGAGCCTTAGAGAGCGATCCTCACAACTGCCTCACTGGGGCAAGACCTACTGGGATAGGTTGCTGGGACCACTAGGGCTGAGCTGTTTTGTTTCTTTGAATAAAGAGTTAACTTCACTCACACCAGTGTTTTTTATTGCTGACCTGCTTCTCATGCTGGCTCCTAAGAGACTGGAGCTACAACATGAAAAACCCAGTTATAAACTAGGCATTTCCCTGGGCCGTGCCATACCTACAGCAGTGCCCCATCTGAGGAGTGCAGACAGGGCAGTCCTTTATATGTCACCTGGTCCCAAATTGTTTAAGGCTTTAACTTAAGGCTTGGTTAGCATATTGGAAGTCAGTCCAGCTTCCTCAGTGGGGTACCACAGTCAACAATCTAGCCTCTGCTTTTTGCACCGGCTGCAGCTTCTGGGCTGAGCCTCACAGAGAGTGCATTGTAGTCTTCTTCTTTGGCAATCACTCATAGCCAAGTAAGATTGTCTTCCATGAACGTGGTCTTAACAGTGAGTCCATAAGTGACTGTGGTGGCCAATTCTGGATCCACACGTTTTTCCACAATGGGGACATAGGTTTCCAGGTGGGAGTTGATCATGGTGAGGGTTTGCCAAGCGTGCCTTCCTCTTAGCACGTTTCTCCTTTTTGTCCTGAGTTTGAGCGTCTTCAAAGCCCATCACACCTTTGGTATAGGCTGCTCTCCCAATGCCAAGACCACAGTGGTCAAGCTATCTTTCTCCAGGAACTGTAGCTGTCTTACCAACCGAAGTGGGTAAAAGTCACTCCTAGTCATCAAGGTTGCCTGTGCCTCAAGTGACAAAGACGGATTCAGGAGCACCTACAGATTCAGTTAATTTGCCCTCAGCCAGCTCACCACAGCACCCAGACATTGGTCCACAGCCAGCACACCACCTCCAGATTCATATGTTGTAGTGAAATAGAACTGTGTCTCATCTGACACTTTGCTCCAACTCCCTTCATGACCACATCCAGCAGCTTCACATAGATATTAATAGCACAGTGCCCTGTGGCTCCCCATAACACAGGTGCCAGGGGCCAAAAGAGCGTCTCCCCATCACTGCTCCCTGAAATCCACTTGGCAGATAGGACAACAGCCACTGTATGGAAATGCTCCTGATGCCCACCTCACAGAACCAGTCCTGGAAGATGCCCAGGCTGATGGCACTGAAAGCCACAATGAAATCAAGCAGAAGAAACAAGGTTGCGCTCCCCTTATCCCTCTCTTTATGAAGGCCATCTATTCGGACAGCCAAGGTCAATTTGGTTCTGAAACAAGGTCTGAAGCCACACTGATATGGGTCTGGATAATCAATTTCATCCAAGAGCACCTACAGCTGCTGTGTCACGACCCTCTCAATAGCCTTCCCATATATATTAGTAATTGGTTGATAACTATTGCAGATTAGTGGGTCCAGGAGCAAGTGCACCACGTTTAAAGTAGCAGTCACCACTACTTCTCAATAGCATGCTTGCAGCTTACAATGGAAGTGCAATGATTGGAAAGCACTAGGAACCCCTGGTTTGGAAGCCCTGGTTGGTGGTTTGAAAGATACCACTCCCACCATTTTCTGGCACAAGTGTGGCCATGTGCAACCCACCCCCAAAAAAGCGCAGCTCGGATGCAGTGTTTCTCTATTGCAAAAATGATGGTGGCTGAGCAGTAATGCACATCTTAAAGACTGCACGTGGTCAGTGGGATAAAAAGAGATAGCCACCAGAGCATCTAAATTTAAGTGCTATGTTTCTAGGGGAAATGGCTACTTCCTACACCGGTCATATACAGGTGTGTGTGTCACGTTTTTGTGTAATTTGTGCACTGGCTTCCTTATGGATTTTCTCCCTTATTAATAATAAATCCAAAATTTCATATCTTTGGCTTCTGACTTATTTTCATGACCCCTTTAAAGATACAGACGATTTTGAATCCTCATCTTAAAAATTGCTGTTGCATGCTTTATTATTTTATATATAACCTACAAGGGTTCATGATTTATAGCTGCAAAATATTTTATCTCACTACTTCTGAAAGTTAAGAATCTAGAAAAATTAGGTTCTAGTCAGAGGCATTTCACCCTTGGGCCTTTAAGATCAAACATACCTGCAACTGATAAATGTTTGTTGGGTTCAAATTTCAGAGGGGTAGCTGTGCTTGTTTTCTCCAGCAAGTATCCTGTGATACTTTGACTACTCAGTAATTTACTGGAGATTTCTGTAATTCATATTCTGCACACCAGAGGGTAGTATAAGATATGGAACTGAGAAAATGAAGAAGACAAGACCGATTTCCCCCCCTTTTAAAATAGAGATTTAGGCTTGAAAAGGTCTAGAAGTCCAGAAGAGAAAGTAGAAGTTTAGTGGAGGATGCATCAGCCAATATATTAAAAATATGTGTGCATTGTGAATAAGGACTCTTATTCATGTTACAGTGTTAAGGGTCCAGGACACAGAGAAATCTCAGCTGCTGATGGAAGTTCTCAGTTAGCGGGGAAGGTTGTAAAGGCAGGTTTACTTAATGGCAGCATTAATCTTGTGCTGGACACTCAGCCAAACGCCATCATAAGTTATTGGGGAAAGCTGGCTGCACACATGAAAGTATCATAGATATCTCTATACAGTGGTGCCTCGCAAGATGAAATTAATTCGTTCCGCGAGTTTTTTCGTCTAGCGAATTTTTCGTCTTGCGAAGCACGGTGTCGGGAAAGTTTTGGAAAAGCTTCAAAAATCACCAAAGTCTTCAAAAACCTCAAAATAGGCTACCACACCACGTTCTATGAGTTGCTCCTCGAAGTCAAGTCGCAACTGTATTAACGGTGTTAAGAAAAAGGAAACAAACTTGCAAGACGTTTTCGTCTTGCGAAGCAAGCCCATAGGGAAATTCGTCTTGCGAAGCAGCTCAAAAAACGCAAAACCCTTTTGTCTAGCGAGTTTTTCGTCTTGCGAGGCATTCGTCTTGCGGGGCACCACTGTATAAGGTCAGTCACTCACAGTCTGAGCAAGAGCAGGAAGCAGCTCTTGGCAATGCATTTCTGTGCATGGAGCTCAGAGAGATGCACATTTGTCTCAAGGCTGCTGTGAGAGGCAAGTCAGAAGGGCAAGGAGACAGCATTTAAGAAAGGTAGTCCTTGCCCATCCACCCAGTGCTGCACAAGGTGGGGCAGCAAGTTGCATCCCTCCTCTCAAGACCAGGAGCATAGTAGCCAGTCAAGAGATTTGGGTGCCTGAGGCAGGAAATCCCACAAGCACCTCTGCCTACCCTGGCAGCAAAAATACAACAATGGCCTTTCATCACACCTGAAACCAGCTGCTTCACAAGTCCACCTCGCCTAATGTTAGGACCGGCCCTGTTCCTGTTATAGCAACTAAGAGGAAACATGATTAGCCCCCAACCAATGGCCAGCCAGAAGAAGGCTTAGCTCTGGTGCCAAGCAGTCATTGTGCCACTTTGCTTTGCACCTCCATTCCTGTATACTTTCCTCAAACGCTTTTGGGGCTCTTCCAGACGACCTGCTTACTGAGCATTCATCATTTGTTTGCGGGGAGATTAGATGATGTTGGCTGCATAATGAGCATTTGTTCAGACTTGTTTGCAGGGAGGTAAGACAACGTTGCATCAAAACAAATACTGTCCCATGCTTTCCAGTTCATTTCCCCATCACCTTCCTTATTGCAAAATATTTGATCTTCTTTTGGGGAAGCAGGTTTGTTGTGCAAGGCCTTCCAATTGCACAGGCTGCCCATATGCTACGGGGACAGGTTGCTTTAATCTACAATACCCTAGGGGACTGCCTGATCCCTTATATCTCTGCCTGGTCACTGAGGTCTTCACTGGGGTCACTGTAAATGGTCCCCCATGGCTCAGATGCGTGGCTCTATCCACCAGGAGCCGTGCACTCCGTATTGCAAGCCCAATTTTATGGGACTGCCTTCCAGATGAGGTCAGACAGGGCCCCTGACTGTTGAACTGCTGGTACCTGCTGATGATTTTTCTTTATTCCTTCAGGCATTTTACTAATTCTGAATTCATCACTTTAACAGAGTTTTAGTTTCCTTGCTATTGGCTTTCTTGTTCACTGCTTAGAGACCACTGTAATTAAGCGGTATGTAAATTGTCAAAATAAATTTACAAAATTGTTGAAATAAAGCTGCAATTGCACAACCTGGATTTGGTGGTATGTGACTGAATTCTACCCCAAAATAGTGATAG